CCCCATTCCACAACCCTTTACTCGTCTCCACCACCTTATTCACCTCGCTGCCCAGACCTCAAGGCTAGAGCGGCACCGCATACGCCGGCGGGAGGTGCGCAGTGCGAGGATGCCGGCGGGGGCGCGTCAACAGCAGCAGCAGGAACAGGAGGCGCGTCCCTCCATGTTGATGTCGTCGCCGTCGTTGTTTCCGTTGTTGCTATTATGACCATTAGTATTAGTGGCAGCTGACCCCGTGTCGTTCCTTTGGCTCTGCGTGTCGTAGCCGCTGTCTTGGCTCTGGCTCTGCTGGTTGTGGGTTTGTTGGCTGGGGTTTGTTTTGGCCTCACCGCCCTGGGGTTGGGCTTGCGCTGGGTTGCCGTTTCCGTTGCCGTTAGTGGCCGGGCTCCCGCGGGCGGGCTCGCGGCTGCGTACGCCGTTCATGAAGCCGCCGGCCTGGCCCTCGCGCAGCTTGTTGATGGCGCGCACGGTGTCGATCGCGGCGTGCAGCGTGCGGCGGGCGTTGAAGTTCTTCTTGACCGTGGGCAGCAGGTTGGTGCCCTTGTCGGCGCCCTCGCCGCCAGCCGACACCAGCGCCCACCCCGCCACGAACGGGTGCTGCAGCGCCTCGTGCGCCGTCATGCGCTTCCCCGGGTCGATCGTCAGGCACTTCCGGATGAACTCCTTGGCGCTGTCCGACACCCCGCGCCAGTACTCGATCGGCGTGAAGCTGTAGTCCGCGTTGAGGATCGCCTGCATCTCTTCAAAGTCGGGAATCCCGGTCAAACGGCGTGTAGCCGCACAGCAAAAAGTATGTGATTACCCCCAACGCCCACAGGTCGACCGGCTTGCCGTGGCCCGTCTTCTTAAAGATCTCGGGCGCCATGTAGCCAGGGGTACCGCAGGTGGTAGTGAGCACGTGGAACTGTTCCTCGTCCATGATCCGGCTGAGGCCAAAGTCGGCGATCAATAGGTCGGCGTTGTCTTCTGGGGTGCGGAAGAGTAAATTCTCGGGTTTCAGGTCGCGGTGGACGATACCGTGGTCGTGCAAGTAGGCGACGGCCGAAAGAACAGCGCGGATTAGATCGGCGGCGTCCGATTCGTAATACGAACCCTTGCGGCAAATGCGATCGAAGAGCTCACCGCCGAGGGCGAGGTCGGTCACAAGGTAGAGGTTGTTCATGGTCTCGAAGTAGTCGACGAGCGTGAGGATGTTCTGGTGGCCCATCGACACCTTCTTGAGCACGGCGATCTCATTTACGCACCTAGATATCGGGGGAGACGATGGGTCAGAGAGGTGGCAGCCACCGAGTTCTAGACGAGACAAGACATACCATGTGTTCTCTCCCCGCCATCAGCCGCTTGTTAATCACCTTGGGCCGCATAGTAGCGCCCCGTGTCGATATGGATACACTCCTTGACGACCGAGTAGGACCCCGCTCCAAGCACCTTTCCAACCTTGTACCTACAAGGCTGGACTTGCGGCTGCTGGCGGTCACCCGGTGCTTGCGCTGCTACCGTACTCATGGTGGTAATGCGATGCCTCGCTCAAACCCGACGGTTGCTGCCGCGTAGCGGAAGATCGCGTGTCTCAAGTCGCGGTCAGTGGACGGGTGACGATCTGTGCCGGAGCAGGTGCGGGGTACGATGTCGCCGAGTAAGTTGATGATCGAACCGAGAAATATCAAGGTGCTCTCGTAGTCCTTAAAACAAAAGCGCCTGGGGGGAGAAGCGATTCAAGGGGAAGCGCGAAACAGCTGTTGTCGAGTGCTTGACTGGGGACTCAGGTTTTAAAGTTCGATGCAGGTCGAGGTTGAGCGGGGCCGACGCTCCTCCGGCTTTAGGCAAGGTACTTCAACAGTTACAAATTGAATTAGCGAAAGCTCTTCGGTAAGGTACTGCCAGGCGCGTGACAGGTCATAGAGCAGCAAAGTCGCAAGATCACCAGTCTACCAAGGCAGTTCCAGAGACGATGAGAAAAACCAAACAGGGTCTTCCTCGTCGGATCGAAGGTCGCATGGAAGAGAGAGTTATTTCGGGGTTAATGATCAGCCGTTGCGCACCTTGATTTGCGACCTTCCGAGTCCTGCCCCTCGTTCTCAGAGCCAATCACGGACGAAACCCACTCATCGGTCCCAGAACTTAATGCCATCTATTCGCACAGTAAAACGGTCACCGAGAGCGAATCAGATGAGAAGCCTGCTCCATCCAGGCTTGGGTATCTTTTAGGCCAGCAGTAAAATAGCCCTATATCGTATTAACAACACACGACGATCCCTCCTCACCTCTTCTTCTCCCGCTTCGCCTTCTTCGATTTCGAGTGCCCCCTATCGCCGCCCTTTTCCTCATGCCCATCCGCTTCCTCGGCCTTGCGTTTTACCTTCGTCTTGACGCTGACGAGCGGGTTGCCCTTGCCACTCTTGGTCGCCTTCTGCACCTGCTTCTCCGCGTCCTCCCACGCCGACTTGTCACCTCCGATCTCATACCTAGTTCCTATTAGCACTCATATCCACAACTAGACAGCCTGGTAGCGGGCTTCTTACTGATCCAGCGGGAGTGAGTCGATCAGCTCCCTTCTGCTTCGCCCGAAGCTCGCTCATCGCCTCATCGCCCCCCTCCTCCAGCTCATCCTCTAGGCTTGTCTCGATAGGCGCGTACTTGTTGTCGACCACCTCATCGTCATGCATCCCGGCTGCGTTCTCCCGGCTCACACCAACCTTGCTCGGGTCCGGCATCTCGGCCGCGATGGCCCCGGTAACCAGCGAGCTAAAGTATGTTGAGATCTTCCGCATCATCTTGATAAACATAGCCATAACCTGCTGCATCGGGATCGACGCCTGCGCAGAAACAACCTCAAGCTCCTTCCTTTGGATGCCAACGCCCAGCAAGATCGCCCGTTGCACCTCAGTGAGTTTCCCGCTCAACTGCAGGCGGCCGCTGAAATACAGCTGCGCAATCGTCGGTATGAGATCCAACACGACGTGGTAGTCGAGCAGCCCGTTGGCATACGACTCGAGACGCTTGTGGTCGAACGGCGTTAGTAACCCATCTAGGTCAGCCTTGCTGAGCGCAACCGGCGCCGTGGATGGGTCTAAGCGAGCCCCCGCGTTTGCCGATACCTCGACGGCTAACGCGAAGCCGGGTGCGAATTCGCGGAATTTGAATGAGAGAAGAGATAGGAAGCGGCGGTGAAAATCGTTGGCAAACGCACCAAGCCAGCTCGGGTCATTCCCGTCTTGGAGCGGCCGGATCATAACACACGTGTGTTCGCCTGTCAGTTCATTCGCCGTTTGCCTCTGTTCCCTGGTTAGTATCTTGTATCGTCGCTGGCCATTCTAGAGCACGTACCAGGTAGACTGGGGCAAACTCGGCCCGTTTCCAAAACCTGTGCAGCGGACTGGTCAAACCGTAGCTGACACCCACATAATCGAGCTTTTCGGGCCGGCGCTCTGCTAGTTTGGCGAAAAGCGGTGGCAGCTCGCTCATATCCCGGACTTTGATATCATCAAAAAGGCTGGCCTCTGCAAGTTCGGCATCTGTGATTCGAGGGATGGGTTGCTGCAAAGCTTTGCTTCCATCCTCCGAGAGGTCGGCAAATTTCCCTTCGTAGTACTCGACCAGGAGCTGAAGCGCCTTCGAGCCGTACCCCATTGACATATACTCGGGGTTCGTGGCGATTCGGACCACCCGAGCACCTGATAGGGAAGCAAACTCGTCGTCCTGGAACTGTTGGCTGACCAGCCACGGGATCAGATCACCAGCGGGTTGCTGGCCTCTGCCCAAGCTATTTAGGATACTCTGCTTGCTGATCTTGCCTTCTAACGACACCTGAATCACGCATAGAGGCTCCGGCAGGCGGCCCTCGACAATGGGGCCGGTAAGGACAAACAGCTCGTGTGCCGGCGCATCACTCATGAGTTGCAGGTCATTCGGGGAGTTCTTGTAGTGGCTTGCCACGTAAAGCGCAACCATTTGCTGCAAGAACTTTTCCGAGACCGGGTGGAAGGAGAAAAGCGTATCGCGGTTGACATGTAGCAGCTCACACTGCGAAGGGTCCGGGCATCCCTGGGTGCTGAGTTTCGACTTTGGCAGTGTCGCGTCCAAGCAGAGAAGTGTGTTCAGCCATTTCTCCACTTTATCCCCTTGGGCATAACGGATGGGTTCGGAGAGGGTGATCTCTTTGAGCGACCGTCCGCCCACCGCGACGGTTTCCTTAGTGGTCCGCCCGCTCGATCTATCGACTTCAACCGCGCCGCCGCTGTTTGGATTGGCGCCCGCCCGAGATTGCTCCCTCAGCTGCTTGATTAGCTTCAACGAGAGTGAGCGGCCGGTGCCTTCGTAACCGCTGATCGTCGATGCCATGAAGACCAGATACGGACCCATCAGATTCTTCACCAGAGGCAAGGGAATAGCCGCCGCTTCGTCAATGACCACAAGCTCGGCTTGTCCCAAAACATGGCTGTCCTGGGGGCGTATGTATTGAATGGTCTGCCGATGGTTCCTGTGGATGTTGACCCGGACAATCGCCTTATTAAAATCGGGATTCGTAGATTGGATGATGGAGTAATCAGCATGGTCTTTGTAGTCGAGCGCGTCAAAGCCCTTGAACACAAACTCGAACAGCGTCTTCAAGTTTTCTGGCGATGGCGAAGTGATGAAGATGTTGCTGTACCCGTACGCGACAGCAGCTGCGATGGCAACACCCATGGCTGCTGATTTGCCACGACCACGCGCTGCGGTCAAGGTGACCGTATTCCGCAGCGTTTTCTCCGCGATGGCATCCACAAACGTAAGCAAGGCCTTCGCTTGGTCGGTTGTGCGGGCTAGCTTGACGAGAGACCCTATCGGCTGGGTGTCTTGGAGAGACTCCTTCATATTTTCCAGCTCCTGCGTTGCCGCGCTCTTGGGTTCGTCGTCGTCTGGTGGTGGGAGAGGCTTGACGCCCTTTCCCCCTGATATCGGCAAAACGTTGAGCTCGTCATCGATGACGAGACAAGATTCACAACCACCAAGCGATAGAATAAAGCGCTCGTTGAATCTCGCAACGACGTCGTCGTGCGCCTCGGTCCGGTACCTCGAGTGTACATCCATAGAAAGGGAATACAGCTGCTTCAAACTGTTCATGCCCTTCAGCAATAGTACGACCAAACCTCCACCCTCGACAGTTTCGATGGTTCGGGCAAGGATATTGGGCGTCATGGCCTCGAAGTCTTGTAGAATGCACTGTTCCTTATGTCAGCTTTCCGGCCTGGTCTTTTCTCCTGACCCTGCTATGGCGGCGGTGGTGGCAGGCTCAAACTCACCATGCCATATGTGTTTCCCAAGATTTTGTCGGTCTCCTTGTAGTAGACATAGCGAATGTCATGGAGCGAGATGAAAAGCTCGAAGGGGTCCTCGGAATTGGCCTCGCGCGTGCCTCGCTTGATCTCCTTCTTGATCTTGTTTTCGCGCTTCTTCCGGTGACTTGTGAAGCCGAGGAGCTTGTTCTTGTACGCCCAGAGAACCGACTTGTTTTGCCTCACGTCCATGCTCGACATGATGTAGTATAAATGCACAATGGCATCCTTCGAGCGGTCGCCGACCACGACGAAGAAGCTGCGCTTCTTCTCTTGGAGGCCATTGCGGATGAGGGTGGGGATCCGTGAATCTCTGCAATGCGTGAGAGGTTAGCATGCGGTTGCAACTTGATATCGAATGCTTGGAGTGGCATTCTTACACTGTTTTTTGAGTCGACATGATCGCGGCTGTTGACAGATCCGGACTAAAAACGGTCACGATAGAGGGGCCCAAAATTTACAGGTCGCAGAGGTGCAGCAGCTCAATTATTTTTATTCTGCCGGGCGGTATGGCTTCCGAGATCCACTTTTGGCTGCAGCTCCCAGGCACTAACAACAAGACCCTTGTCACTTACAGCAGCACCGAAAGCCACATGGATGCTGCCCCGGTTTAGGTTTACTTCTAGCTCAGTCCTGAGAGCCTCTGCGGGACGACTTCTTCAAGCTCTGCAATTTTTTTGACTTCATTCGAGCCTCATTGGCACCCTTCTTTCTAGTTTTCCGGGTTATTGTCAATATGAGCCAGAATCAGGCAACTCATAACACCATAACACAACAACCTCTCACTCACAGCGCTGCATATTTCTTGGCCTTCTCTGGCCTTGTTTCGCCGGGCACTGTTCTCCGATACAGGCTCTGGATCTCTTCGAAGAGCTTTTGGTGGTTCTCGTCTGCATTTGCACTGCGGCTTCTCTGTGTCTGAGCCTGTATTGTGAGGCAGTCATTTCGACGAGAGTAGTATTTTAGGTCTCGAACACCGGAGTGCAGTAGCTTGGGCAGAACCCCCAACAGCTGGGTAACGGGCCATGTGGTTGTGGCCTTGGATTCGGTCCTGAAGATGTCAATGTATCAATGTGCTATTAATAATGGATAGATAATTATGATTCCACGAACTTGTTCACATGCTGTCCTCCAGGACCGCTGGATCGTGAGAACGATGTGTTGCCTTCAGGCAAACTCACGGGCTGGAACGACTGGTGCCATTTCCTTGCCTCAGCCAATTCATCTTGATCGAAAGATGCCTCGAAAGCCTGGTGTCTCACAGACCGTCGGAAAGCTAGTCCGGCTGCAGGCCATGCGCTCCATGGCGATCTACTCAGCAGTAGTAGAATGGAGGCACTGAGGGCATGGTGATTTTTCATTTTGTCATTTTTGTGATTTGACGTCTTCGAAACGCGAGTGGTGAATCCCTAGTGACTCGGACCAGTAACAAGAACCCGCCGAGGAACAAACAGCCAAGCAAACGCACACATTGTTCACCGACTCGCTAAGCCTAATTTAGTAAGTAGCCGAGTTCTTGTCGCGGGGCATTCGCAAGCCTTCCATCCATGTGGGGAACGAGAATTTTCGTCAGCTCCCTCTGGCCAAAAAAAGCTGAACTCAAAATGGGATGAAGAAGTCAAGAGAAGAGAAAGAAGTATAAAAGAAAACGAGAAAAGAAAAAGAAGTAAAGGAAGACGAGAAAAACTAACCAAGTAAAAGAAACCGAATAAAGTAGAAAGTAGACTTTTGTCCTCTGAGTGTCTTTCCTTTCGTTCCCTTAGTCCAAGGTTGTGGCGGCACCACCACTTGGAGTTCGGCTTTTTTTGGCCAGAGAGTGGTCAGTTGAGCAAACAGCCTTGCATCCCCACATGGCTCTCTTGCTCAATGAGCCTGGGTTTGGGAGTGTCATGGCGGCTTCCTGTCGGCATTTCCAGAACTGCGGTCCTCCAAGTTCTCACAGCCCAAAATTTGACCACCTCTTTCCCACTTCCATTCCACCCACAACATACACACGAACACACGCGACACACACCGATAATTCGTTCTCCAAATCGACAGGTTTGCACGCAATAACCCTGCTCCAAATCCATCATCGCCTGTGGACTTGCCTGTTCCTCTCCACAACTGACTTATTTCAATCGCCAAATCTTATTTCTCCTAACCCGTTTGTTTCCTTTGCCCCTCCCGCAATCAACCTCGAGACTTCCTCATCACAAAACAACCTACCTACCCAAGGCCAGCGCCACAACTCCCGTTGTATTCTCTCCAGCCTGCCTTCCCGGAAACCCGAGTTCAATGTGAATCACGCCCAATTGCCTGACTGCTGCTGATCTCGGCCCACCATCGACTGCACACCCACCCCCAAGGTGGATCGACTTCTATTCTCAACACAAGAACATAGCGGTCCTCAACACAACCGTGCTTGATGTCAAATCCATCCCCAGAAATCGTGGCTATCGCCAGCCCGAGCCCTCTTTCTCCAGTCCCCGTGCCCACCCAGAACGCCGCCCAGAACACGGCGGTTCCAAGACTCGAGGACCACGCAGCGACTGTTAGCGAATCGGCTCATTCCGAGATGCCGCTACCTGCTCCTCCTAATCCCGTCACAATGGACCCAGCCGCGGCGCCCAGCGGGTTTTCCGACACAATAGTAGTGGGCGGAGATTACTCGGGCGAGTCTCACGACGAGTCCGACGAGAGTATCGACTACGGCGAGGGCGAGGAGGGGCAAAAACAGGGGGGAGAGGAACCAGATACGGCCAACGATGACTATGCCAAAACATTTGATTCGCCAGCAGCTCATGAGGATCAAGATGGGGGTGAGGAGGCCCAGCCAGATGTATCAATGGCCTCGATATCCATGAATAGTGCGGCTACGCCTGACCCTGCAGCTGTCCCTTCTGATCACCCTCCCACCCCTCCGCCGGCCTTGCCCCATACCAACGGTGAGGTTCAAGCTCCAGAGACTGCCCTGCCGTCCGAGCAAACCAACGGCTCCGACCATCCCCCCGAGCTCCCGCCTGCCGCGGCGAGCACCATCCCATCATCCGCGGCGCCTGCCGCAACCTCTGCCACCGAACCTGCTGAGACGCAAACCCCAGCTACCCCAGCCTCCAATGGGGCTCCGGCTAGCGCCGCCCCGGCGGCTCCTGCGTCGGCAAATGAAGATGATGCCTCTGTTGACATCCAAAAGCTGGTAGACGACATTACTGCTAGAGCCGCCGCCACAGACTCGCCCTCTAACCCTCCAGTGCAAACCAGCCCCGTCACCTCTCAAGCTCCTCCGGTTTCCTTGCCCACATCTCATCCCCCTTCCCTCCCTCCCAAGCCTTCTCTCCCCAATCTACCAGCCGGCTTGCCCGCCATCCCACCGGCGCACTACTCGTTCCAACCCCGGGGCCACAATGCGCCCGCTGCCCCGGCAGTTCCGATGTCCCTCACCAACTCCGTCACATCGCATAGTGCGTACGTTGCAAATGAAGGTCTCGCTTCCTTACCCGCGCCACCGCCGGGTGTTTTCGGCGCGACATCTCATTCCCATGTCCATCACATGTCCCATGCCGGAGATCCTTCTTCCGGGAATTACCATGGCTCGTCCACCAAACAGCTCTGGGAGCAGTTCCAGGCCGATGAGAAACGATACACATCAGAGGCCAGGTGGGAGAGATTTCCGGAGGGCTCTCGTATTTTTATTGGTGAGTCCGTCCCAGTGTCCTTCTTTACAATCATGAGCTCATAGTGGCGATGCGATATAGGCAATCTGTCTAGCGAACGAGTTTCGAAACGCGAAGTATTCGACGTATTCCACAGATTCGGCCGGCTGGCGCAGATTTCCCTCAAGAGCGCCTATGGCTTCGTCCAGTACCACACCATCGCTGAAGGCAACGCCGCCATGCAAGGCGCCCAGGGCATCGAGCTCGGTGGCCGGAAGATTCGTGAGTAGTTCCCTGCCCGTCGCCTTTTGTCGCCGTCTAACCAATCCCTAGATCTTGAGATCTCACGCGCGCAAAAGAAAAAGGACGACCGAGATAGGTCTCCGGACCGCCGAGGCCCGCGGGGCTCTCAGGCGAACGAGCGGTTCGACAACGGCGATCGTAGTTGGAAACGAGACGACTACCGGCCGGTGCGTTCCCCCTCTCCGCGCCGGAATGACCCCCGCGGCGGCCGAGACGGCCACTACCCCCGAGACCGTGGATTCGACAGCCACCAACGCCGCCGATCTCGTTCGCCCGCGCGCTTCAGCCGCTACGGTGGTGACGACTCATACCGGCGTCGGAGCCCCAGCCCGCACCGCAGAGCCCCCTCTGACGGCGACCGGTTCGACTTGCCTCGCCGGTTTGGGGCCGATGTTCCCGACGTGCAGATCCTCCTTCTCCAAGAGGTCTCGAGAGAGTTCGTCGGCTGGGTCCAGGGAGCCTTCCATAACAAGGGTCTAAAGACCGATGTTATGTATCTCAATCCTCGATTCCCTCGAGAGACGGTGCTGCAGCGCCAAGTTGTCGAAGGGGTGTATGCCATCGTCGATCTTGATTACGGCGCGCAAACCAAGGGCAAGATCCCCGTCCAGGTATTCATCCGATCTGGAGGCAGCAGCGTCCGCTTCGAACTGTACCAGGACGTGGATCCCCCAATCGCGGCCGAGCTTGTCGCGAGGGAGAAATCCCAGTCGGCAGCACACCTCGCGCAACCCCAGGCGTCTTACGCGCCTAGTCACTATACTCATCCCCCTCACCAGCCGCAGGCGCGCCTGCCGGCTACCCCTCCTACCAGGCCTATCCTCAGCAGGCCGTCCTCCCTGCACAGCCGCAGCCTGCCCCTTCTGGTGCCGACCTCGCAAGCATGGTCGGCGGGCTCGACAACTCGGCTCTCCAAGCCCTTTTAGCGTCACTCCAGAACCCTCAAGCGGGTGCAGCCCAGACGTACCCCGGCGTCCCGGTTGCCAGCGCACCGCAGGCCGCCCAGATCGACATGAATGCCCTTCTCGGCAATCTCCGGAATGCCGCGGCAGCGCAGCCTGCGTCACCGACCTACGGGGCCGCCCCCACTTATGGTGTGTCCGTGGGCGCTGCTCCCAACGGTTACGGCGGCATGGACCCGGCTCAACAGGTTCAAACGATTATGGATCAGCTGAAGCGTGCCGCCCACTAATATCAAGTCGGATTGAGTGGCAGTAGTGGTACGGGGAGGTGTAGGTAACAAAGGGAGATACGCGCTGGCGGTTTTGAGCAGTTGGAACGCTCGGGACGGGCAGCTTCGCGGCCACTGTACAATGATCAGTTCTGTACCATCATGGTGCTCAAAGGCGCAGGTTTCAAGGAAGCAGAATCCGCGGTGCTTGCTTGACGAGTCCCAGTAGAAGGCGAGGCCGCTGTTGAGGGCGAGGCTAAGGGGGAGGAGCCCGATAAGAGTACATCCCCTACGACTAGTACCTCATTCAAGCGGTCGAGCCTTGGGTCCCCCAACCCAAGGAGGATTCGTCATGCATATTTGGAAGTTTCTCGATACCAGGCCACGCGGCCTCGTACTTAGCGATGATATTTTACGGTTTGATGGCTTTAAGGGATGCACAGGCGCTCCGGCTGGGAGGCGGGGCGCGGTCTGTGTTTGCATTGCGAGGAGATTCAGGGTTGAGAGATAATTGACGCAAGCTACTCGGCCAACTCTAGTGTAGTCCTGGTAATAGTTTTTGCCTTGCTTATCTCGCCGTCGCGCAAAGATAGACCTATCAAATTCTAGTAGCGTTTGCCTTCTTACTCGTACATATCCAGGTGCCGAACAGATTTCATCCTTCTGCCAACGGATTGATAGATACACACATACGTCCACCTATGTTGAAATTAGACTCCCTTTTATTTACCGGACTCCCTGACTTGGAACGGCCAGCATCACTTGTACTCTTGGAGCTCCTGCTGGCTGATTGCCGACGACCTGTCCTTCCGTCCTCTCTTGAAAACGAACCCGGGGTGCGCGATCATCAAGCAATAGACGGCAACGAGAACCAACCTATTTGAAAACAGAGTCAGTACCGGCCAACCAAGAGAAAAGTGAATCCCTGAAAGGAAAGAAAACAAGGAAGAAAGGGGATAAGAGAGGGAAACGGTGTAGAAAACACCACGACCAAAAGAAACACAAACCACTTACACGCCCTCCAAGCCAATAAACAACGCCTCATTGCCCACCAACTCCCCCCCATACCCCTCCTTCAGCTCAACCAACCGATACGCACACCGCACCAATATCAGCACCACAGCGAGCACCATAAACCCAAAAAACAGCTTCAACCTCCTCCCCTCCGGCCGCGTCCCCATCCCATCCCCAACCCCCTCATACCCCCCCACCTCATACCCCCCCACCTCATAACCCCCCTTCCTCACCCGAAAATACCGCACCAAGAAATCGCCAAAGAACCCACAAAACAGCACAATCGTAAACACCTGCAGACTGAGCCCCGCCAGGGCGAGGTTGACGCCCAGGGTGCTGGAGCCGGCCGACTCGGTGGAGAGGGCGCCGCCGGCGGCTTGGAAGACGAGCGAGAGGAGGTCGGACGGGATGAAGATGTAGTAGAAGAGGGTGGGGGGGAGGCGGGAGAGGGTGGGCGTTGTGGTGGGGGTGAGGGCGGTTATTCTGTTTGGGGGGAGGGGGCGTGGTTAGTTTGGGGGAGTTGGTTGGAAGGGGGTGTTTGGTGTTGGTTCTTGAAGGGCGGGGGGTTAGACCAAGGGGGGTAAGAAAGGAGTGGACTTACGTATTGGAGAGCGTGACGTAGATGGCGGCGCAGTAGTAGACGGGTCCGCTTGTGACGCAGACTGGGGGAGGTGGGTTTGGTTAGTGACATGCTCCTGTTGTCGTTGTTGTCTGCTGGTTCGTGAGTCAATCTGGGGAATTCAAACTTACTAATCTGTAGCATAAAGGCGGCGAAACTAAAGGGGTTGTAATGCAGCAACACGCGGCCGACGTAGCCCGCGATGGCGTTGGCTCCGCCCACGAGCATGCAGCCCATGAACCACCAGTGCTTCCACCGGAGGCCGAGGTACAGGTGTAGGGCCATGGAGAGAGTATACAGCGCGATGAAGAGAATGTTGGCAACGAGCGAGGGCTGGTAGCCGTACACGGACATCTCGACAGGACAGAGGGCGAGCGTGCAGTTGGCATCGGGACCGAAGACGACCATGTTTGGGGGTGGCCGTATGGCGTCAGGAGGGAGTGTGGAAGTCATGGTTGGTGGAGTGAGTATGATGGCCCTTGGGAGGTTGAGAATGTATACTGGCTGGAGTGCCTGGCTTGACTCGGACGGCAAGAGTTGAGACAGAACGGGACATGTCTTGACATATATACTGGTAGTACTCCGTCAACGAGCACGGCACAGCCTCGGCTCGCGAGTCGCAATCTACATAATTACAACTGCAGTCAAGATACTGCCTGACCGGGCCCGTCGAAGGATCAAGAAGGCCTAGCAGCAAGCGTACGTGTTGGCCTGGAATTCCCATGTTCCAGAATGCATCCTGGTTGACTTCGGTTTGCTTGCGCGGCTCACCCAGGGGTTGGAGGCTTGGTCCCGAACTCTATTTGGACATATGCTTGACAGGGGTGGTTCGCTTTCGGGCCCTATCCGATCGCATCTTCGCACCTTCGCATCTTCGCACTCGCTTAATTGTCGAATCAAAAACGATGTCGTGCGGCTGGGGGGGGGATGATGACGACGGGGGTCCACCAACAACACTACATACTACATGCCATCTCACTTACAAAAAGCCGTAGCAATTAATGGTGTGCGGTCCAATTAATCTGGGAGAAATGTTGATTCTAGGTGTCCGGTGTTCATGTGGTTACCATAAAGTCACATCCTCCCCCTCCCCCTTTTTCTCCTCGGCTGTGCCCTCTTCGATTCATATTGGGCTTCCGCAGTCCACTTACCGGCCAAGCTCTTGAATTCAAGATTTGCTGTTTCTGGTTGTCTGAGCAATCCAAACGACCAATTCCTCGTCCTTCAATCGAAAACGCATGGCCACGTGAGGTGTGGGGGGGGAAGAAAAAAAGGGGGTCTAAACAGGCCCGGGAGCGTGAAACACAGCTTGATCGTTTGCAAAGCTTCATGATTCAAACATAACCGTTAATTCAAAATCAGATCAATAGCCCCTAATGCATCCCTCACACTCACATACCAACTGCTGATATCAATCCCTCATAGTTCATCCCCTCCCAACCCCCCCTGGGCCTCTTCCAACGACGTCCCCTCAACAACAAACCAATCCCTCACCACGGCCGTCCCATTCACCACCGTCTGCCACACCTCGGGCTCGCAGGTATCCGGCTTCAGCACGTAGCACTTGGGGCTCGGCATCTCGGGCACCTCACTCTCCACCCAGGCATCCCGCCGGCCCTCCGTCACGAACCCGTCCCCGACCCTCACCCTCCCGGTCGGCACATCCCACCCGCCCATGGCCCGCCGAAACACCTCGTACGACGCCCTCGGCTGGTACGCGGGCACCTCATGCCCGGCCTGGAACAAGCGCGTGAAACTGAACGAACCGACCTGCTTGGTCAAGCCCTTCCACTCCCAGTCCTCCCCCATTCCATCCTCCCCGCCCTCCACCACCAACCTCGCATACCCCGCGCCCCTTCCAAACACCTCCCTCCCTTCCCACCGCACCCCGCGCGCCACCCTCTCCCCACCCACCCAATTCGCCATAAAGTCCCGATCCCCATACACCAAATGCACCGCCACCCCGGGCATCCACCAACCCCCCCACCACGCGGCAAAAAATCCCCCCCCCTCAGCATATCCCACGACCGCTCAGACGCCCCCGCCACCGCCGCCGACGCCGCCGTGTAATTGACCGGCACCCCCAGCGCGGCCAGCACCTCCCCGCGCGCCAGCCAGCCGCGCGCGTGCGGCGCCGGGAAGGGGTCCGCCGCCGGGTGGGCGATGTCGTAGGGTCCGCGGCGGGCGGTGGTCGTGTAGGTGTCGAAGCAGGCCGCTTCGAGGGTGGCGAGGGTGGTGGTGCAGAGGGTGGAGATGTTGGTGTTGGGGGGGTTGGGGTTGGGGTGGGGGGAGAGGAGAGCGGTTTGGCAGGCGAGGAGTTGGGCGTGCCAGCCGTGGGGGCGCGTCCAGTTGTGTAGGAGGGAGGTGTGTAGGGAGGGGGGGTAGAGCGGGGGGGTGTAGGTCTGGATGGGGGTTAGTGACGGGGAGGTTTTTGGGTTGCTGGATGTGGTTTGGAAATGGTGAAGGGGTGCGTGTTGGTTGATAAGGGGGCTCACGTTGTTAAAGGGGAAGTCGAAACAGGCTTCCGCAAGGATCGACCAGTCAATGGCGCCGTTGATGATGCCTAGAGTGCCGAGTTGTAAGGGGCGCGCCCCAGGGTGCGACAAACTCCCGTTGGCAATCCGCTCGTTCTGCTCCTGGAAGAAGCGAAAGAAGCCCGGCCCGTAGCGCCCACCGTAGCTCTCGGCCCAGAGGTTGATCTTGCCGTCGTCTGGCCGGTAGTGTGGGAACTCGAACAGCCACGTCTGCAGAAAGTGCCACATGGCGTGGGCGGACCGCTCCGTGGTGTTGGTGGTCTGGGACACCTTCTGGCTCCCCATGGTCCCGACCCAAAAGGTGTTGTTGGTCGCGGGGATCTCGCCGTCGGTGAAGCTGGTGGGCGTGATGACGGGCTCGGACGGGTCCTCGACATCCAGCTGTATCGTCACGTTGGTCAGGACGTCGTACGAGAAGCCGGTCTGCACGGGCTGGTCAATGTAGAGCATGTTGACCTCGTTGTTCCAGCTCCAGGGATTGGGGTATGTCGACTTAGAGTCCGGCGCGACAAAACAGGGGCCGTTCTCCTCCAACAGGCCCATCATGGACGAACCCCCTGGACCGCCGTTCAGCCATATGGCCAAGGGGGCATTGGCTGGGTCCTTACGGGCTTCGAAGAACCAGAAGAAGCTGGTGTTGTCAGTTACGGCCAATCCACTTGGTAGGACAGCTGCACTGACGTGTTAATGGGATAGTCCTGGTCTCCGTCCTCGAGAAAGTTGGGCGGAAGATGGACGTATCCCGAATACGACTTGACGCCTGGCGTTGTTTCGCATAGTCCGGGCTGTTGATGGTTTTAGTTTGGGCTGGTTTGTGGATGGATTGGAACAAACTGACCTCTTTAAACGATATGCTGACATTCTCATGAAACTTGGAACTGTATCACGGTGATGCCCTCCCTTTTTGGGGGGAACTGAGCGTGGGCTCCCAGGAGGAGAGCGGAGACAACGCCGCCGAATAGACTCCTGTTTTTCATTTTGGCATTTACTCTTTGGGTAACCCCTAGAACTTTCTCTGAGGATTGCTTGTTACTTCGGAGAAGGATGGTTCAGTGACGCCCAAGACGCGTAAGTCGACTCAACCCCAATGCCCGTGTGCCTCGGATTTAAATCCGATCCTGGCCGCCCACCTGCCTATTTAGGAAGCCGGCTGCATCAGCCAGGGAGATAGAGGAAGGCTAGGTAGTCTAGAAACAATCTAAGTGAAGAAGGCATTAGGTTATGTGCTGCGTTAAATGGTGAGGGCTACTTCGGCCGTGGGAATAGGTGGAAGTGAGACAAACTCATAGTCCCTCCCGTTGCTGAGTGCGCCCAGCTTGATATATATCAGATTCGATATCCCTGACATACACTGAAGAGGGCTTCCCCTTCGCGGACATCTATATCCCAACATACTTCTAAAGGCCCGTCTAATCCCGTAGTTACAGCCGTAGTACACAGTTATACACGCCATCCACACCCTGCCTCTCAATCCTGCCACTCGCTGTCCTTAAGCAGCAGCAACCTCTTCACGACCTCCTCCCGCCCCTCCTCCCCCAACCTCCGCTCATCCGTCAACCGCAACCACTTCCCCAGAGCCTCCCTCAACTCCCTCTCCCCCCGCCCCAAAATATCCACCCCGCGATCCGCACACGCCAGCCGCAGCTCCTCCTCAACCAGCACCTTCGCCCCGCCCGCCGCCACCAACAACGCATCATCCTCCCTCAAAAACGCCAACCGGCCTCCTCCACCCGAGGCCGCAGCACAAACCCCGGCGTCCACACCCCTGACCCTCAGCCCCCAACAAAGCCCGGCATATCCCCCGGGCCCACCTCCCCCACAGGAGGAGCCCTAACCACCCCCCTGAATCCCTGAACTTCTTCCATCAACCCCTTAAGCCTGCCTCGGAATGCGACACCTCAACGGCACGGCCGCCGGTAGCGCCAGCACGACAAGCGGCATAAACTCGCCACACACCACCAGCAGCAGCGCAAACAGCGGCAGCCGGCGGGACATCATGCTGCCAGCGCAAGCGCATGAGCCTGTGCCGTCTGGAGCCGTGGGAGGGTCGGGGCATTACATTGGGTATTTCTCTTTTGGGGAGTGTGGTGCTGGTGATGGTCCCCAGCTTCGGGGGGGAGGAGGAGGGGTCTTTCGGTGGTGGGCTTGGTGGAGTTCAGCAGCCGGGTGTTGGTGGCGATGGATGTGAGGCCGGTCTTGTAGAACTTGAGGTAGGCGACTCCCGTGGCGAAGAGGTGGGAGAAGTTGGCGGGGGAGAGGAAGGGTGGGGGCGGGGCGTTGCTGGGGGTCGCGCGGGTCGGGAGGTTGAGCGGTGGGGGGCGGGTTGTCGAAGGAGGGTTCGCAGATGCTGCTGCTGCGGCGGCGGCGGTTGTGATGGCGTCGGTGGCGGAGGAGGGGGGGGTTCGGTTTCGGGTTCGGGTTTGCTCGTGGCTCGGGGTGGTGGTGGTGGTGGTGATGGTTGCGGCGGCCGTAGAGGCGTGTCGGCGGTGGTATTTGGGGGAGATAGAGCTAGAGGTGTTGCTTGGTTCGAGTGCGTGTTGTTGTTGTATCCTCTTGCAAAGCGCCTTCTCGAGTGAGATCAGGGTTGATCTCGGTTGCGTATGGTGCTGTCTTGACAATTGGCCATTGATCGCCATTGGTGCGTAATGCGCTGCTAACGAGGATGCGGCGTTGATGCATTGCACTGGCCATGTTCGGCCCGGCCACGGCTTCGAAGCTGGGCGACTAAATTGTGGTTGCAAGAAGTTCAGAGTGTCAAAGTTGACATGTGTAATCTGTGGATTACATCAGAAAGCCAAATCGCATCTGACGCGCATCAATGAATGAGTTTTGGTATTGAGCTAACCGTATTAGGCAAGAGAGCGACGGCACATGTAAGACACGGACATCCTCGGCCACATTGGATTGTTGGACTTCGCACGGAGGTATTGTTGCAACCTGGATCTCAATGACACGAGTTAGACTCCAAAAACTGCGCCGAGGAACGCCTAGCCTCTGTCTTTCTATCTTCATCCTCTAACCATCTGTAGAACCAAAAAGAGGGCAAATCCCTTGCAACAAGATCCCAAGAAATACCTACTTCAACACTACCTACAAGTACACCTTTGCATAAAGCATGCCCATCCTCGCGCACACCTCCCGTATGCGCTCCAACTTCTCTAATTTTGTCTGGCAGTAAACTCGCATCGAGTCCTCCCAGAGATCCTTTTCGACATCGCGGTCCAAGGTGTCCCGCAGCCAGCCCGGGTCGCCCCACAGCCGCACATACTCGCCCTTCTCGTTCTTCGCGACAAAGCCCGACTTCTCATCAAGGACGTGCGTAAAGTCAGGCTTCACGCCGTTATGGTGCAAAAACATGATGCGGTGGTCGAGCTTCTCCCACGTCAGGTTGCCCACCGTGCCGAGGAACGACGAGTCAGTGATAAAGTCTTCCTCCGCTACGGCCGCCGCTTCGCCCTGCGCGCGCGCCAACTCAACTCCCCCAGAGTGCTGCCTCTTTTTCGGCCCAGGACTCGCATGGGCTTCGTTCTTTCCGGCCTTGTCGACGGCCGCCACAACTCCCTGATAATCCACCATCGGATCCATCTGCATCATGAACATGCCCCTCCACTTGCCGTTGACCGTCCGCCCGTGCGAACGGGGCATCTTCTTGACGTCGTAATATCCCTTCTTGACGCCGACCCCGGGTTTCATCCACGCCGTCGGCTGCTTGTATACTCCCCGGCTCCGCAGCCCTTCCAGCACCAGCGCAGCGTGGAAATAGGTTTCCTTGTCGCCTTCCCCCGCACCGTGCTGGCAGAGCATGATATAATAGTGCTTCGGCCCGTTATAGTTGTAGTAGGCGGCGAGGAGGAGGGTGTCGGCGTGGCGGGATTTATCGTACACCATCATGCCGCTCTCCGAAGTGGCCCGCGAGGTTACTGATGGGACCTCGAGGTCGCCAGCGATCCTGTAGAACCGTGGCGCCGTGGTCGACGCCCAAAAGTCGGGCCAGGTTATAAACCCAGTCGAAGTAAACGGTTCGGAACCGAGGTCGAAGATGGGATCCGGATTCCGTACGAGAAGGCAGTCGGCGTCGAGGAAGAGTACGTTTTGAAAGGTCGACGCGATGATCGAGAGGTACTTCCACTGAAAGCGCATCAACTTTCTCTCGGGGAGATCTATACCAGTCCACTTGTCGGGGAGGGATACGCAGGTAGCGTTGAGCCGAGGCATCGTCTCAGAGCACACGAGATCCACCCATGGTGAGGACGAATCGAGTATAATCTCTATTGGCAAGCGGGAGCCCGCTCGCCGCGCCATAAGCACCAGCGAGATAACTTGCCCAAAGTTGCGCTCGCCGGCTGTCGTTACGATTCCGGTAGTGCCGGCATGGTAGGGCAGGTGGCTGGCGAATACGGCAAGCTGGTTAATGAAGGAAGCATGCGACTCGCGGAGTATGGCCTCGTCCTCCTCGGTGAGATCAAGCCGGTCCAGGCGTGTTCCGTCGACATCGGGTTTCCAATTGAGTGAACGACCGCGGAGCTTAAGGGGGGTTAGCGTTATGCGGGTGCTCTCGAGACGGCCGAAAAACTCGATCCACCACCCACTGGGTTCATGCTTGCCGGGTTGGGGACCGGGAGCGGTGGGGGCGGGAGCGGAAGCGGGAACATGCCGTGTGTAGAAGTCGTCAAAGAAGGACAGGCGATGAGCAAGGAGGGTAAAGGAGAGCAATGAAAGAAGAACCAGGATAAAAAGCTTCACCTTGCCGTTGTGAAGGAAGGATTTTAGCGAGTGTTGGAGGAACGCGAGGCTTCCTCGTACGTTCCAGGCGTCCATAGGAAGGCTCGAAGGTGAGATGCTTGGATAGGTGGTAGGTAAGGTAGGGTAGGTAGGAAAGGAGCTACCGGGCAACGGCAAAGACATCAGAACACTCGGCAAGCGCTATCGCATTGTTGCTGTCTCACTCGCACCTTCTTTGGCAGCAATAGAAGAGGTTACCTCCCTATTGTTTCGTCAATTTCATGTCCTCGGTAGCACCAGAGCACCAGAGCACGCGGGCCATTCGGGGCAGTGCCTGGTCACTGGCCTTCCAAACCGTTGACATTCTTCTCTGTGACCCCCATCTTCGTGCGCATTGTTGATACCTACCTTAGCACCCTTCCCCCCCCTTTTTTTTTTTCCGTTCCGCTTGGCCACGGAATCATCTCCGTGGGTCATTCTTGGCTCAACGTGCCGTGGTCCCGGCCGCAAGTCTCTCCGTGTTACGCAACACACTGCTCGTATCTCGCATTCCGGGGATAAGGTGTGTGCGGGAGAGATTGAACCCGCTCGAGACAAGCTCGCTGGCTCGAGTAAGCTGGCACTTCGAGAACAACCGCCGCGGCATTCTTCCAGCTTCCAATTCCCAAGTCCTGACCCAAATCTCAACCACCGCCGAAGCACGCCAACGACGAACTGAGCTGGTACCAGTACAGACTGGCTGACTGGCCAAGAAGAGCCCGTCAGATGTCTCCATCATCGATGGGATGACCCATCATGGAAGTCTTTCATTGGGTCGCCCGTACCATGTCTTTCGTATGAGGTCTGTCACTGTCATCGTTATCCCCGACCCCTGTAGGGAGCTTTCAGGTTGCGTGTCTGGGTGGCTGAGCAACCTGCCGCTGGCCGCCAAGTTCCAGAATCAATTCGCTGACCGTTCCAGACACCCAATAGGTGGGCTTGCCTCGTATACGAATTATAACCTTAAAGATATGGGGCCTGATCGGTTGAAACCATGGTTACGGGAACCAGCTTTTTTTGTGACTTCTTCGGGTCACTAGCGAAACCGGCTTCCGCTTTGCTTTCACACATCTTTCTGGCGCACGGACCGTTTATGCATCTAACCAACCACACCGTGTGCCCTCGCACGCATTGGTGTACTGTACATACCAGGTAGGATATACATGGTAATGCAACAACGTAGTATTACGATGGATGGCCTTCAGCCAACCTGGACTGTCAGCCAGAAATGGCTGTTATTACGATGACCGTGGTCGAATAATAAGCCGAACCCGGCTCTTCCATCAACGGTTAGGTTAATAGATAAGAGAGGGCACGTCTGGCTTCCTTGACCAAGTGCTGGATGACGATGGTTCTAGCTGCTGCTGCTCGACTGCCGGCCCGCCCGTCGTGTGCCGTCGCCGCATTTCGGACGATGCGGGTACGGTCTCCGTGTCGCTGTTTGCCAGGCAGTGGGCTTACACAGTAGGGATAACTAAGAATGTGATTATATACAGAGCGTTGGCTAAAAGAGGACAACCCGAGAGTCATATAAGTAGTTTTGCGGAGCCATATATATGCGGCGGTGATCTGACGCTGTGTGGTCGTCGGTGTCTGAGTCGTTAGCTACGCTACGTCACACTGGCTGTGGCTGGAGGGCAGCTGAGACTGAAGAAGTTCAGCCGCAAAACCACCCTGACAGCGAAACATCATACCAACAGCTGACTGTTCTACAGTACTGTAACTGTATATAGACGATCGATCGACTCGATCGCCAACGATGGCACAAATGTCTGCGTCTTTCGGGTCCAACCACCATGGTCTCCAGGTAGGGTACAATTATGGGTCGATCGAGTTCCCCCCGCCGGGTAAGATTACCGTGGCACCGTGCAGAGCCGATGGGATGCCCCACTAATGTTCAGATCTCAGAAAGACGGGAAACGCCGCCGATTCCCTTCGCGACCATCCCCTTCTCCCGCGACCCCGATTTCGTCAACCGTGGAGACATTCTCGATCAAATCGACGAGCGCTGTTCCGAGCTGGCCGGCCGTGTGGCCCTCGTGGGCCTGGGCGGTGTCGGCAAATCGCAGTTGGCCATTGAATATGCGCATCGGATCGCCGCGGGGCATCTTGACAGATGGGTATTTTGGGTCCACGCCGGCACGCAGGCGCGTGTCGAAGAGGGTTTCAGAAAGATTGCCGACAACGTCAAGCTAGCAGGGCCGAAACCAGCCCGGGGCCGATATCCCACAGCTTGTCTACGGCTGGCTGTCCAACGAGCGGAACGGCAGATGGATCATAATCCTTGATAGCGCTGACGACCGCAATGTATTCTACAGTAGCGACAACGTATGCAACAGGAAACCATTTGCAAACTTCCTACCACAGAGTCGAAACGGGTCGATCATCATCACAACACGCAATAAGGACCTGGCTTCCAGGCTGACCGGACGCCGCCAAAACATCATCGAGGTCGGACCGATGGTGCAGATGGACGCCCTAACGCTCCTGGAGAGGAAGCTGGGATCAATCCTGAATACCGATGCGGCAGCCAAGCTTGTACGCGCGCTCGACTTTATTCCGCTAGCCATCAGCCAGGCTGCCGCCTACATACAGGCAAGGGCACCGCGAAGCTCTCTCGAGAAGTACCTTTCTGAGTGCCAGGAGTCTGAGCGCAAAAGGAGCAGGCTTTTAGAGCATGATGCTGGAGACCTACGTCGGGATGGAGGCGCGTCGAACGCGATTCTCACGACATGGCAGATATCTTTTGACCATATTCGGTCCGAGCGGCCTTCTGCGGCGGATCTCCTTTCGCTTATGAGCTTCTTTGATCGACAAGGCATTCCGGAGTCGCTCCTCAAGTCCTCTAAGCAGACCAAAACCGCAACTCGAGCAAGTGGTTCCGAAGATGCAGAAGACTCAGGGAATCCGACAGCAGCGATGACGAGATGGACGGTCGGTTCGAAGACGATGTGGCAATATTACGGGACTACGACTCTTATCGTCGTGAATGAGGCGGGGGACCAGTTTGAGATGCATGGGCTCGTGCAGCTGTCGATGAGGAAGTGGCTGGAAACGTTTCGGCCAGCAGGAGACGTTCAAGCAGCAGTTCATCGAGCAAATGGCAGCGTCATTCCCGACAGGGGAGTACGAGAACTGGGTGAAGTGCTGGAGTCTCTTCGCGCACGTTCAAGTGGCCCTTGGTTACCAACCCAGCGAAGAGACAGTCGAAATATGGGCGACACTTTTGCATAACGGGGGATGGTATGCATGGTCGCAAGGGAGATATGAAAGTTGCAGAGCAGATGCTAGGCAAGGCGAGAAATGTTCGCAAGAAAAAGTTGGGTGCAGAGAATATGGCGACTCTTGCAAGTATATCACTATTTGCTCTGGTCCAAATGGACCGCGGCCAGTGGGAGGAGGCCGAGAAGCTGTTTGTGCAGGTGATGGAGACGAGCAAGACCAAGCTCGGGGCCGACCACCCAGACACGCTGACGAGCATGGCCAACCTGGCATCGACATTTTGGAACCAGGGCCGGTGGGAGGAGGCCGAGAAGCTGTTTGTGCAGGTGATGGAGACGAGCAAGACCAAGCTCGGGGCCGACCACCCAGACACGCTGACGAGCATGGCCAACCTGGCATCGACATACAGGAACCAGGGCCGGTGGGAGGAGGCCGAGAAGCTGGACGTACAGGTGATGGAGACTCGCAAGACTAAGCTCGGGGCCGACCACCCTTCCACGCTGACGAGCATGGCAAACCTGGCATCGACATTTTGGAACCAGGGCCAGTGGGAGGAGGCCGAGAAGCTGGAGGTGCAGGTGATGGAGACGAGCAAGACCAAGCTCGGGGCCGACCACCCAGACACGCTGACGAGCATGGCCAACCTGGCATCGACATACAGGAACCAGGGCCGGTGGGAGGAGGCCGAGAAGCTGGACGTGCAGGTGATGGAGACGAGCAAAACCAAGCTCGGGGCCGACCACCCAGACACGCTGACGAGCATGAACAACCTTGCGTTTACTTGGAAAGGTCGAAGGTCGACACACAGATGCTTTGGCATTGATAGAGGACTGTGCTCAGGCTCAGCAGCGAATCCTTGGCGCAGACCATCCATACACTCGGTCGTCCTTGGCCACTGTAGCCAAGTGGAGTAGCTAGATACCGGTTTTCCTTTTTCTTTTTCTTTTTTTTAAAGGTATTGTGTGACGAACCTGTCTCTGGGCCCGTCCTGTTAGGGTTCAGCTTCGGTTGAAGGTATTCTCTCAAGGGTGCTTAGGTTCGATGCAGCCAAAAGGTACACAACAAAGACTTGTCTCAACAGTAGGCTCTCGAGCTTGTAGCGAACTGTAGTTGTGATTGCTAACTGGAGAACTCCCAGAGCTCTCCAGAACGAGTGACTATATACTATCTCGGCCTCTAGGTACCTTCGTACCTATGCTCCTGGATCGTCTTATCTATCTAACGATCCTGTTCTGACTGGTTACTCTGGGATGGTGAATTCCTCTTCACGATCCGTCCCTGATTGGCCGATGCCCCATTCTTAATGATTGGCTGTCACGGCACCAAGCCTGACCTGCTTGGGTCACGTGGGCAGCACGTGCCTACGCGACCTGGACCCACACTAGAAGCAGTATCTCCTCTCTGTTAGCGTCCCCTTGCGAGAGCTGATGTGTCAGTACCCTCCTGGGAGCTCCTCGCTTTGAGGTGTTCTGTCAAGCTCTCTCCCGAGGAGGTTGACAGCTTTGCTGATGCGCTTCGCATCTATCCCACCAAGACCCAGGTCGTCGAGTACAACCACCAACACATGCTTGGCCTGGACAGCCCCGCCATTCAGGTCGAGGCAGAGCACGAGGGTGTTGGTGCGGAGAAGGTTAAATCCTCAAATGCCGGCAACTTGGCCAAGCGCTTGCCCTTGTGTGTTGGTTGCAGGGTGATGCTAACGCGGAACTTGTGGGCGGACGTCGGGCTCGTCAACGGTGCGCAAGGCACAGTCTACGACATATCCTGGAAAGAAGATGCTGACGTGCTGCGAGACCCGCCCGAGGTCATCATGGTGGCCTTCGACGACTACGACGGCCCCGCCTTCACGATGCCGAACGGGGAGCCGCTCCGCAGTGGAGAGAAGCTGGTTGTTCCCATCCTCCGAGTGCGGCAGGACTTCATGGTCGGCGCCAACTCATGTTCAAGAGAGCAGTTCCCGCTGTTGGTCAGCTATGCGATCACCGTCCACAAGTCACAGGGCATCACTCTCGACAAGGTTGTCTGCGATATCTCTGCGCCGGAGTTCGCTTCTGGTCTCTCCTACGTGGCCGTTTCCCGGGTGAAGACACTGGGTGGGCTAATGTTTGAGAAGCCCTTCGACCGCAACAGGATCTATCACGAGACACCATCACGAGCTATGGGGTTAAAATTGTCCGATCACGCTATCAGACAACTGCAGGCGTTAGATGCTGTGGCGGGGAAGGATCCCTCAGAGGAGTCAATAGGTATATAAGTAGCGACGACGAGAGTGTAGATGCATCAGCGCTTGGAACGATAATAGAAATGATTGGTATAGGTGGGATAAGAAGCTCGAGTGAATGGAGTTGTTGGCCGACTGACAGATATTGGCGCTTCGTCTCTCCCGTGATCAACCCTAACCCCGATTGTCCTCCGGAGAGGGACAGGAAAATTGCCAGGAGCGGGAGAGAGTAAGGAAGCGCCCCGTAGCGTAGCGAAGGGTCGCGCGACTGACGAACGAAGCGACGCCAGCAATTTTGTAGTATATTTCTTTTCAGGAATACGATAGATAACTACCTAACTAGGGGGTTCTGTCACCACCGATTTCGTAACCATGGTTTCAACCGATCACGCCCATGGTTGGTAAACATTGGATACAACGCGGCTGAGGTACAAAATAAACTCGTCGAGAACGCCGGCCGCTTCATCCCGCCCTGTCGATCTCCAGGGGGTCCGTCCTGTCAAAACTATCAACCCATCACGCCGACGCCGCCGCCCACTCCTCGTTGATCCCCCGATAATCCTCCGGGCCATACGCACTAAAAAGCTCAGCAAACACACCATCCTTACGATGCGTCTTCAAGCCGAGATCCCGCAACAGCATATCCAAATACGGCACCGCATCAAAAATAAAAGTCGGCGCGCGACTGCCCCAGTCGATCGGGTACCGCCAGCGCCCGAAGCGATTGTGCAGTAACGCCTCCCGCCGAATCTTTTCCAGTTCCAATTTCGGCCCCCCACCACTGCCTGCTGTCGAGTCCCTGGCCCAACCCACCCACCCGCCCCTCAAAATACGCCGCCACCCACAAGCCCTGCACGTGGGCCGTGATGACGTTGCTGAAGTTGGCGACGCTGCCGACAAAGGCGATGTCTCGGGTGCGCAGGAAGCGCGCCGAGGGCGGTACCATGAAGCGGTGCAACATGAAGGGGGTTAATGAGGCGTTGGGATTTCCGTCACCGTTATCGTCCGCAGTAGTGGGGAGGTTGGTGCCCGGCAGCGGCTTGTAGCGCGCGTTCCAGACCGGCTCGTCGCGCAGCCGCGGGAAGGTGGCGAGAATCTGGGCATCGGTCTGCGCGAGGAGGTCCGGCTGGCACGCGAGGTCGTCTGAGGACGGCGACGGGTCCGCGTCCGCCGCGTGCGGCAGGCCGAGCTCGCGGTCAATGCCCTCGGGCAGGAACCGGATGGGCGGCACGTGCTTCCACCCCGTGTTGGCGAGCAGCACGTCGGCCCGGAGCTGCACACCGTCCGAAAGGTGCACCTTGCCCGGGCTGAGGTGGGTGATGTCGCCGACGTGCACGCGGATCTTGCCGTCTTTGACGAGCTGGAAGAAGTCCGTGTCGTAGTTGAGGATGCTGAAGCTGGTGCCCGAGTACATGGCCGGGAGCCACGGCTTGAGCTTGGCCGTTTCTGGGTGCGCGTCGTATTTGTTCAGCGCCAGCACGTCGCCGCCCAGGACGCTCCAGAAGACGTCGACTATCTTCCGCCCCAACGTGGTGCCGTGCAGGAAGTTGCGGATGCCGCCGTAGCCGTCCACGTTGCCCCATATGCAGGGGCTGAACCAGGTGAGAAATCTGATGTCTAGGAACCCAAGTCAGATATGCTGCGCGATGAGGGGAAGCGGGACCTATGATCGTACTAGCAAGTTTCTCAATCCACTTCTTCAACGGCGTCACGTATGAAGGCGACATCCAACAGGGGCCGTGACCAGATTCTGAGTCGGTCTGTTAGCTGGGGCACTATCCCCTCGCCTCCCTACTGCGCAGGACTCACCCCGGATAACCATGTGCGTCTCCACGCCCGCAGTGGCATAGGCGTAGGCGGCATCCCAGGCGAACTTGTGGCCGCCGAACACCACTGCCGACTTGGCAGTATCTAAGGTATCGCGGTTCTGCTGGAAGTCCTTGCCGTGAAAGAGGCGGCCGCCAAAGGTTTCCTGGCCTCGGAAATGCGGGAGGAAGGCCTCTGATGTTATCCCCGTGGCGATGATGAGCCGGCGTGCTTTGACGAGCTTCTGCTTCTGCTTGCCACTGGTAGTCGAGGAAGCAGTGGTCAAAACCCAGCCCCCTTCAGCCCCGTCCAAGTGCTCGGCCGACAACACCTTCGTCCCCGACCTAATATGCTTGGCGATGCCGAACTCGGTTGCGTAGGCCTGGAGATACTCGTAGACAACTTCGCCAGGGATATAATTATCCGTCTTGACCCGGAACCTTGCTGTGGTCATGGGAAAGTCAGGATATTCTAATGTCCCCAACAGATTATTGCTCTTCAGCAGCGGATATATGCGCTCCGAAGCCCATGACCCTCCCAGCGTGGACTGCCCGTCAAACACCACCAACGAGTCCGTCGGGTGAGTGACGTGGTACTGTTTGGCCGCGCCTAGGCCGTACCAACCTTTGGAGTTAAGTTAACATCTGATATATCCCTAGATACCACCACGAGTATGGCCAAAGGACTCAGGAGACTCACCGGCGCCGACGACCACGCAATCGAAGCTCTCCATCCTAGAGACGCAGGCGTTGTGCTTTGTGATGTTGAATCAGAAAAACACCACCATCAGCCCCAAACAAACAATCTTCGTGGTGCTGACTGCGTCCCTCACGGGCCAAGCCAAACCGAGATGCTGCGATTGGCCTTCCAGCGAGATTCTCATGGTCCCTGTCACTTTCACCACAATCCCACTCAATTTCCATCCCGCTTCCACTCAGCTGAACGGATGCGAACCCCGCTGTCATCCAAAACATCCGTTCAGTGCTACCCACCCTATGTCAGCATTTAGCGCAGACGAATCCGATTCTTTTTATTGCGCCTGTAGCGAGGTGCATCCCATCTCACCAACACGCATTCGGGTCGGTATTATAGCCAATAGGAGTAAGTAGCTCGGAACAGTCCTGAGGTCCTTTTTAAGGCACGACTTCCAAGGTTGACTAGTTCGGTGTCAATATTCGTTGTGCCATCGCCATGGCATGAATCATTACTCTTCTCTACTATACGTTTCGTATCATCGGTGCCATGAAAGCAAACCCATTTCCCACTATTCTATAACCCACAAACTCCAACCAGAAAATTCACAACGTCCAGTTATCCCACCAAGATATTCTTCCCCTCCACAATGTACCAGATCATTGCAAACAACAACGTTTTTTGAATAGCGGTTACAAGAAAGGCGGACTCCGGTGGGGGAAGGGTCCCTTGGTTATAAGATGTCGACCAAATGTTGTCCAGAGAAACGAATTGAGGAACAATATCGCCCAGTGTACTTTTCTTTTTACTGGTCTTCTTTCCTTTAATTCCTTTTGCGCGGTTTCTTTCCCATCACTTCTTTTGCCCTTTCTCGTGTCCGGACCCGGGCTTTTACTCGGATTTTTCTCTTAGGACTCAGCTGACCGACGGTGACTTCGGCATTACAACGGTCTAGCATCACCACTGCGAAGGTAACATCTATGATATCTATCTTTGATGCCCGTTCAATGGTGAACGTATTTAGTTACTATGGTAGGGAATCACTTTATGTTACCTCTCTGACGTTCAACCAGGCACCCTCTGACAAAGGAGCTAGACTCCGAAAAGAAAAAAAAAATGAAAAATTATCCTGAAGGAGAGGAAATCAACTAGTAGATCCAGCTATTTTCTGTTTGGCTTAATAGAGTCAATAGGTATCTGCTGCACACTTCAACATTCTACCTATCTATCTGATTACCTTCATAGGAACCCGCCTCGACTTGGAGTTCAGTTTGTTTTAACTAATATGGGAAGAATACTGGCGGACTCCTCCAGCTGCCTTAGTCAAACAAATGCAGAGAGATGTACTTTAGGTCTCCTCAATGAGGCAAAGACTGTCTCAGAGGTGCGCCCGGTCCGATTAGTGTAAAAGCGGTGACGAACTCCGGCCTACGTCTATCTACCTTACCCCGGCCATGGCTCCAACAACTTATGTCCTGAAGCTAGGTAGAGATATAGGCCCTCAACACCTGTTATCGGTCTCGAGTCTCTCTTTCCGATGTCGACGTCAAAGAGGCGTTCGTGGAATGTAACTCTAGCAGTGCATGGTGTCTCGCGGTCAAAGTTAATTGCACCATCTCAAGTGTAGATTATGATGACAATTGCGTAGTCTATTTTGAGGTGAATGAAGGAGTTGGATGGTGACGGCAATGCCAAGTTCGTTCCGGTGGTGCCATAGACGACGAAACCAAAGACGAATATGGATCCTACGAAATGTTTCCGGTGGAAGATTGAATTTGGGTACAAAAATATAGGGAGGCATACTTATCACTTCCGTATATTCAACCGAGGGATCAGTATGAGTCTATGATGGACAAAAGATGTGTTTGTAACACGCGTGTTGGCCGAAACGGAATGCAAGGCGGAGAGAAGCGAGCTGTCCAGGTACATATTTACCTAAATACTGTATAACCACTAAGCCCCAGCAAGGATGACAGCTTCTGGCCTGTCATTATAGGTTTAAAGAGCGCTGTCCGTTATACTCAGTCCAATTCGAAAAATAACGCTGTTGCCCGACGGCGAAAGCCACTCCTCGCATTCTTACAATGTCGCCCACCCTCCATCCAGAGCGAGCACGGGTTGGGTAAGCACATGCATCTTCGAAGGATTGCCATTTTGGCAGACGAACATGCCATGCAGAGCCAAGAGGGGATCAAAACCCGATAAACCAATCGATAGTTAGCGCCCCATTAATCTCCGGTTCTTGGCAGGGCAGTCCCACTCTGCTGCACAGGCCCCAACCTCCGACGAACATTGAAGTTCGGCCCGCAGCCGCCGAGCCAACCTCTCTTTCGTCCCGACTTCTTTTAACCAGGTATGTTTTTCCTGGCTGAGCGAACAGTTCTCAACCTCTTCTTTTTATCTGGGCTAGGTAATGCTCTGACGCGGCCATGAGTTTTCTCAATTACCACTTCATTGACCTATCTACGGCCGAGAAGCAGGTCCGCCGCCAGACTCTCGACAAATATGCGCTTTACGCCCAGCTGTCCGTCTTGGCTCTCGTGGCTATCCTCCCGATATCCCGTCTATGGAAGCAGCAGTCCAAGGCTGGCGCATCCGAAGGCCGTTATGCGCCTGTACCGAGCTCTCCGATATTGAAGGAGCGTAGGAACAGCAATGTGGCGACTTGGAGTTCTCGGTCTAGGAGGCTTCAATGGTGGTTGGGTGAGGATGTTGTGGTGGCCGGGTGGGTATTGGGCCAAAGAGATCGTGCGTAAAACCCATTCATAATTTGGGCTTTTTTTTTTTTTTTTTAAAAAAAAAAAAAGCCCGTCGGGGGGACTGTGGTTAACAAATGGACAGAATTGGGTCGTCGGGCTGTTGTGGGCCGCCTGGCTGCTGCTGCTCTCTGTGATGGAAACCGGGGATGGTAAGTCGCGGACCCGCCCGCCCCTATTGCAGTGTAGTGTACTAATCTCCACAGACTACCTACATCTGACAAAGAGACTCGGAGTCGTTGCCATCTCACAATGGCCGCTCCAATATCTCCTGGAACTCAAGTCACTTAACCCTGTCGCCTTCCTCCTCCAGTCGTCTCACGAGCAGGTCAACCGCTGGCACAGGGTCATGGCGCGGGTCACAGCCGCCTTGCTGTCCCTCCATGCAGGCCTCTACCTCAACTTTTTCGTCGAGAGAGACCGTCTCGACCGACTGGGTGAGCCCGTGGTTTTATCGGGGGTCATAGGCTTCGGCGGCTTGCTCTTGCTTGCTACGACAGCTCTCCGGCCGGTTCGCAGGTATTCGTACCGGCTGTTCTTCATTATCCACTTCCTTGCGGGAATCATCGTTCCCGCGCTCATCGTCATCCATGCCACCCCGGCCAGAACGTTTCTGTTCGAGTCCCTTGGTGTATTCTTCCTCGACCTGATCTCCCGCAAGATGGACACAGTGACAGGGCACGCCACGGTTGAATCGATTTCAGGCACGAATCTCGTCAAGGTCTCGGCCAGCATACCCTATTCCAAGGTCAACCGCTTCCGTACGCGTCCCGGTTCCCATATCTACCTCAGCATTCCGGCCGCAGCTCGTAAATCGATGAGTGCCGCGTCGGCTTCGCACCTTTTGTTCGAATTTCTCTTCAACCCCTTCACGGTTGCGGCCGTGGACGAAGAGAGCCCGGATTTGACCTTGGTTGCCCGCCATTGTAGTGGGCCCATGACTGCGGCTCTCAGGAGATTCGCGGGCGTCGCGAAGCCTACCAATGCCAACGTTGCGGACGAGGACAAGATACCTCTGTCGATCGAAGGTCCCTACGGCGCGGCCAGCCGCCTCTCACAACTACGTACCGACTTCGACCGGATCCTGCTTGTTGCCGGCGGCGTTGGTGCTACTTTCACCCTCCCATTATACCGCGCCATCACCAACAACAACCCGACGGCGAGGGTGGAGATGGTGTGGGCCGTTCGGTCGGCGGGCGACGCGACGTGGGCCGTAACTGGGAAGGAAGGCCAGACGCTCCTGAAGGACGACAATATCCACATATTCATCACGGGCGATGCCTCCGATCCGGAAGGAACAGAGTTCTTGAGGCAGAGAGCGGCTGCTAGCCGCACTGACGATGGCGCAGACGCCGGTGAGGTCGAAATGAGCACTATGCATAGGGACGCTCGCCGCGCACGGCACACCTCGCAGCACAACCGAAAGCGGCCCGACATCCAGAAGATTGTCGACGATCTGTTCAGGTATGGCCACGAGGAGCGGGTTGCGGTGCTTGTGTGCGGTCCTAGCGAGATGGCTAAGGAGCTGAGGGCACACCTCGGCGTCTGGGTCCACAGGGGGCGGTCGGTTTGGTATCACAAGGAGGGCTTTGGGTTCTAGGGAGCGTAAAATAAAGTAGTCGTACATCGCCCAGGGCATTCATTCAACCGAGATGTTGTCATGGTATCTGTTTCGCTAATTCCAATACCTCCGAGCCCGCGGTTCGTCATACAAGCAAGCCCGACGCGAACTCCGCTTTCCTTGACCCAACCCATTCTAAAGGAGCGAAAAGTGATTGCAGGAACGCCAGAGACATTGCAAACCGTTATCCATACATTCTGCGCGACAGCGCGGCAGAGTCATCCATCCCTATAACCCCCTCCCCGCTGAACTCCTCAATCCGAGCGCTTCTTTGCGGTGCCAAAGCCACCGGCAGCCTCGGCATCCTTCCCAGCCGTCGGCGCGGAGACGCCAACGTCGCCCGCATCGTCCTCGTCCCAGGCATCCACATCATTCTCATCCCAGTTATCGACCTCCTCCTCCAGCGTCAGACTCCCCCTCTGCCCCTCAGCACCACTCCCCCCAATGACCCCCTCCTCATGGCCCCCCAAGCCACTCCCACTCCCACTCCCACTCCCACTCCCACTCCCACTCCCACCCCCAATCCCCGGCCCCTCCCCCAGCTCCAAATCTTCTCCACCTTCCCCGCCCTCCCCCGTCGGCACAGCCGTATACTTCCTCACGCGCTTCCTCTCCAACATGCGCTTATGATACCACGCGCACAGGCCCACCGCCGCCACCGCACCGACCACATTGGCAACAACATCAAAAATATCAAACGACCGGCCGTTCGGCAGCACGGCCTGCAGGACCTCGGAGCCGACGGCGAGCCCGCCCCCGCACACCACCAGCGCCAGGTGCACGGTGCGCCGCCGCGTCGTGTCTACCACCCAGTAGAAGGCCACCGTGAGCAGGAAGAAGGTGATCAGGTGCAGGGCTTTGTCGTTGATGGGGAGCGTCGTCGAGTCGAGTTGGAGGGAGGACAGGCCGGCGTAGCCGGCGAGGAGGAGGAGGATGGCGAAGATGCCTGTTTTTTGGGAGAGGGGGGGAGGTGTGTGTTAGTTAGAGTTAAAGTTGGGGGGTTGGTTTGGTATGGGGGAGTGGGAGGGGGTGGTTTGGAGCTTGGTGGGGATGTGGGCAAGAACCTCAGCTTCTCTTCATCAAGATGCCCGGGCTGGTGTCTCGGCGGGACCATGCAAGAAGCTGGGCTGTTGGGTGGGAAGTGGAAGTGGATCTGAAACGCACCTGCAAAAGGAAGCCTTATCCTCATGGTTTGCTAGATCTGCTTTTGATACTCTGGTATGGGTTGGGTGAAAATTGGTGAGGGAACGTCACAGGTTTTGCGCCGTCATTGTTATTGATTTGTAGAGGTATGGATGTAATTGCAGAGTTGGACGGGGTGTTCGGTGCGTGCCCCAAGATCTGGCGCTGCCAGTGTCAGATTCAGGGCCTCAACAAGGCAAAGCAGGCTGCAGTACAAGGTCGGAGCTCCAGCCTCACAAGCGAGGGGGATTGTGGCGCTATCTCAGGAGCTGTAACGGAAGGTACCGAACAAGGACAGCATGGGGCTGACGCACGTCGCAGGGCAAGCGACTGATTCAAGTCGCCTGGGGTAGGTGGGGCTTTTAGTGATCTTGGCTTGTCGCGACGCCTGGGCTTCACCCCGAATCCCTGCTTCCGCAAAAGGTACCGCGCAACAACAAGACAGTCATCTTCGGAAACCAAAACAGAGGAATCAATTGCGCAGACTCGTTCCGGGAATTTGCTTTTAGTCAAGAAACTTATGAATCCTATATGTTTGTTCAATTGGACATTTGCATCACACCTTGCCTTGCACTTTGCCAGCGCAAGTCATATCACGTGATCAATAGACAGTCTTTGCGCGAGGGTACCAGTTGTAGACCATCTAGGTGCATCACTTACACGTGGAATTAAGGTATAAAAAGTTGCAAAGCATCTATAACGCGTTATCTGAATCTTTCAAGGTCCAATAAACCAACTTTTGAGCTCTAATTTCTACGTTGTCAAGAGCGCGACAAAGGATAACGGACAGTCCCAAGGTACCTCCCACTTCCTACCCGGCGCCAGCAAAAGGAGTCCCCCTTGTCCAGAAACGGCAGAAGCCTGCTTCCGAAGTTGACTTCACGTCCAACTCGCCCCAAAATCGGCCATCACAGAGGCCATCGGGATACAACCACGGCATCGCCTATTGCCTTCAAAATTCATCCATCGCTTCTACCGACCACGCTCTTTTCGCCCATGTGACTCTGGCGCCCTGAATTGCTCTGGTGCCGGCTGATTACGAGCGCGTTTCCGGCGCATGGCGACCGAGCGACGAACATCCCCTAGCCATCCCGGACCCGGAAAAAATGTCCATTACGAACGGCCAGCCTGCCTGGCACACGCCAAACTCCAGCCAGGTTAACGGCAGCAGAATTAACCACGGCGTTGTGGACGATGGCCCGTTGCCGATGCAGACTCCGAGCGACAATCCACTCGCGCTGATGCCTGAGGCATCCGACCCCGACGAGGACCATCGACGCGCTCACTTCGCAAATCTATTTCGTCGCGCCGAAGGAAGGCTTGCGCTACTATTTGGCGACAATGGCGAATACAACCAACACGGTCTCGACACTCTCAAACGCCCCCCGACCCCGATCGCACCCCTGCTGCCCCCCACGACAGACCACGCGCCCGCCCAAGAACCGCCCCGTAAGAAGGCGAAGCGCGTCATCGACGAAGACGACTACGGCGATGACGACGACGACGACGACGACGAAGAAGAAGAAGAAGAAGACACTGCTCCCAGATCACAAGCTCTGCATTCAAAGCATGTCGACGACGATGCCGGCGCCAGGACCCTGCTATCACCGTCCAAGTCCGGCAGTTCGCCGGTCCACTCCGTCTCATCGCCTGGGAGGCATGCCGCAAAGACTCGCGAAGATGGGTCGCCTACACAAGCCAAGTCCTCCGAGGACGCGCGCAAGGAGCTCGAAGAAGCGCGCAATGCGACCGAGGTGGCCGCCAAGCAAAGCTTCCACACCCTCTTCTACACCCTCGAAAACGACCGGACGGCCATGCTTGAGCAGCAACAACTGGACGAGTCGGAAAAGCAGCTACAGGCCGAGATGGACAAGACACATCACAGCCACACGAGCCAGCCGGAGCAGAACCACGGCTCGCTCAGCAACGCAAACCTCGGCGCATCGAGTCTCACCTTGAAGCACCTCATCGCAAGGATAGACATGAAGCGTGACCAAGTGCGCGCATCTGACGCCGAACTCCGATCGCTGATGAACGAAGTTCGTAAGAACCGGAGCAAGTGGGCGAGCGAGGAGAATGTGGGCCAGGAAGAGCTTTACGAAGCGCTCGAGAAGGTGCTCAGCGAGCTCAAGGCGCACACCGAATACTCGACTCCGTTTTTGAACAGGGTCAACAAGAGGGATGCACCCGATTATTACAATTGTAAGTTGCCATCTCGCCGCCATCCTTGAGGGAGCGGCCCGTTTTGACAATCCGCAGTCATCAAACACCCTATGGACCTCGGGACTATGACCAAGAAGCTCAAAGGCCTCCAGTTCAAGTCCAAATCCGACTTTGTCACGGATCTGAATCTGATCTGGGACAACTGTCTCAAATACAACCAAGACATGGGCCACCCGCTCCGTCGCATGGCGAACGGTATGCGTAAGGAAGCCGAGAAGCTCATCCCGCTCATCCCGGACGTCACCATAAGGCCTCGGGCCGAAGTTGAGGCGGAAGAGCGCCGGAAACAAAACGGCGGCGAAGACGATGGCGGCGATGACAGCGACGACGAACCGATAATGTCGTCTCGGGGTCGTAAAGCAGGGACAAAAGGCACTAACAAGTCCCGGAAAGCACCGTCCGACCAGCACGAGGGCAAGGAGGGAACCCCAAGCGTGGACCAGAAGCCGGTGCTGCAACTGAATGGGATCCTCGCCAAAACTCACCGGGAAGGCTCCGAGGTAGACAGCAGCATTGGTTTCGGCACGCCGCAAATCGGCGGTTCCCTGACCCCTAGCGGTGCCAATGGCCAATCTGGCATCAGCAATGCCGACGCCATGGAAATTGACGGCCCGTCATTAAACGGCATGGCCCTCGACCAAGCGTTAGGGGAGGCCGCAGAACAAGCCTACGAGGATGACGCCTACAAGATTTGGAAGCAGGTCACCAAGAAGGACCGAGCCCTCGTCGCTAAAGAGCGTTACCAGCTATTTGCGGGTAACAAGCTCAACGTGGAAGAGCCCGCTCTCCTGAGGAGCAAAGTAGGGATGCGCCGCTTCCTCAAGTCTCGGAGAGAGGCAGAAGCCCTTGGTATCATCCACGGCTCGCACCTCGACGCTTCGGCCGCCGGATCCAAGGATGGGGCCAAGGCACCCGAGACGCTCGCCGAGGGTATGGAAGACGAGGGTGACCGGACGATTCCTTCTTATTACGAGCCTCAAACCATCATTCCTGACATCGACCCAAAGCTTCAATGGATCGAGGACGGCGAGGGGCACGTCATCAATCAACATGAAGACATGCTTCGGTTGATCCCATCTGGTCACTTCCTTCCGCCAGACAGCCGACTAACTAGCAAGTTCGACGCCAACATGCGGCAGATGCAAGAAACCCGCAAGCTCTGCTCCAAGGTCGGCGTCATCAAGCAAATGCAAATCCAGACTCATGTAAGTGGGCTTGTCCCGACGCGAGTCCTAGCACCCAACTGACTAACCTTGGTAGGTGTACACTAATCAATTTCCTAAATACAACCCGGAGCCCTTTGTAGAAGCCGACGCCGAGCCAGCGTTTATGGCTGGAGAAGGGCCGGTCATGGCACCTGATACCTGCAGATTGGCGATGCAGCGCTCCGTGGCCAAGATATTCTACCACGCCGGCTTTGAAGAGCTGCAGCCTTCGGCGCTCGACACGGTAACAGACATCGCCGGTGATTATTTCCAGAAACTGGTCCGCACCTTCGGTGTCTACCGGGAAGCCGAGAAGAAGCCGGCCGTGGGAGTCTTTGCCGAACGGGGCGCCCGCTCCCAACCCCGCTTCACCCCGGAAGAGGTGATCCTCCACACGCTGAACGAGAACGGCCATGACGTCGACTCGCTAGAAAGCTACGCCCGCGACGACATCGACCGTCTGGGTAATAAGCTTAGCCAGATCCACGAGCGGATGAAGGCCCACCTTGCTGACCTGCTCCGCCCGGCCCTCACCGACGGCGGCGCAGACGGCTCCGGCGCCTTCAACGACGGTAGCGACCAATTCGTCGGCGGCGACTTTGCCGAGGAACTCGGCGAGGACTTCTTCGGCTTCAAGGCGCTCGGCCTCGATAAGGACTTTGGCCTCGAGATGATGTCGGTGCCTCTCCACCTCCTCCAGTCGCGCGTCCGCAACCAGTACCAGATGCAGACCCAGGCCGTCGGCGGGCCCATCACCGAGGACCTCTTCGAGCCGCTGCCGCCCTCGGAGCCCGTCACGCGCGAGTCCATTCAGGAGCAGATCGGCCTGGTCCGCAACTTCTTCCTCGCCAAGCTACACGCTAACGGCGACGCCCCGCTAGTCGAGGACGAGGACCTGCCGCCTAAGCAGCGCCGCGCGCGCCCCCGCCTCGGCGCCACGGGCAAGATTGTCTCGCCCCAGAAGCGCAGCCCCAAGGAGCAGATCGCCATGGCCAAGAAGAAGAAGAAGCTCGAGTCGGGCGCCGCCCAGGTCACCGACGGCCTCAACGCGGCCAACGCGGCCAAGGCCGCGGCGAGCGCCTCGCCCGACAAGAAGAAGACCCTCCTCCAGCAGCAACTCAACGGCAAGGGCGGGCCGGTGCTGAACCCCCCTGGGGTTGGCGCTGCTCCTCCTGCGGGTGATGTCAACGGCGGCGGCGGCAGCGGCGGTGACGGTACGAATGGTCTGGCGATGCCGGTGCCGGTGCCCACGCCGGCGGTCGCTGCTGGCGGCGACACCACGGACGGCGGCGCCAGCCAGGCTACGGACAAGGATGATACCGTGACGGGCATGATGAGCCCGGAGAGCTTGGAGCATCGGTAGGCGTGGTGGTTGCTTGATTCATGTGGGGTGTCGCCTGCGGCAGCGGGGGAGGGTAGGGGGGTGTGGTGTGGTGAAATGGAATGAGATGGGATGGGGGGCGGTTGGGAAAAAGGGAGGGAGGCTTGGTTGAATCAGGATGGATGTGTTTTGTATGCTTGCCGTTTCTCTTCTATCTCTCTCTATCCTTTACCTTCTTCTTGGCGGAGACAAGCAAGCGGGCAAGCGAGCGCTGAGATGGGAGGGATGGATTGAATGCTTGGTTGTTGTTTACGATACGGGACGAGTTGGGATGGCGGTCTGGAATGAATGGATGGATGGATGGATGGGTGAACGGAAGGATACGGACTCTTTTGCGGACGGGGAAAGGTATGGTGCGAGCTATTTTTTCCGTCTTTGTTCTTCTTTTTCTCTTCTTCTGCTATCACTTCAACTTCATCTATTCCCCCGCCGCCCTCCCTGACGAGGGTCGGCTTTCATATCATTTTAGAGTCTGGAATCTGGGCGTGCACACACACCCATAGTCAGCAGCGCTGCGGCGTGTCTTTGCATATACCTCTGTTGTTCTTTTTTCCCTTTTCTTATTGCAAGTCTTGTATCGTTGTCATTTCGCTTTTCGTTGTTTTTATTCTGTCCCTGCTTTGCTCGGCAGTGGATCTTGGTTATTCGTGTACATGTAGATATATATTATGCATCTTTGCATCTTACGGATGGATACGATGGGATGCGAATGAACATATCGGAATTACGACTCTCCCTCGCGCTCGCCCACGAGTTGAACTTCAAGTCGACATCAGTCTCCTCCCCCCAGCTTCATATCAGATGAAGGTGAATGTGGAATCAGATTGTATGAAGGGCAGACAACTTCAGCAAATGCACAATTTGGTACATGGGTTACCACAACATTAACTAGACAACAGCTCGCTTTTCGACTCCGCAGTTGTTGCATATGATATCGGGTATAACCAACCGCGTTGAAGCAGCCTCCTAAATAAGCTAAAAACCAAGGTATAAACCAGACTCCCTCCCGGTACCGAACCTGGTAAGTTGATGACCAAGACACCCATGATGCAAACGCCTGATGAAATGATTTGCAAGATGAGTGATTTTCCGATTTCCGTTCCCCTCCCATGCACCCATGACTCGTTGAGATCGCCGTCCTGTGCACCCCTGTTTCTAGATGCAGACCCGAAAAAGAAAAAAAAAAAATCAAGACGGCCGCTTGAGTCCGCCTATCAGTTGTTGAACATTATGGCCCGGATGGCGCCGGGTGTACCGTGGCCGATACCAGCTTAGATGCCGGCGTCCATACGCCAGCCCTCAACGGGGAGGGGGAAGGTGTGGCACCAGTCCGAGATCTCCTTCTTGAGCTCGTTGATGCGGGCAACCTCGCCGCTAGCAATCTTGAACCGGAAGTCCTTGAGCTTGTTGGCCTCCTTGGGCAGGGCGCCCTGGATCTCCTTGCAGAGCTTGATGCTAGCGTCGATGTAGGAAGCAACGCGCTCGAAGTCGGCCTCGCCGAAACCACGGCTGGTCATGGCCGGGGTGCCGATACGCAGACCGCCGGGGGTGAGGGCGCTCTTGTCGCCGGGAACGCTGTTCTTGTTGCAGGCGATGTTGATCTGCTCAAGGACGGCCTCCACGCGAGCGCCATCAAGGGACAAGGGGCGGAGGTCGACGAGGACCATGTGCGAGTCGGTGCCGTCGGAGACGAGCTTGTGGCCAAGCTCCTTGAACTTGTTCTCGAGAGCCTTGGCGTTGGCGACCACCTTCTTCTGGTACTCCTTAAACTCAGGGGTGGCAGCCTGCTTGAGCGCGACGGCAAGGGCGGTGATGGTGTGGTTGTGGGGGCCACCCTGGTGTCCAGGGAAGACGGAGAAGTTGATCTTGTCCTCCAGATCATAGAGTGTCTCCTTGCCGGTCTTGGCATCGACAGAGCGGACACCCTTGCGGAAGAAGATCATGGCACCACGGGGGCCACGGAGGGACTTGTGGGTGGTGGTGGTGACGACATCAGCGTAGTCGAAGGGCGACGGGATGACGCCGGAGGAAACCAGGCCGGAGATGTGGGCAATGTCGACAACCAGGTAGGCGCCAACCGAGTCAGCAATCTTGCGCATGCGCTGGTAGTCAATCAGACGGCAGTAGGCCGAGGTACCGGCAACGAGAATCTTGGGGCGGAAGAGCTGGGCATTCTTCTCGAGCATGTCGTAGTCGATGATGCCGGTCTCGAGGTCGACCCGGTAGGGCATGGTCTCGAAGTAGGTCGAGACAGCGGAGATCCTTTAATGCCTTTGTTAGCAACAGCGGAGGGTGGCAGGGCGGGTTCAGGAAGGCACTCACTTCCGCTGGGGAGTTTGGTAGCCGTGGCTGAGATGGCCACCGTGGGGGAGGTCCAGGCCCATCAGCCTTCCGTGGGGAGGCATGATGGCCTGGTAAACCTGAAGGTTGGCAGGGCTGCCACTCAAGCACTGGACGTTGACGCCCCACTTGGCACCATCGACGTTGAAGGCCTCGAGGGCACGCTTCTGGCAAAGAAGCTCGATCTCGTCAATGTGCTGGTTGCCACCATAGTACCGAGCGCCGGGGTAACCCTCAGAGTACTTGTTGGACATGGGGGAGCCAAGAGCATCGAAGACGGCACGAGACGTGACATTTTCGGAGGCGATGAGGATGATGGACTCGCGTTGCCGCTGAATCTCATGTTTCTGAAAGAGGGGAGTTAATTGACCAATTGGGCGCTTTCACATCGAAGAGCATTGCTTACCATGATCCTCAGCGACCTCGGGGTCGGAGTCAAGCAGAGACTTCTCAAGCATCTACAAGCGGTGAGTCAGGCAACCGGTCGATCCGAAGAGCGGGATATGGCAGAGGAAAGCAACGAACCTGCTTGTGCGACTCGGGGAGCGCATAGGTCGCCATTGTGGTCGATTTGAGTTGGGGGGGGAATTGGCTGGGTATTGGGATGATAGGCGAGGCAGGATTTCACGATACAATAACGAAGACGATGGAAGTTGGGAGGGATGGAGAATTCTTGAGAGGCGAGAGACCTAAGTTCGGGGGTAGCAAGCTGTTTTGTGGGGGAACGGGGTGGAGGGGCATCGGAGTAAGAAGAGAAAAATTGAGGACCCCGTATCACTTGCAAGCTTCAATTGCGGAGCTTGGCCGCGAAAGGGAGGGGTTGATGATCCCAGAACCTGTGGCCCAAGCGTCAAGCCAAGGCGAGCTATGAGCGTATCGGAGAGCTTCATGCAACTACCCAGCTCCAGATCGCAGCGATCTCGGTCCACAAAAGAGGGTTGAGTGCGAGTCACAGTCGCTTGGGATTTTTGACTACCTCCTAACTGTACCGTCATATAGCAATAGCGATGATGCTGGACGAAATTTGCATGGTTAAGCAGGTAGTCAACCCAGTTCTTGAACGTGCTAGTTTAAAACCTGAGATCGACCACAGCAAGGAAGGGTCTTCTTAGCATGGGACCGGAGTCGAGGTCGGGATGCGGGTATTTCGGAGTCTTGCCAGGGAGGTGTTTCGGGGCAACGAATTGGGCAATCCCCCGATGAAAGAGCAAACCAACGGCGGAGGAAGTCTCTTCAAATATTTTAAATAGGGGGCTTATCAGGAGGCGGTCGATGAAAATTCGGAGCTTCGTCTTTCACGTATAATTCTATCAGGTCTATAATACAAATATAGTCGTGGAATTGATTTTTAACATTGACCTCCATGATCCATGATGCATGGAGATAGGATGAGAACTGACGAAAGAGCAGGAAATCTCCCGCCTGACAATGTCGTGCTGCACCGCGCGGCTGCTGCGCTTATGTAAAGCAGCATCGGCAGGGATGAGTCACGTGCAGGCGCTGCATGGCGCAGGGCCCCACTAATTCCCACAAGCATTGTTAGCGTAGACTAGCCTCGCGCTGGCTTTTTGTAACCAACTCTTGGTGACCGCAGCCTCCGACTTCCTCCTCTGCACCCTGAAGCCTGTCGATTAAGGAAATGGCCGTCAGATACCGCATACCGATTTAATTTTCGGATGTAATCAAACCCGGCCATCGTCTCTCCATCGTATGCATCTGTTTTGTATGTATTTTCTCCACCTTACGTGCCGGCCCGCCGACGACAAAACTTTTTGGAGTTGCAAGGGACGGTCCCACGCAGCGTCCTCCCTTTCGCCGACGCGAATCGCGACGAGACCCAGCTAAACCACCACCACGCCAAAACTCATCCCACCTGCCACCGTTCCGGGGTGCCGACCTCGACGGCCCATTCCGCATCCCCCGCCAACCATGGCCTCGCCCGCTACCGTCGCGGCCCAGATCAACGGCGTCGCTCCATTGTCGCGTCCAGACTCGCCCGCTTCAATCAATTCATCCACCAAACGGAAGCGCGAATCGAGCGACGACGACAACGACCCGGATCTCAATCGCGCCGGCCCGCCCAAGTTACCCGTTAATGGCGTGCACGCTTCTCAGGATCGTAAATCGCTCGTCCGCGACTTCTTTGATGTTTTGCAGAGGTATGCGCGCCGTCGCTGTCAACCCCTCTGCTGCGCCGGGCATTCAATTGCATCTGCCGTTGCCTGTCCCCTCCCATTCCATCCCTGTGCTAACTTCATTCCCCCTAGTCACGACACAAATAGCCCATCGGTCCTCAAGCGCCCTCTTCCCGACTCGCTCGTTGATGGCGAACCATCTCCGAAACGGGCCAAGTCGGAGGATGGGAAACCCGTTACCATTGCAGACAAGGTGACCCAGGGCACATATGAGGCCCTGGATGACTTGGTCTCCGACATTGTCCAGACTGCAAATGCGCAAGTCAAGGAACTTGGGACTGCAGCTACGCCGAGCGATGCCAACACCGTCACCAAGACGATCGCATTTAGGACGAAGGCTTTAGAACTCTACAGACAGGAGCTTTCGTATCCCAACGTCCCACGACCCATCTCTGCGAAACAGCCTCCTAGAGAGCTGCAATCATCAAACCCGGACGCCGTCGTCCTCACAGCAATCGGAGCTGCTCCAACCGCCCGACCGCTTTTCACTAGCCTGCAACGGAATGCTGCCAAGTCACTTGCCGGAGCCCCCCTGCCCAGGGGTGTCACTCTCACCAATGTTTCTTATGGGGCTACCCCGTCGGGCGAAAAGAATAGCCGCCCACTTACACTTGGAGAATTGTTCCCATCCCCCCGGAACCTGCCTCCCCTACAGCCACCGAAGGCACCGAAGACGGCCACGAAAAGCAACGTTTTGACTTTTTACCACCCCGAGCTCGCCGAAAAGTCCAAGTACCGATCGGGGAGTTACTTTTCTTCCAACGTCTCGACAGGTCACTGGTTGGACTACAGCAATGCTACCCCGACGACCCACGCCAAGACGAAACAGAGAGAGCGGGCCCAGAGCCTGGCGGGCATCAAGCCGTCCAGCACTGAGCTTGAGATGTCTGAAATGGAAGCGCTCTTTCGCGGAGCTTTCTCCACCTTCGCACCTTGCCAGGACGACTCGGGCGCCATTGTCCCGTCCGGCCAGGTTGGCCGCATTTGGTGGCAGCGTGTCGGCCGGCGAAGCTTTGCGAAGCTCGCTGAGGCGGAGGAACCGGAGGACGATGCCGAGGACAGCGCAGCTGCGGATTCAGCAGTTGCCATCGAGATTGACGAAGACCGCGTGAAGGAAGCTATCGAGCACTGGGATGAAACCGCGATCGACCCGAGCCTGGATTATGCTCTAGGCAAGAAATCCGACCAAGAGAAAGAAGTGGATGACCTTCTCGAGGAGGTCTCTGACTTGATCGAGACCCTTGCGTCCTACCAGCGCAACCGAAACCTCACACTACCAACCAGCCAAGACCGTTACTCTGCCGATCCAGTTAATGGAGACATGCTCCGTAACGGCAGCCTCTCCCACCAGCCAAGCGAAGAGGAAATGACAACGTACGAGGCCTTGAAGGCTCAGCTATCGCTGATCATACAGAACCTGCCTCCGTACGCGGTGGCCCGCCTCAACTCCGATAAACTGGCGGAGCTAGCCGTGAGCACCAAGATTGAGATCCGCTCCGACGAGTATCACGGGGTCATGGAGGATGACGAGCCGGCCCGGCTGGCCCGTTTGGCCGCACAGGCCGCAGCGACGTCGAACCAGCGCCAAAACCAGAGGGCGCCGAGCGTTTCCGGCCCGTACGCCAATCATCAATACCCAGCGCAGTTCACACCGTCGGTCCGTCCCGTCGGGACCGCGCAACACTTCCCGCAAACCCCCGTCCGACCGCAGGGCCAGAATATGTACCCGCGGGCGCCATCCAGCGTCCCCATCCCTCAGCCGCACCAGCAAGTGCAGCCCCGGCCCGCGCCCGGAACCCAGTTCAGACCGATGTATGCATCACAATTGGCCAAGGCTCAGGGTCCCTACGGCCATTCCAACATGCCGCACCAATTTTCTGGAACCCCGACACAGCCACGGATGCAACAGCATCCCAATTATAATATGGGGCAAGCCAACAATCCCAACCACCGATTCACCCAAGCCTACCCCCCTGGCTACCAAACAACACCAGCAAATTCAGCCACACCCCCAGCATGGGCAACCTTCCCCAATGCCACAACATCCTCCCCCACCAGCCACCCCATGGCTCACGCCCAGCAACCACCCCTACTCTCCGTACACGAACGGCGGGCAAATGCCGAGGACAATAACACCACAGGTTCCACAAGCCCCACCAATACAGCCAATCACCTACACCGCCCCAACAGCATCAGCAGATGGCCCGCCCACCCTACGGAAGTCCGGGACCGGGCATGCCACCGAACGCAGTCCCTCGGCAGTACTCGGCCGGCTCACCCGGCCCAGGCATGATGCAAGGTGGCGGTGGTGGGGCCGGAGGCGGGAATCGACCGCCCTCGAGTCTTACGGGGTTCGCGACGGTCATGCCTGAAGTGCAGCAGCGGCAAGTGATGGAACAGGCCCGCGCCCGCGCCGACGCGGAGCAACGGGCTAGCGGCCACATGGGCAAGGTCACGCAAGGCGAGGTTGTCGGGCTCGCGGGCATTGGGCTGGCGGGCCACATGGACGTTCACAAGGTCGCCGCTGCCAAGATGCAGATGGGCAACCATAATAACGGCAACGGTAACAACGGCCATAGCGTGTCGCCTAGCCCCAAGGTGGCGGCTATGCAGGGCGGGATGAACGGCGGCGGTATTCCTACCCCCGGCGGCCCCCCGCCCTCAGCGATGGATAGCCCGCGGCCGATGCAAGCCGGCCCGGTGTCAGCGTCGGCGAGTCCCGCGCCGCAGGCGGGCTAGGGTGTTGGACAACTACCCTACATGAAATTTGAAAATGATGGACGGTCAGTAAGGAGGGCCTGGTTGAGAAAGTGGGCCATGGTTGGTCGTACCAAAACGGAGGGGCAGATACCTGCGAATTACTTCTTTCGGTATGTCTTTAGACGGGGGGAAGTAAGTCGGTGGAAACGAGGGCGGAGAGCAAGAATGGCGTGTGGACGATCTGGATGATCTAATGGATGGGATATGCGCCGGTGGGTTGGGAGGGCGGGGGGGAACGGACCAACTGGAGTTTGTGCGCGGCTTTGGTCTCTGGCCCTACTTGGCTTTTTGTTTCTTTTTTTTTTTCCCGCTCGATTGCTCGGATCGAACGTGATGCTTCCTTGGACGTACCGTGTGTCTCTCGGGACTGGAAAGGAAGCGGATCGAGGATTGAGGATCAGCAATTGTGATTTTTACTTCTTGTATTTTAATTCTTGGGGTGACTGGGCTCGGTGGTCGGCTTCGGTACACTCCGAGAGTCTCAAAGCGCGTTTTGCCGTTCCTCTTCTTTACAACTCTCATGTTTGGTGGCTTTGTCTGACTGTGTCGGGGAGGAGGAGTGAGGTGATAGATTTCTGAATGGTGGCATCTGCCCGGGCTGAGGAGCTGTTAAGCTTATGGCCGGGGTTTCCTCTCAAGGAGTGAGCGGTGCCCATCTGTAATGTTGTAGGAGCCAAAAATGGAGGTAGTAAGCATGGCTTGGATAATAAAATAATAGCGCTTGGCTTTTATAAGCTCATGTCTAAGGTGTCGTCACCTTGGAAACACCGGCAGGATTGAAAGCGGAGAGCTGTTCATTTGTTTCATATACACGTGATTCCACGGCCAGCAACGCCGGCGTAATAGCTCACTCTGAGTTGGGTATCATTGTTTTCATCTAGCATCCCACCAGCCACCTTATCCAAGAACACGCTCACCTCGAGCCAGCCTCTCTCGGCTTTCCATCCTGCCGCATGTCGGCCCTCAACGCGCGCAGCTCGGCGAGCAGCTCGTCCTGGAACACATCATACCGCTCCATATACAGGCGGCGCAGCTCGAAAGCGACCTCGATGGCGATCAGAATGATAATGATCCACTCGAGGCGGGTACTGTGGGCCTCGCTCGACATCTTCTCGCTGATGTCGAGCACGCCCTGGGCGACACCGACCACCTCCTGGGCGTACGTCATCTTGTCGTTGAGCGTCTTGATGCGCACGCCGACGTCGAGTGCCTTGCCGATCTTGGCGTAGTACGTCTCCAGCTTCTCCTCCGTGTCCCAGAAAATGTCCGGCAGCGCATCGGTTAGGTCGTTGTAGTGGTTCAGCTGGCTGCGCAGGTTGAGCAGCTCGCCGGCTTTTTGCAGGATCATGCCGCGTGTTAGGGGCGTGTGCAGGCCTTGTGAGAGCTGCTCAGGGATGTGCCGCGTGCTCTCGAGGTAGCGGGTGAGTGAGCTCTCAAGCACGGCGAGCTTGGTGCTGCGGGCCAGGCCGGAGGAGAAAGCGATCTTGGCGAGGGTTGTCTCTAGCCGGTCGCCGGCTTCCACTTCGCGACGGGTGCCTAGCACGACCACGTCTCCCGTCACACGGCTCTGGTCCTGCTCGGGGTCCACCAGAAACTCTAGGTCCTCCTCTTCTTTGCTTTCGACAAAGTGGCAGTCTCCGCAAGCACGGGATATGGAGGTGTCATCATAGAGTGGGCCCATGCATATGTTAACACCACCGTTCTGGTAAGGCAGCACACACCAGGGTCAACGGACGGTACTCGGACGGGAAATCAACGAAGGATGTCAGCCCATTGTTAAAGTCCACCGAGCGTGGAGCCACTTTCCATGAGACTCAAGATCCGTTGCCGTCCCGGGTCCAAGTGAAAAACCCCGTGGTTACTTCAGTATCTCCTTCCAACCCTGTCCATGTCGAAACGATTCGAGCTACGCACACGGCGGCTGATTGTGGCGCTCCCCTCGGACCCCGACCTTGGGGTTCGGTAGCGGACGGAGGGGGGGCTTCGCGGGCGCACCCTTCTGGGCAACAATGGCCACGCGGTGGAGTGAGTTTTTCAATGGGGGTTTGCGCTTCTTGTGGGTCGAGAGGTTCGTATTTGTGTTGTTGCCGTTGGTGTTGTTGTCCTCATCGTCTTTCTTGCCGACCTGGAAGCGGCCGGGGGGCTCTTTGCCATCCTGCAGCAAGAGAACATTGGAAGTGAAGAAGTTTCGGCGACGCGGAATCCAGGCAGCGGGTGTAGGGTGAAAGTTTCGGTGACTGGAGACGTGTCGGGGCGGCGCTGAAGAGAAGATGGCGGGGTTGGCACTCCGAGCAACTGAGCCCAAATTTGGCAGTAAAGGTCTCATGGCGGTGCCATTGAAAAGGAATTGATATCGAGAGTCGAAGGATAAACAGGGCCTCTTCGGTCAGGCAACGCACTTAGTCTGGAATATCTGGGTCGGAATTTGATTGCGGGATTGTCGGGTCTTATATAGCAGTTGGGAAAAAAAGATCGATAACGAACGAGGGGGATATCCCGGCAGGCAGTGCGTCACCGAGAGTCAAGGGTACCTGAGCGTTCTCGGCACAAGTGTAAATTACGGTACTCCGTATTTGTTACATCAATACCCAAATACAATTCAATCCCGGTTCCTGTCTGGAAGCTCGCCCAAGCTCCACATCACCAACTGCGACTTCGATGAATGGACAAGTGGTCGCGGGTGAACTAGCCGACCACTTTACCGTCTGCTACCTTCCCGACGTCCAGTCCAAATTCCGACCCCGACTTCCGACATGGAAGACATCCGAGTCGAAGACTACCTAGACGATAAGCTACAGTCGACAACCGACTTCGAGGAGTTGGACACGTTGATCAGCAGCGTCGAGTACCAGCGCAGCCAGTTGCAGTCCCAGCTCGATGATGCCTCGCGAGAACTAGACGAGGCGCGCAAGTCCTCGGAAGAACGCGGCGCCGCCCTCGTGGCTCAGATCGACGAGTTCCAAACTCTCCAGAAGAGCATCGACGTTCGCCTCCAGATTATCGCCGAATCTGACGCCCCCGATGAGGCCATCCGTCGTCTCGAGCCGCCTATGAAGCAGCTCCACAAGGTTGACCTCGCCTACCGATACCTATCGCTGTTGCAGGACGTCGAGGGTTTGCGCCGAGGCTGCTCGTTCACATCTCCCGCAGGACCCAAAGGCGGCGCTAGAGCCCTACACAAGATTGAAACAGCTATTGATCCGGCTGAAGGAGCTCCAGCACCAGGCTGATGGGACTGCGGTGCACTTGGTAACCCATGTCGAATCTGTGACAGACAGGTTATGGGATGAGATGAAGGAGACCATGTGGGATGAACTCGAGTCCGTGCTAGCCAAGCGTGGGTGGCCGAACGTGGACCCGGACACGGATGTGGATGACGATTGGCTCCAATGCTTCGAGAAGCTTGTTGACTTGCAAGCACCCGAGGTCTTGTACTCGCCCAGCACCGTCAGCCTGCTGCCCGTGGATGTGATGTCCCAGATATTCATCAAGGAGTTCCGCTTCCATTTTCTCAGCGACAAGCCGACCAGCAGCCCGCAGGTTATCACGGCCCACTGTTTTCCATGGTTCTTAGCTTTGGTCGAGAAGTGGGAGGACTTCTTAAGGGACAATTTTGGTTCAGCCCTGGCCGCCAAGTTTGGCGACACCAACGTTGCACACAAAATAGTGTACATGGACCCTGTCTGTGCCTTCATAACCTCCTTGCTGCCTGTCATGAGGGAGAAGATTGCCCTTACTATCTCTGAGACGTCTGGAGATACCGTATTTTTGAGTAGCCTGCTCTCTCAACTAATGACCTTCGACGAGAGGCTCAGCTCCGGGTTTGCCTATGACGGCGGGGGCCCTGAGGAAGAATGGGGTGGGCTGACCTCAGAAGTGCTCAGCCAGCACTTCAGGACATGGCTAGATGCCGAGAAGAAGTTTGCGCTGGAACGTTATCAAGCCATCATGACGGCACCAGACGCCAGGAATATCGACTACGACTTCGCCGCTACTGGGAAGACCAAGCCCACGTTTGCCGCCGTCCGGGTCACCGATCTCCTTCGGTCCGTTACGACCCAGTATGAGCGCGTCAAACGCTTCTCTCACAAGCTGCGCTTTCTCATCGACATTCAACTCACGATTTTGGACGAGTACCACGACCATCTCAGGGGCACGCTCGAGGCGTACCTAAGCATTACCTCGACAGTAGGCAGAGCCTTTGGTGTAACCAAGGAACAGCTAGCCGCTCTCGAAGGCACGGGTGCCCTTGAGACGCTGTGCAAGGTGTACGGCAGCGCCGACCAGATTGTCAACACCCTGAGAGACTGGAGTAATGAAGAGGTGGGCATTGCGTTGTCTCAAGCTTCCCGTACTCTAACTAACTTGGCCAGTTCTTCGTTACATTGTGGGAGCAGCTCCAGACACGGGCCAAAGTCACCGAGGACCAGACTAACCTCGCTGGCGGCATGAGCTATGACCACGTTCGGGACAAAACGTCAGCGGCCGTTGGCAAAGAAAACGACGACAATGGCATTCTCTTCGATGAGACCATCGCTGCATATAGTCAAAGACGGAAGCGGGCCGAGGAGTTCATCTCAGAGGCCCTCGTCGAGACACACCGGAAGGTATTCAAGGCCTATCTCCACCGCCCGCAATGGAGCACGATTGCCGACGATGCTTCGGGCGATATCGCCGTCACGGCGGAGCTAGACGAACCTTTAAGAGTAAATATTCCCTTCGTCTCCGGCGGTACCTTGGCTAACCAAAGACAGATTCTGAAACGCGATCTGGACTTCCTCCAGCGTGCCCTTGGAACAGCCGCCTTCCGCCGGGTCTGGCGTGAGGCGCTCGAACAGCTCAACAACACCCTGTGGGGGGAGGTCCTGATGAGCCACAGATTCACCGCGTCAGGGGCAGCCCAGTTCAGCCGTGACCTGCACGCCATCTCCGCCCTTGTCGAACGGTTCATCCCCGACGGTTCCAGCTCGCTGGGGAGCGTTAGCGACGCTCTCCGGTTGCTGAACCTCCCCATAGAGGCCCCGGAGGGGGGCATGTCGCTTAGACGGGCGACGGACATGGTGTACACGGGACAACACGGAGGCGAAGAAAGTTTTTGGACGAGCTGGAGGTCGACTTGTTGACCTCGGCCAACGCAAGGCAAATACTGCCAACGCAGAGTAGAAACCGCCGAATGAGCGCTATCTATGTGATCCAAAATACCTATCTATATTACAAGCACCGAAAATCTCCGAATGGTATCATCTGCCATTTCATCAGGCCCCCCCAACTCTCTCCCTTGCGTTGCCCCGCAACAACCGTTGAGGGTGCTCTAATCCTAGCCGTTGAAGGACTCGTCCCCCGCTTTTGTACCGGTGTCGGCACGTTATCAAACCAGCCCTGGCCCTCCAACCGGCCCCATGGTAATTGTCGTAACTCCTCGGCCCGTCCATCCACCCGGAAAGGCCTCTCTCAGTTAATCGCCCGCATCGTCATCTCCACCACAGCGAACGTCCCCGCGCTGACGGGCATAGCCCTCAACAATGTCGGTCCAATCCCCTTCCAGAACCCCCTCAAGCCCTCGGCCCGGAACGTCTGCGCGAAGCAGTCCCGCATCGTCTTGTACCGCTGCTCCGCGCCGAATCCATCCGTCTGCATCTTACTCTTGACCACATCAAACGGATAGCTGCCCAACCACAGCGCCTCGCCCGCCAACCCACCATAAAACGCCACCTTCCAGCTCGCAATATCCTTCCGCTGCACCTTATTCCTCTCGGCATCCGAATTCATCAACCACTCAAACGCCAAAAACCACACCCCATACGCCTGCGCCTCGCGCAACAACGTCACCGCCTCCCCCCTATACAGCCCCCTCGCCACCCCACCCCCACCCCCCGGCGCCGCACTGCACAACTTCCTCACACAGTCCCACGGCCCCGCATACAACCTCCCCGCACCATGCGGCTGCGTCTGCAGACGAATACGCACGTGCTCAATGGGCCCGGAGAGGAAACTATTCGCTAGGCCGGCGAAGGCGCCGGCGGCGTAGTACTCGCCGTAGCCGAGCGGGGTGCCGCGCGCGGCGGGACCCCGGCGATCCTCCAGCCAGCGGCGCGCCGCGTGGAAGGCGCCGAACTGGATGGACACGCACGCGCCGATGCCCAGCAGCGGCGTCAGCGTGCCCTTGTAGAAGGCCAGCGCCCCCTCGTGCCGGTAGATGGAGGTGGCGGCGGCGAGCGCGGAGGGGTAGGCTTGCGAGGTTTGGAGGCGCACTTTGACGATGTCGAAGGGCTGGCCTGTTTTGGAGGGGGGGAGGGTTGTTAGGTTGGTTGAAGAAAGGAGGAAGGGGTTTTGGTGGGGGAGGGGGAGGGAGGAGGGGTGGTGAGAGGGACGTACCGATCAGCACCTGGGCAATGCCGCCTGCTGCGCCGGAGAAGAGGTCTTTGGCTGTTTGTAGGCCGGACGACGGCGCGGCGGCGTCGTGCGCTTCCACGTCTGCGGCAGAGTCGGCCATTTTTTTTTCTTTTTTTCTTTTTTCTTTTTTTAAGTTGCGTCGTCGTTGTCTAGAGGGCCGGAGTTCTCGTCGCTCTTGAAGAGGTTGGAAGATCAAACAAACCCTGATAACGATTCAATTGCAACCGTCCAAGCCCAATCCGCCGGTGTAGTAGCCTTATCGTACACGGTACAGAGTTGCGAAACCAAAAAGTGAGTGGTGTGCTGTCTGTCGCGCGGGCCGGTGTCGGCTATGGAGGGTCTCGTCTCTCCTCCGAACAATCGCGGATGGGCGGGGGTGGGGGGCCCTGCAGGACAGGGGTGCCTGAGTGGTTCTGGAACGCCGGGTGGATGGCGTGCGAGATCAATGCGGGACCCCTGTCTGCAAGAACCGAAGAGTCCAGTCCCTGATTGATACACAGTGACTAGTTCTATTTACATACATTGATTGGACCACGAGAGACCACCTACCTAGCGGAGGACTACGAGAGAACCTATTATAGTGGGTTCCATTATACGGACGTGGAGGCTTTTTGACACCAAAACTATTATTATTATTCATACTCCGCTATGCCCTAAGGCGTGCCGGACCCTCAGCTATTTAATGTACAGGAAAACCGCGCCCTCGCGGGCCGGATGAAAAACCCATACCGACAGTTAAGGAAAGTACATGTGCGTGAGCCTGCGTATACAAACAGAGGAGGCCTCCTGGCCTGGGCGATAAGATCATCGTCTTTTCAGACAATGTTTATGCCCTCGAAGTCTACGCAAGGAAGATGATGAAGCCGTTCCTTTACGGTGGTACCAGTCTCTCGGAACGTCAGGAAGTCCTCAATTATTTTCGCAATTCGCCGGATTGTAGTACTCTCTTCCTCTCCAAGATTGGCGATACATCCCTTGATCTACTTGAAGCAACCGTCCTCATCCAGGTCTCGGCACAGTACGGCTCCCGACGCCAGGAAGCCCAGCGCCTTGGTAGGGTGCTGCGAGCCAAGCGACGGAACGAGGAGGGGTTCAACGCTTTCTTTTACTCTCTTGTGTCGAAAGATACCGTGGAAATGGTGTATTCGTCCAGACGACAAATATTTCTGGTGGACCAAGGCTATGCCTTTCGAGTTATTATTATTATTATTTCCTACACCGATATGCCCTGGGGCGCGCCGGTCCTTCTACTGCTATTTACAAAGGAAACCGTACCGTATAGGCCGGATAAAAACCTCTGTCTACCACTTTGAGACAACAATCTATGAATCCATCATACTGCAAAAGAAAGGAGGCCCTTTGCCGGCCTCCGGGCCCTCTAGCCCTCCCCATCCACTGTTTCTAGCTCCAGCCTTCTGGCCAGGCTATACTCCAGTAGCCGGCCAGAGTCCATCAGCCAGCCAAGGACCTTCCTAACAAATCTTCTGCTCCGGGCACCTACTCCCCGTAATACGGTTTGTAGGTCCCGATGTGACCGAATCTCTCTGCCGTCCCACGGCCTTTGTAACGGTCTTTCGAGTTATTACGCAACTCAAAAGTATCGAAAAGACGCCCGACCTTGCCTTCGCGACCCCAGAGGCGAGACGTGAGCTGCTGCAGAAGGTTCTGGTGGAATCCGAAAGTAGCTCTTGGAAGAAAGAAGGAGGAGAAGGAGGCAGCCGGCTTGCTTGCGGATGGCAACATGTTTTATAGTCGCGGCGGGAAACCCGGGCGGAAAGGCGGCCGGGGTCCCAGGCGGACCGCAGGCACCTTGGGCGAGCTCAGTGGGGGGGCAGGACATGGCTTACGTTGAACAAAACAAAAGCGTGAACAAACTGCTGAAGGGCAAGAAGAAGGCGCCCCAGAGTGACTTTTTCAGGGCGATGGCGAGGGAGAAAGAACGGCGGAAGAAATTGTTAGACAGGACACTCGCGCCGACTCTTGTCTCGTCTCCGACCCTTATGTAGTGGACAACAAGCCAGTGGATGGATGGATGGATGGAATTTATTTCGCCCGGAGGCACTGGGCCTATAGGGCCTTAGCACGCTAATTACATCCGGATCAAATCGGTTTGCCTTTAACTCGTACAAGCCCCCTACTTCTTCCCTCTTTCTCGCTGCACCATTTACCTCTTGCCTTGGTTGTTGTTAGCAGATCAGCTTGGAGGCTACTTTCTCCAAGTGTTCAGCGTCCTATCTTCAGCAGCTAAAGCGGGACCTGCTGGTTAAGGCTCGTGGTTGAGGCTCGTGGTGTTGAGTGTCGGCTTCTTCTACTGTGACTGGTCTAGACTCTCCTCCTCATTCAGCTCCAGCCTTCCTGTTGCCATTGCGTATTTGATCGTCGCCCGGACTGCCTTCATATCTGGTGACCAATGCCTTGTATCTGATGTCGCTTTCCCTCCCAGATAGAACGAGAGGCTTCCTCGTCTTGCCACTGTGCATTGCAGCATGTCTTCCCTCAGAGCTGTCCATTTCACGCATCGGAAAAGAAAGTGTTCTACTGATTCCCTCGCTTGTCCACAGGCACAAAGGTCTGACTCGACCGCCCCAATCCTGCTCAAAAAGCCGTTCAGTCTCGCCATTCCGGTTCGGAGCTGCGCCAATACGCAGGCCTCCCTTCGCTTCAGCTTGTCATAGAGATGGCGCGTGTGCTTGCCTGGTAGTGCTGCGTCCATGGCCTTTGAGAACTTGCCCACGCTTACAGGTAGAACTCTTGTCGCCCGTTGTCTTTCCATTGCCAGCCTCATCGCGGTAGACTTGGCCTGGGGTATTTGGGAGTCGGGTGTGCGTCCTTGCTTCGACGCTCTCTGGGCTGCTGCCTTGGCATCTGACCCCAGCGCGAAGTCAATCTCCGCTGGTATCCACAGAAAGTTGACCGAGTTCCCTCTTTGTCGGTGCAGCCTTGGCCAAGTCGTAGATTTGCCGTATGAGTGTCTGTTGGGCCGGATTGCTGCCGCGGCTGTCCAACTGCTGCCTAGCGCTGACTGGTTCCTAGTGATCACGGTGATGTGCCTGTGGCAGATGCTAGCCGGTAACTTCTCCAGGGCCATTGCGATGGCTGCTAGCTCTGCTGTATATGGGTTCTGCTCTTCCCTTGTCCCAAGAACAACAGCATAGCTTGTCACAGTCTCGCTAGTCCTGTTGAAGAGAGTATCCCGTGCAAGGCCGCCCATGCCAACAATGCCCTTCTTTACGGATGAGCTGGTTGCGATCACGATTCCCGAAATTTTGTTGACCATCTCGGCCGCTTTCCCTCGATCGGCTTCGAGCGTCGGTCGTAGGCGAGGTACCCAGGGCGGGACGGCATATTCCTGGATTGTCTCCATCCGGTCAACTCGTACTCCTTCGGCCACGCGGGCAATTTTCTGCAGCGGAGATACGAATCGTACGGTGGTCCGGACTTTCTTCATGGCAAGGGGATGCGTTCCGGGCAGCGTGTGGATGTTGATCCACAGACTGGCTGCCGCCTGGGCGTGTCGTTCTCGTACGGGGTAGATGCTCGCTTCAGCTTCCACCACGGCTGTTGCCGCGGTTCGAAAGGCTCCCGTGATGGCCAGGGCCCCGATCTTCTGCGCCCTGTTCAGCCAGCTCAGTGCCTTTTCCCCGCACGCATGCATCCAGACATTGGCAGCGTAGTCCATGACCGGGGCTACTGTCGCAACAAATAGCTGTCTTCTCGCTGTCCGCGGGGAAAGACATCTTCAGCCTCTTCAGGGCCAGAAGCGGCTGCGAGGCCCTTAGCTGCCGTCCTAGCAATGTGCTGCTTGTAGCGGAGTTCGCGATCCATCACGACACCTAGGATTTTCGCACTTTCCTTCGGTTTGACCACTTCGCCTTTGACCGAGAACGGTTGTTCTGAAAATCGCTCCATGTTCCTCGTGAAGTGTATGATGGCTGTCTTTTCGCCTTCAAACTGCGCACCGCTCCGTTTCTCCCAGTCAAGGGCTTTGTCGATGATAGCTTGGATTCCAGTGCGGTTCGACTCCGCTGACGGGCCCGTTACCCAGGCAGTGTAGTCGTCCACGAAGGCAATTGCGCCTCCGTTCGCGTCGATCTTGTGCTGCACTAGGTCGGCGTTGAAGAAGAGGAACAACACTGGAGACAGCGGCGATCCTTGCGGAAGACCCGCTTGGGGCAGCTCTTGCCGTCCAGATGTGAACCCGTTTACGGCAATGGTCGCTGTGCGCTTGGAGCAGAAGGCGTCGATCCACTTGACCAGGGATTCAGGTATCCCTCTTGCCTTGAGCCTCTGGAGAAGCCTGTCTTTGAAGACCCCATTGTATGCGCCCTTGACATCGAAGCTGATCAGGCTGAGCACTTTCCTAGCTCTCCATGCTTTGTAGATGTGTTCCTGAAGCAGAAGGAGAGCCTGTTCGGTCGAGCGTCTCTTCCTGGCTCCGAAGTGGTTGGCGGGTAGAAGGCCGCAGGTCTCCACAGCATGGGATAAACGCTCCGCAATGACTGCCTCTAGTATCTTACCTAGCGTGGAGAGCAGCGAGATGGGTCTCCAGGACTTGGCTAGAGTGTAATCGCTCTTCCCTGGCTTCTTCAATGGGATGATCTTGGCATTCTTCCACTGGCTGGGGATGTCGCCGTCTCGAAGCGACGTCCGGAATAAATGGAGCGCCCTGTCTTTGACCACTGGCCAGAGCTGTCTCCATACCATTGCCGGTAGACCGTCTTCCCCGGGCGCCTTCCATGGCTTAGCGGACAGGACCTTTTGTTCTATCTCCTCCATTGTTAGGTCTGGCATGTGTACCGGCGCCCGTTGAGGTCGTTGGCCCTCGTCTTCGATTCTCGCTGGCAAAGGTGGGAAGAAGGCGGTGAGTAACTCCTGCGCTTGTTCTGCTTTACCCTCCGTGATGGAGCCATCGGGTCGGACGAGCGGGGGTATCTTATCGCCCATCGTGCCGCTGCCGGTTTGCAGGTACTTCGTTGCTTGCCAGATGTTAGCGTCATCGGCCAGGAAGTCGTTCCAATGCGAACTCTTCTGTCTGCGGATGGCGTCATGGTACTCTTTGGCTGCCATCCTGGCTCGTTGTTCGAGCTCTGGTTCTGCTTGCCCCATCCTACGTCGAGATCTCGCCTGGTTTTCTCCAAAACGTGTATGTCTGGGCGAAGCCGTGTCAGGTCCGTTGTCCACCCACCGCTTGGCGTATGGTGAGGGCTTGGCTTTAGGTGTCAGGCCGTAGACCGCCTCGGTTACCGCTGCCATGAGCCTGTCCGTCTGCTGCTGGACATTGCCGTCCCAGGGGATGCGTTCGAGGTTTGCTGCCACCCTAGTCCTAATTTCCGTCCAGGGCGCGTTCTTGAAGAGGAACCTCGTCTCACTGGGACGGTCCTCCACCGTGGTGTCAAAATCTGTCTCGATTGCTCTGTGGTCTGAGCCATGGTCGCAGGGGTGAATCGTGCATCTGAGTAGTTGGTCTGCTAGTTCTGCAGAGGCTAGTACCAGGTCGATTGTGCTCTCAATGTCGCCTGACTGCCACGTCTTCGTGCCTCTTGGGAGGAGGCTGCAGAGGGAGTGTTCGTCCATGAGGTTGATGATGCGGTCTCCCTCGCCTTGTCTCCGTGGTGAGACATCGTCCCCTCCCCAAAGCTGCTCGTGGCGGTTGAAATCGCCCGCCAGTATGATATCCGTTCTCGTCCCTGTTCCGTTTCGAAACCTCTTAATCATTAGGTCAATCTCCCTCATTGCATCTTCCAGTGCTTCGTCACTACCACCCTCCACATACACTGACACCATCAGCACTGCCCGGTCTGGGAGCCGGATGCGTGCTGCGGTGAGGTCTGCTGACGGTACTGGAATCTGCTCGACCTCTATATCGTTTCGTACCCATAGCATGCTCCGAATTGGCCACGTGGCTTCTCGTCTTGTCGTTGGTATCAGCTTCGTCCAGTTGTGATGACTCATTGGGACCGTCGTCACCGAGCCTTCGATCAGCCTGGCATATGGTTCGGAGATGGCCAGCACTGCGAAGTCCTTGAGTCCCTCGTCGTTTAGCAGACTCTGCTGCACTTCTCTTCGTTTGCGGACGTTGAGCTGAAGGATCTTAAGCGTCTTGGGCCCCATTGTTCAACCAGCGTACCCGACAGTTCTTGCTAAATGACTCGTGTGGTCCTCTGCATAGCACGCACTTCAGGACCACGGACTGACACGTCTTGTGGTGGTGACCCTGTTCCGCACACCTTCCGCATCTTTGCGGCTTTTTGCAGGCGAAGGCCTTATGGCCGATTTCCTGGCATCTGTAGCACTGGGTTGGGCCTTCCCGGGGCGCGAACACGGTCGTGTAAGCGGATTCTCCGGCCAGATGGAAGTAACGCCCGTCTAGAAGTCGCCTCGCTTCACTGCCCTTCGTCACGTAGACGACCATAGAGCCGTAGGCCTTGCCTGTATCCTTCCTGCTGAGCCAGGCGATCTTGGCAATGTTGACGTCGTTCTCTGTACCAAAGGCTTCCATTGCCCCTGGTAAAACGTTCCCCTCGGCGTCGAGGACCGCTGTGCGGTTGGCATTGTCGATCCTCACTGGGTAGAGCTGATCCCTCAGCACCCGTACGCCCGGGACAGTGATCTTTTGTGCTGCATCCTTGACAATCCTGGTCTCGTTTTCGTCTCTACAAACCACCTTGACCCGATCCGGGTTCCGGGCCTCCTTTACAACCGCAGCGCAGCGCCAATCTCCCATGTTCTCCAGTGTCCGGACCTCCGCCTCGATTGCTTTTCTGACATCCGCCACCTGGACTTTGTTCTTTTCGTTTTCCTCCACTCTGGATGTGTCGATGGTGCAGAACAGCGTGTCGGTAAAGGATGAGGGTGTCGTGTTCGACGAGGAGAGGGTGCGCACCCCGCTTGGTTGGCTTGATGGTGGGGTGCGAGCGACTTCGGCGTACGATGCTCTTGCGCTTGGCTGGGACGAGGCCGTGAATACCGGGTTGCGTATAAGGACGTCGATCTGGTCTCGAGCTTGCCTCAGCTCCTCTGATAGCTGTGCCTTTGTGTTCGCTAGGGCGCATTCCATTTGACGTTGGTATTCCTGGAGCTGATGGTGCAACTCTTGAATCGTGTTCTGCTGCTTGCTGACCACGTCGCGTAGTTCAATGATTGTATCGAGCATCTCGTTTCGCTGTGCATTGAGCACCTCTAGGAGTGTTTGTAGCGCTGTCTTCCCGGTCCCAACTTCGCTGTTGGTCGCATTCCCGCCTCCTAGCGCGCGCGTTCCTCTCGAAGCGGCGGTCCGCGTAGCATCGCTCGTAGTCCTTCTCGACGCGGTGGTTGCGTCTTCGATCGATTGCATGGCTTCGCGAACTTTCGCACTCGGTTTCGGGGCGCGGCTCGGTCGCTTCAGCGGGGATGGTTGGTCCGCCACCTCGACCACGATCTGGTCCTGCGCCGACCCCTCCATTTCGCCGTCCTTCGGCAGTGCCGCTCGACTTTTTCAAAAGTTTCAAGCCAGTGGATACATGGGCACCGATATCACAGTGGTGGAGTTTACCCTCAGGCACGGCCATGTCCTTCATTTTCTGCCATCCCGTGACGATCCCTTTCGAGTCAGAAAGTCACAGCAGCTACATCGAGGGAAGAAAAAGAAAGGTTCTCTAGGAAGGTGGAGCAAAAAGTCAAAAAGAAAAAACATACAACACCGAGGATTCCCCAGTCGTCACCGACCTGAGTACTAGTTCGGCTCTCACAAGTTTATCGAGGGGAGAGCGGACGGGATCCCGAGTTCTCTTGTGGATATGGTCGTATGTGGTGGTTAGGTACGTGAATAGCGTTTATAAAGGTAGATTCTGGAGAGTGCTCCAACGCAGCAAACAGGAGTGACCGTGCCCGCTGCGCGCGGGCACGCCAAAGGAAGCCTGGAGGAACTTGCCGGCTGCAGGTAGGCCCCATAGCGGAGTCAACGATGTAATTGTCTTTTTTTTTTCATTTCATGATGGTTATTGACGAATGCCGGGAAAGTAAGGAAAGGTGGTTTCTCCAGTCAGACTAGCGTCTAATCGTACATAGGGTTCAGCTTCGGTTGAAGGTAATCTCTCAAGGGTGCTTACTCCGTAGGTTCGGTGCAGCCAAAAGGTGCACAACAAAGGCTTGTCTCAACAGTAGGCTTCCGAGCTTGTAGCGGACTGTAGTTGTGATTGCTAACTGGAGAACTCCCAGAGCTCTCCAGAACGAGTGACTATATACTAGCTGATTCCTAAGTGCTCAGTGTGCTCAGTATGCCCTTGGCAACTGAGCTCACTGATCAATGTTGAGCCATCCCGGCTCCCTATTGGTGGTCCTGTCCTGGTGCTCAGTGTGCTCAGTCTGTCCTTGGCAACTGAGCTCACTGATCACCTTGACTACTCCTTGGCCTCCTGATTGGTTGCTAATGATTGGCTCGGGGCGTCCCGCGCCCCCCCGGGTCCCTCCTGTTGGCATATTCGTGACACTGCCACTCGATGGCCCTCCTTTCCGCTTATTTGAACCCGTCGCCCGCGGTACTCTTGCGCTGTTTGGAGACAGGTCGTCATCTCTGTCATCTTCGTCCTCTTCATCCTCGCGTGGTCAAACCAGCTCCTTGGACAGCGGCAGATCCTCAAACTAAATACTGATCTCCGTGGACACTGACCGCGAATCACCCTCCCTCCCTCCGGAGATAAGTCACACGATGTCTGACCTAGGTGCTATTCCATTTCGCGGTTTGTGCAATGCAGAACAACCGTCGTCAACAGGACACTGGATACTGAGGGCTGGAAGGAGACATCGGACATCATTGACGTGTCTCGGTTTGCATGACCGGTGAATGCCAGGAAATGTACCATAGTGAAAGGCTATGGGCCGTTGCTTGACGAGAACAGTTCCCCGTTTCTTGTACTGCTGCGCATAATTTCCCTATCTTACCTACAAGTTTCCATATTGATCAAACTTGCTCCTGCTACCCGGCTCTTGCCCCGCCCTCCTTTTTCCGGCTTCTCTTCCTCACCCTTTCTCCAGACACCCGCCCCCCAATCCACCCACCCACAAATCAACCAACCAGACACTATCTAACTCCTCGCGCGCGCACCCAGAAACCACTTCCGCGAGGCTATCGCAATGGCGGGGACTGCAGGAAGGCCCGGGTCCGCGACGGAACCATCATCGCCGCCGGGAGGACAGACGTTGAACCAAGTCCAACCTTGACCCGTCTTTGGGTTGACCTCTGTCATGTCGGCTCGTCCCCGGCCGCCGAGGTTAGGAAAATGCAGGTTGGGTCCCGAGGAGGAGCCCTGGTACTTCTTGGCCGGGGCATCCCACCAAAAGGAGCTCCCCGAGACCTGCCTCTCTCCCAGGTTATACCACACGTCCGTGTCTCCGCTGAACTTGTCGGTCCATATAAAGTCCGGCTTGCCGTCTCCATTGACGTCTGCCCAGCGGTGGTTGGCGCGGTCCTTGCCGACACCGAACTTGATCTGGTCCATCCACTGCTGGCTTCTCGGCTTGTTGAGCCATCCCGTCACTCTGCCGCTGGGCTCCAGACACATGTAGTCGACCCGTTTGTCACCGTTAATGTCGGCAAACTGCATTCCGAGATCATACAGTCCGACCCCCCATCCCTGAGTGCACCCGGATTGCATTACCCTGGTCTTGGGACCGAAAGTGTAACTGTCTGACTCCTTGTTGTAGTACGTATGTATGACATCGAGCGCGCCTGTCGCCTTGTCGGTGATGATGACGTCGCAGAATCCATCGCCGTTCCAGTCGCCGAGATGGATTGCCTTACGCGGGACACCCGCGAGGTCCAGAACGATTCCCCTGTCATACCAGCCAGTGTAATCGGTGTTGGGGGGGATGTTGACGTTCTGGAAGATGGTAATCTTGCTGTTGTGGTCGATAAAGACATAATCGTCATTGCCCGACCCGTTCATGTCGCACCAGCGGACACCGTCGCCTATAAACACGGCGTATGTCAGCTCCGCCAGTTCCAAGTTCTCGGCCATATGTTGATGGCTGGGAATTTGAGATGGCTGTGTCAAAGAAGGAAACGTACCCTTCTGATGTGCGCCGCCACCTCCCGTGTTTTTCCACGCCCTCACCTCGTAATCACAACGCCCATTGACCAACGTCATGCACTTGATGTGGACATACTAAGATGCAGAGCAGACGATTAGCACACAGTCTTCAGTAATGAATCTAAATCGTTGAATTGTTGAACACCTACATCGTTTCTTCCAGAACCGTAAACTCGCGCAAATCGGATCTGGGAACGAGCACCTGCCTCGCCCATCCCGCCATGTGTGACGCCGACAGAGTCCCAGTACGGTGTCAGTCCTTTGGTTTGACCACGCTGGTTTATGTATGTCGTAGTCTTGCCTGTGTCGTCGAGCCAGAGCCAGTCGGCACGGAAGCTGTGGCAGGGAAAGAGACGAGGGTCAACACAGGCCCACCTAAGAGTTGAGGGTGAAACAAGATGGCCACTTACTCTCCATTGATGTCAACCAGCCGGATACCATCAATGCTGCCCATGCTTTTTCCGGTAAAGACAGGCTTGCCCTCCCCAACGTCTTGCCAATAGGCAGCGTTATCCCCTAAGCCGCCGTTTCGCCAGCAGTAGATGTCTCCATTACCAGCCACAACGCAATAATCCAATCGTCCGTCACCGTCAATATCACCGAGGCGGATATTTGTTTGCGCATATCCACTGGGTGCCTCTTTGTAAAGGCCGACATCTCTAAAGCGCGGAGGCTTGCCGCCATCATTGATGTACACGTACCTGTAATATACGAGTTAGTTCCTGCAGAGTTCGGCATCGACACGATTGAAACAGGGATGGGATACATACATGTTCCCTTCTGGCCCAATGCAGATAAAGTCGTCTAGTCCATCGTTGTTCTTTGACACGGTGTTAGGTGGTACTCATCACGATAGGGGGTTTAGGGAAGGTTAAGGGCTGCTAACCACATCCCCCCATCGAATGCCTCCGGTTTCAGGCTGTCTACACGTGCCCCCGAGGGTAGGAATGTGCGTCTTGTCGCCAAAAACGCCGTCACCAAGATTCTCTCGATAGTAGATGCCGCTCTCGCCCTGACTAAAGACCCAATCGTCGCGCTCGCCGCCACGATCGGTGCCCTTTTGAACAATCTGGGCAAACCATACCGTGTCGTCGCCGGCGTACCAGCCGGCGTGAATCCTGCCCATGGACTGCGAGCTATGTCTGTATTGCCCATCGTCGATGATGCGCGGTGACAGCGCCTTGAGCACTTGGGTCGGCCCTGAGCTCGAGTTGCCGCTGTCGAGCGTCTTATCACACGTCGTGGTACCCCCGGGTTCGTCCGAGAAGGACACGTCGTTACTGGGCGGCGAGAGCCAGCCTTGGGCCTCTGCCTGCTGAATGGCTTGGTGCCACTTGGCTGCCATCTTTTTGTATCCAAAGTCATTGGGGTGCTACAACGAACGATAACGTTAGTTGAGGTAAAAATGGGAAACCAACCGTAATTTGTTGTTTGCTTACAGTGGTATCGGCCAGATCCGCCGTCGTCATCCACCCGTCGCCAAAATCCGCAAGTATGAGACGCTTGCCCTGCCCCTGGAGTTCCCGAGCAAGCGTGCGGTACTGATCATTGATCAAGGCAACATTTCCCGGGTTTAGAGTGTTGGGAATGAGCGTAGACAGCACAACGCACACGTCCGGCACCGTTTCAAAGATGAAATCGATCATGGTTTCCATGCGGTCCTTTGTCGTTGCCACGTTGTAGCCCTGCGTCGCATCGTTGGTTCCTGCGTTGATGAGAACCACATTGGGCTTGTAGAGCGGTATGGCATTGCGTGCCCTGACATCCACCTCTTCAACACGAAAGCCTGGCCAACCCTCCACATCCTGGAGAAAAAAACATTAATCATTACAATATTTAGGGGCTTGAATAGCAAAGAACAAGATTCGGGATAGGAAAAAGAAGATCAAAATAACAAACTCACTCTGTCATTCATCGTACCGCTGGCACGACTTCCGACCATGTTGACATTCCAACCATCAAACCGGATCTGGTCACGCAAATGCTTGCGATATCCGTTGCCATCTGAAGATGCTTGGCCCCATGTGATGGAGGCTCCTAGCGGAAGGATACGGAGGTAGAAGGTACCAGCACGTGCAGACACGGCGGCTGTGAAGTTTTGGTTTGAGGGGTAGGCAACAACGGTGGTGGCCTGGAGGAATATCAGGAACAAACCCGTCATCCACCTGGATGGGAACGCCAGACATGCCCTAAAGACAGCCATGTCGTGTAAGAGACTGTAAGACTCGGAGACTGGCAACTGTGGAACGAAAGTGTTGCTTCCCGTGTTGAGTTACTAAGATGGAGGTGGACATGAGTCGGACGTGTCCTCGTCTTATATACCAGCACCCCTGATACTTCGAAGGCGAAAGCTCACGCCCACCAGCATATGTCTCTTCGCCAGGTTCCTGCCGCCCAATCTTGCCATGTACCATCTTGTGTCCTCGCTAGCGTTGTTCCCTTACGCCTCCGCATCTCCTTCCTCATCGGTGGCTAGTTAGCCTCATCCGTTGCCCCTATTGCCAATGTCAAGGCTTATTTCCGTCGACAACTCGACGGATAAATGCAATGAGAGACTAGGCTGTCAATACTATGCTGTGTGACGATACTCCGTGATGGACTCCACCACCATTCTCCATACTCCATCGTGTATTGGCGGTCATTCCCTCGGCCGTGCCGTAGTGTTGGGGGCCATTCCGGCCGGAATCTCGAAGAGTTGTCACGGGGAGGAATCATTCCAAGGTTCAGCTGGCGCCCTCTCTCTGAGAAGAATCAATCTAGCCCCTCGGCATCCCAATGTTGGTGTATTCGGACCGATGGTTGAGCAGCCCACAAGGCTCGCAGATAGATATAATGGTGGTGTGATCAAGTCTAGACCGCAGCCGCCTGCTTCCTAGGAACAGTTAAGTCGTAATGTGACACCCAGGTACCGTATGTAGTGGAGCGAGACGCGGACGTTCGGCACCGCCGGATCAAGGTCTCTGATATGTGCAACGGCAGGGGCCCGGCGGAGCTCCGGCTCTCCGGGTAGCAGTCCGAACGGGGCATAGGGACCCTATTGCCCCCCTCAGCCGATTCAAGCACGACGAGAGCACACCCGATGTAGTACAGGCTCTGCGAGGCGGACAAGTCCCCGGCACACTTGGTATTCTGCAGACCCTCGTTAGTACGTCTTCAAGAGGTGGCTGTGGTTAGGCTGGGGACCAAATCTGCCCGGCGACGAGCAGGCAGAAATGACAATACTTGAAAAAGCTTCAAGTTGATACTAAATCCGGGGGCGTTTCTTGACACTCTCTGGGTCACGCAGTACTACGAGTGGGGGTGGCTCAGAAGTATTTTTCTCGGCATGATTGGATCCTACTCTTGTTATGAAGGCGTATGTAACGCTAGGTATGTCAGATAAAAAGGTGGAGCAATATTGAAAATTTATTCCAAGTTCGTCGCTTGCATTCCGCAATGGGTACCTCGGTCATTCTTCCTGCGGAGTGGCAAGGCAGACTAGCAACGATAGGCTCCCCATCACTGCTCGATGTGAGTAAGTGCCTCATGTTAATTTCAAGAATATCAATGACCTTATTAAGTTACCTCTAGACCAAGCAACGTTTATGGCGCAGCTCTCCGAGCTAGCGGGACTATAGGGAGCACCGAAGTTTAAGCCCCCCACTTGATCAAGTACAAGGAATAGCTTATGTAGCAGGCGCCTCCGACGAGGCTATCGTCACCCAGACCCCATCCCGGACACATGGTGGGCAACAACTCAATTTAACTCAACTCGGCCCTGAAGTTGGGTTGAGTTGGGCCTCCGGCCAGCTGAGTTGATTGAGGCCATTCACAAGTTGAGTTGAGTTGCCGAGTTGCAACTCAACGCCAAGACTCTATGTAATACAGCGAAAAATATTGATCCAGACCTAAGCACCCTACTCTGCAGCCCGCTGAGCCAAACCAGAACCCCCTACCGCAGCCGACTCCACTGCTTGAGGCTCTCCACGATATTGATAGCGTCATCATCTAGGCGGCGGCGTTGATGGCCAACTGTGTGCTTGGCCCTGCTGAATACCCTCTCGCACTCTGAAGACATCGCCGGTATCGTCAACAAGTCCAACGCCATGATGGAAAGGCGTGGAAAGTCGCTCCTTCTGCCAGGGCTCAACCACCACTCCACATCATCGTGGATTTCCTCAGGTTCTTCAGATAGGTAGGCCTGAAGCTCATCCCTGGTTGCAGGGTCCGGCCGGCGAGCGTAGAAAATGTGGCGATACGGCACCAAGCGGTTGGTCCAGGCAGTCCGTTGACTGCCTTCTTGGGCAAGTCGGCGTTGTTCGGCAAGCAGTTGGGCAGCTAACTGAGCCGAGGACTGGCCTGGCGACTGAGCCGGTGCCTGGGCAGGTTGACTGGGCAGCTCGACGTCGACAGATCCATACTCTTGTTGGTAAAACGCTCTGAATTCGGTCTCAATACGCGCTGCCCGGTCCGGTTCCAAGTATTCGGTCAACCGCTTTGTCTTGTAAGCAGGATGCAGTATAAGGGCCGCCCAGTAGACCGGGTTCTTCTCCATCAAATCAATATACTTCGCCAGCTTGACAATGACGAAGTCAAGGCTCTTTTGGATATACCGCATGCCTTCATCACCGAGCTCAAACTCGGATGTTTCAGCGCCAACAGGTCCTTCCTCAGAGCCAAGGAGAGTGATGTCAGGCGGCAGCACTTGCCCAGGTGTGTGTCCAGACAAGTCAACTTCGTGGCCATCGAAGCGCCTGGGCAGGGTTCTTGCCCGCTGCGGCCGACTTTGTGGGGGGATTAGATAAAGCCAGCAAGCCCCCCTGTGTCACTTCCTTAGTTCAGCCCTCCGCAAGGACTCCGTCACCATTCCGAGGCCCTTACAACCGCAACCATGACCCAATTCACTCTCTCTCACCTCACGGCGGCCCTGGCGCTTGCCTCCGCTGCTCAGGCCCAATGCGGCTCCGGATCGCCCGACGCCATCCCGGCAACTCCTTCACCGCTAAGAAGGGCTCCAGCAACGTCTACTCGGGCTCCGACTACCGTGCCGCCATCCAGGCCGCCCTCGACTCCATCTCTAGCGGCCAGCGTGTGGCCGTCATGGCCTCGGGCTCCATCGGCGCGAGCACCCTTACCATCTCGAGCGGCAAGATTTTCGAAGGCTGCGGCACCATCAACGTGGGCAATAAATCCGGCCGGGGCGCCATCGAGTCGACCGACACTACCAACGTGCAGATCCCCTACCTGACCATGACGGGCAACCCCTATTTCGGCCTGCGCTTCTCGGGCACCAGCGGCCTCAGCCTCGGCAAGATCACCATGAACCTGAGCGGCGGCCTAGGCATCCGCTTCGACCCCGACCGCGCCGCCAACTCCAACGTCAAGATGGACGTCATCAGCGTTACGGGCGCCGGCAGCCACGCCGTCGAGGTGTGGAACATCGACGGCCTCGAGATCAACCAAGTGATCGCGCGCAACGTGGGCGAGTCCGGGCTGCTGTTGCAGGCGACGAGGAACGCGCACGTCAGGCTGGTGGACGGCAACAACGTGGCGACCGGCACGGGCTACGCGACCTTCCGCATGGCCAACAACAACGGGCAGAACGCCAACGGCAACTACAACACCAACGTCTACATCGACAAGGTGGTTTCGCGGGGCGGCGGGCGTGGTATCTTCTGCGTGTCGCAGTCCGGTGGCGTCGTCATCGAGGAGATCGACCTGGCCGACAACGGCAACAACTCGATCCTGATCGAGAACTGCTACAACCTCTCGATCCGCGGAGGCAAGGTTAACGGCGGCGGCGAGGTCCGTATCTCGGCCCGCTCCGAGTTCCCCAACACCCGCGACATCTGGATCACCCTCCAAGTGGACGGCACCTCGGTGCGCGAGTCGCCGTGCGCTGATAACTCCAACTGGACCCTTTCGGGGAACGGACAGAGGAACATCTGCTAGGATTGCGTAGGGTTGGTGGAAGGGCGTTACGGGAAAAATGGCATGAGGGAGGTTGGGGGACCGTTCGTTCGTTTCAAATGAGATGATACGAGGACAACTAGCCTAGGTAGCCAGTAAAATAACTCCAGGCCTTTGAGTACAAGGCATCATTTTTGTTCAGTGTCGGCTACAGTGGCTTTGTAAGGCCTGACAAAACAACCGCATTATGTGCACCATATGAACATAACGGAGCTTACTGTGATCTAAATCTGCGGTAGTACAGGAGCTTGCATTAAAACTCACCCCTAAGACAGGCTTCAAGCCCCTCTCGCCCACCACCACAACCAACCAGTTATTCCAACCTATTTACAACACCGGCCCATTCAACAAGCAATAGACTAATACTTCAAGTTATTGTTCACCCTCATCATGGATCACGGCTACAAGCTCCGTCTCCGGTTCCCAAGGGCCCTATTGAGCTATCGGAGGTCACGGGAGCGTATGTTAATATACCATTGGAATTAATCAAGGGGGTTAACGTGCTCAACAACGCCGGGCGGGATGATATCTTGAATATGTCGGCCCCCGCCATGCAGCTTCTGTTCGACAACCTCAAGGAGGCAATGTCACCTTGGTCTGATGTCCCTAAAGAGTGGACAGTCCCTCCTTTGCCAGTCAAGGTTATTCGCAACTACGAGACATGGGACTTGACTGGCATCAGCTTCACAATGTCGAGGCCTATTTCGCCGAGCAAGGTGGAAGGCTTGGATATCGAAATCAACTGCCAAACTCACCCGTCAGGGGGTAAGTCGGACTGCGAAGTCTCCCTGTGGGAACTCTCCCAGCTTACTATTGAGTAGCCGCCGTTCGGTAACATGAAACGGAAAGTCGTTTTGGTGACCATGTGTGACCCATTTTAACGACAAAGAAGAAATAAAAAATAGAACGTAGGACGGTGTTGGAAAGCCAACAGCTACGAATTGACTGTACCAAGGTGATTGGGTGCCAAAAGGTGATGAAAGAGAGGCAACCAGTCCATTGATGATGATGTCTGTGTCTCTATCTCTATCTTGTTCCAACTACCGCGGGCCTCGCCCCTGATCCTGAAAAAATACTGATAATGCCCAGCCACTCGTTACCCCTGAATTGCCCCTCCTCACCGCCTTCCAAATCCAACAGACGGTGAAGCGTGGACAGCACCTCCACAAATTTATCAATCTACTGTGTACTAATTAGTTATCCTGACCACACTAGTAGCATTTTCCTTTTGTTTACGTAGTACTAGCAGAATTTCCTGACCGCCTCCCCTCCCCCCCTTTCTTAACATCAACCCCAACTGCACCCCCCCCCCCCCCCCTTCGTCTAAACCCGCCAGCATGTCGTCTTAAAGCACGACGCGCGATCCCGCCAATCCTCGCGCAGCGCCTTCTTGGTATCAACACTAAAATACGGCCCGTTCATGCCATCGCAGTCGAAGCCCTCAAACAGCTGGAGCTTGCAGCGCGTGCTGGGGTTGGTCTGCCGGTCGTAGGCGTAGTAGGTGATGGAGGCTGCCCGGTACCGGTGTTCCTTGGGGATGATGTGGCACGCGCTGCCCGGGTTGCCGGGGCCCGATGCCGTGTAGCTGCTGCCGCCGAGGTCGGAGTGGTCGTGCAGGTACACGCGCCACGCGTCGGTGGTGCCGGCGAGTGCGAGGAGGGCGGCGGTGGCGAGGGTGGTGAACTTCATCGTGGAGGAGGCTGGTGAGGTTGGTGAGTGGGTTGTTCAAAAGCTGGGGAGTGCCCTATCAGGGGCTAACGTGGCTGGATTGCTGGAATGGGAACTGGTCTCGCAACACAGAAACCGCCGTTGACTCCAGTGGTTTTATACATAATATTCCTTTCTTCCTTTAGCCCACGTGCTTGCCACCGCCGTGGAGGTCAACAACAGAAGCATACCAGCAGGCTTCCTATCCCTCCGAAGAAGTGGTAATCCGAGCCCCCTCTTCTGAGTCTCTGGATCCATCAACGCACTGCGGTGATACCCACGTGTATCTGAACATCCGTTAAGCCAATGAAGCGAGAGTCAGCACCCATAATCCGGTCCTTTTCACCTCACCAGGTCTGTACTCTCAAAATTCTTTTCATGTGTCTGTCGCAACGGTTTCCACGGTAGGCACCCGCTTGTCTTCTTGATAAGCACTAAGCTCCGTTTGTTGACGTGCCCGGCCCAATTAGGCCGTACCCCCGATGCGGGCGACGAGTTGATGGAGAGAAAGAGTGAAGAGTCTAATGAGCGGGGCGCCTCGGGTTTGGCGCGCCCTTTCGATGTTCGCCAAGCTGTTTCTCGGACTCCCGCGGCGACCGGGGGGAACGTCATCACTCATCAGAGTCATTACGGTCTTGCCTCGAGCGGAGCGCTGAGAGCATGCAGCCATCATCTTACCACAATGTTCAACATGGATTGTGTGTTGCCCTTCCCCGGAATTTCGTAAGCGCGTATCTGCCGACCTGATACTTGCCGTATTCTGAGACTCTGGCGGCCGCGGGCCGACACCGGAGGTTACGATACTGGCATGCATATTACATGTGTGATGGGTACCGGGATCGGGGCACGCGGTAGCTGGAGATGAGTGGTTCTGTGAGAAGGTTCCTCAGGGGGTGCTTGGCCGGATACTGGGAGCGGACTTAGGGCTCGCGGCGACTTGATGAGGGATCTAGAGGAAGACGGCGACGGGTTATTTTTGGCCCCACTGTACTCTATTTCAACACCGCCGGGGAATGGTTCTAACGGTTGTCCCTACCTATCTACCCATCTCCTATCCCCCTACCCCCTAAGAACCGGCAAGCTCATTGACAAAATGACTTTGCGCTAATCAATTTGAAGTCCTTCAGTTCATATGATAGATAAGCCGTGGAGAGACATGACGTGCGCAGAAGGTATAACGAATGAAAGATAAGCTTTGTATGATAGGCGGGCCGTGTGCGGCAACGGGTTTACCATGGGATGCGTTGGTTACACGACGGCGGGTCCCACACAAATCCCATATTCCGCAGAAGCCGTGACAGGCGATGGTCCCTGGATTTCTAGCTATAATAGCTCATTCGAACCATCCGGGTCTCGAAGAGGCCATCCCCGTTTGTCTCCGACACTGAATCGTTACTTCGGACTGCGTCCATTCACCAGCATCATGGACGTGGACTGCGGCTTTGATATCTTTCCCAGACTGGACGCTGCCGATGAGGCTGATCGACCCGCATACCAACAATTCCTAGGCGAGATTATTGACACATATAAGGATCCTCACGGCGAGAAAGGAAGTTGGGAGGAAAGAAAGGTCCTGCAACTACCTGCTGGGGACTCCGGAGGTGAGCTTTCGGGCAACAACTACATATACTTCACGGTCGGAGAATGGCCAAAGATACCCGCAAACCCCAAACCGTGCGACTATTTTCTTCGCTTCGGCTCCAAGTTCAGCAGAAGCCTGGGATACGTGGAACCTTATATCCGTAACGTGTACTGGATTGCCGAAGGATACTTCGGGGATCGAGTTCGGTGGTAGAATGAGTTGAACGGCAGGGACAGGATTTCAGGAACTGCCGGCCGGGGTTACTACGATTGGTCGGCGGTTTATGAAGCGGATAACAAGCTCGGATCTCCGGTAACGGAAGAAAAACAAGGGGGCTGATTTGGATGCGAAGGAGCTCGACAGCGTATCAGTTGAAGAGTGGCCGTGATGGTCGGGAACAGGTTTCAATCCCTGGTACACACATTATTTTACTCTCGTGGCCCCATTATCCTACGTACCAAGGTAGGTAGTCTGTTGCTACGATTATATATAAAAGCTACCCACATCGCACCGCACCCCGGTGCCTACCTACGTGCACGCTAGCCCTTTGAACTCATCGAGCTTCTCCCTAAGCTGGGCTTCAATTTCAGACTCGTTGCGCCCCTCGCTCTCCAGCCACTCCTTCTTCATCTGGCGCCAGAAGTCGTAGAAAGTAATGTCACTAGAAGGAGTGAATTCGTGGCATTCGCCGTTCATGTCTGTGTACTGGAAGTTGCCCATGTGGTACTTGTCTTTCTTCTCGAATCTAATTGGAGGAATTTCAATTAGCATCGTGCCCACATTGTAGGCGCGGACTGAGAAGCTCCATGAGAAACCTACTGATAGCACTGAATGGTACAACAGACCCCAAGATACTCGGTCAGATTGTGCAGCTGGTGGATCTGGTAGTTGTGCTGATCGAGCCACGTCACATCGCCCTCCCTGAATTCGGCGGTTCCAAGCTGAAGTCGGCCTTTGTCGATGGAGTCGTAAAAGGTAGCCTGAATTTTGCCATGCAGGACCTGGGCAAGAAAGTGTTAGAAAGACTGGGCTCAGACGAAAAACTTTCAATAACGAGGGGCAGGCAAATAAACCTTCATAACGGCGCTGCCGTCACCATGTTTGTAGATAAAGGACTTGTGGCCACTCGGCCAGATCTCCAGGACATAGGGAATACCCGGCGAGTCACCCTAGAGGCATCAAGGTCAGACAGGCGCGTTATACTCTTCCGCTGGCTTGCACTTACATGATGATATCCCAGCGTCACACGGATACATGTCGTCTTGTCTTCTTCTTCCGCGATCTTCTTCTTCTCGTCCTCATTCAATACCCGGTTTTTGTCTTCATGTTTCCATCGCGCTTCCCTCTTTGCCTTCAGAGCATCTTTCTTCTTCTGTAGCTCGTCGTAGCACCAGCCATTCTTGCAGCTCATTTCAATCGCACTGGTAAACTCGGGAAAGTTGCTGTCAATGAGGGTAATGTTCTCTCCCGCCACATTTGGGTAGAGCGCCTTGCAGGCGTCGGGGAGATTGGCCGGGACGGTGACGAGGCCGTTCTCCAACTGCAAAAGCGTGATGCGGTCCTGGGGGACGACAAACGGCGAGAGTCGGTACGTGACTGGCAGGCGGAGGATGGAGACGTCAGCGGCCTTTCCACCCGCCAGAGCAACCTTGACTTCTTTGGCGTCTTTGAGCCATTTGCAATACTCTGGGCTGATAGTACATGGTAAGCACATTTATCTCAACATCGTGAAAACCCAAGGCAGCTGACTGGATGCGGCTCACAATGTAGTCCCGCCATTCTCTGCGTCAATACCCTGAATTTTCCTCAAGACGGTGGTGGCGTTGGCAAAGAACTTGCCGTAGCGCAACTCGCCATTGGACTTGTCCAGCGACAGCCAGTACGTCTCTTCGCGGTTGGTGTTCAGTGCGTGGCGCGTCGGGTTGTTTAGGGTGTCAGCAGAAAAAGGAGACCAGTCCACTCTCTCCCCTGCATTTTCCGAGGTCTCAATGTACATGCAGGCATCTTTTGAGTCCACAATGAGGTGGAGGCGAGATGTAGGGTGATGTCTGCTGCCATGGATTGTGATGCGGAGGGCTCCCGCTATGTGAGATTTCACGACAATGGTACCGTGGCCGCCGGTCAAAAGTGTCTTGCCGTACACCACCAAAGTTTTGTTTTTGTATTCTTCAGGTGGCCATTCCATGCTGAGCTATGTGTATGGCGTGGTGCTGGCAATCAAGTTAGGTAAGTAGGTAGGCAGGTATCGACAACTCTTTGGGATGGATTGCAGCTGTAAAGTAGCCAACAACCGAGGATGCGGAAAGGTTTTCTGATAAATGCCCGCGAACAAGATCGAAACATAGAAATCCTGTCTTCATCCACAAGATGTTGGTTGGGCAGGGGCTGCACGATCCAACGCTCCGTGTTCCCGTCCAGTTGTCGAAGCCCAACCCTTTTCCGCTTGCTAACACCGTCTCAACACGCGTTCCTGACGACAGCACACCAGGGAAAATTTCTATTGGGCACCAGCGGCAGCATTGCATGTGTGTTATGCAACAGTAGAGGCATTGGGATTGGGTGAGAAGCAGAGCGGTGGAGAGAGACGGGAGAAATGAGAGATCAGGTACCTTAGCTGCTTAGGTACCTACCTACCTACCTATCTACATGTAGCCTTGAAAGGCCTGACTTACCATCATGATAGGCCGGTGTAGGCATGCCGTGCTGTGACCCACCCACTCACTCCAGTCAGCCCTTGCCTGCCACGAGGCGCGGCTAGCGCGGGCTGGCCGTAAATTGAAGGCCACATGGGCTGGCTTGCTTTCTCGTAGATAGGGGGGGTGTGGATAGGGGGGGTTGGGGGGAGAAAAGATAAGAAAGTGATTTTGGAATCAAGTAGTAACAACTACACCCGCCGAATCTCTGAGATTAGCTCAAGAACTTCTATAACTTAAAATTCATTATTCAATACTTACACATCCACTACGTGTCTCCCGGATCAATCGGGTGATAATCATGATATTTTACCAAAATTGAACATAGCAAGAGCTCAGCTATAGGACCTCCACCTGAGTGGCGTGATTACCGGCGGCCCATAAATCCAGCTGGAACTCTTTCCCTCTGTCGGCTTGTTGGGCGTATACGTGACCACTGGAGGGGTTAATCGACGGTGGATTCCGAGGGGGTTCGCACCATCAGCGATGGCAGCGTCCTTCTCGTCCAACGACCGGAAAACCGCTTCATTCCTCGGCACCGGCGCGGCTGCTGCCAGCGCCGGATACCAATCCGGCCCATTATCATCTGGCCGGGTCCGGGGAGCCATCGCCATCGCCAGGTTCCCCTTCACATGTGCCGCGTCCGCCAGGAAGTCGCGAAAGACGGCCCGCGCCGCGGAATCGTCCAACACGGTGAGAAGGTCCATATCCGCAGGCAGGCCTTCGTTAGGCCACTCTCCCGGCCTCCACCTGGCGCGCAGCATCCCAGCCGTTTCTCCCACGCGCTCCCTGGCCACACGCAGCAGGCTGTCCATATCCACCCCGTCTGCTGCGGCCGTTTCCCGCAAAAACGCCTCGACCCCGCCCACAACACCCACAAAGTCGGCCCCGGCCAGCTGCTCCAGAGTAGTGATAGCTGCTGCTGTTGTATCGTCAGGAAGGGTGATACGCCGCCGCGCCCGGAGGAAGGCGTACCGCACGACGGGCACGCCTATCAGCGAGTCCCCCGGGTACCCCCAGCTGAGGAATTGGCGGCGGGTTCTTCTCGTTTTTCGAGTTGTGTGCCACTCGTGCGAGACAACAATAACCCAGCTGCCGGGGTCGAGAGGGCCGAACAGCGGCCAGCACTCAGCATTCTTCGCCGGTCCCGGACTTGGGTCTGCTGTGGCTGCTGTGGCTGCTGTGGCTGCTGGGGAGGAGGAAGCTAAGCTTCTGCTGCTGCTACTGCTGCTGCGCTGTCTAGGAATAGCCAGGTTCTCGGCGGGCATCGGGCTGATGGAACAATTTTCCGTGCGCGGAGCCGACAGGGTGGGTGCCGTCACCGCGAAGCTAGTCAAAGAAGTGTCTTCGATGACCCGGCGACAGTACTGCAGAAACCCTGACGCGAAACGTTCTGGGTTGAGGAGCATATCGCCGAGGAAGAAGTGGCAGGGCCAGAATGTCACGTCCTCCTCTTTCCCTTCCTCCTCTTCCTCCTCGTCTTCCTCCTCCTCATCTTCTTCTTCGTCATAGTCCATGACATCTTGTTCTTCCACCTCCTCGGTAGGCACAAACTGCTTGCGGACAAACATATGCTGCACCGGGAATGCGCTGCGTAGGGCAGGAGAGTCCAGCCGGGCGCCTGTGTGGGGGTCTCGAAGCCAGAAAGCACGTCGAAGCGGCGCGGAGAAGGCGGCGGTGACGAATATATTCCTGGATCCGAGGAGGGCCGAGGCGAATGGGGACGCGCATACCTGCGCGAACACAGCCGACGACTTGTCGTCGTTGGTACGAGAGGGACCCTGGAGAAAGGATATGTCGCGGATTGTCTCGTGCCGGGCAAGGGTCTCGAGCAGCGGCGTAGGGGAGTCGTCCATAGCATCGATGCAGATGCTCAAGGCCTGCGCGTTGCTAAATTGCGCCGAGTCTAGGGTGGTGGCGACATGCTCGTACGATAAGTTCCGGTAGGCTGCCCAGTTCAGGTGCCGGCATCCGGCGTAAGCAAGGCGAAGAAGCTGCGCCGATGTGTCGGAAGGGCCCATCTTGTCCGGATCTTCAAGAAGACGCTCTCGGAGACGGCTCTGGAAGCCGGGTAGGGCGAGGGAGCGGCGGTGAGCCTCGAGATCGATTGTCTCTGCACCGAGACACGCAAAGACTGCCTCCTCGACGGCGGCATCACCGTTGCGAACGGGAAGCGCGGGGAGGCTGCCGTCGCTGCTGCTCCTTCTAGAGGAGGGTGGCCAAATATCTTCCGAGTATTAACATACATGGTACATACCACCCCATACCACCCACACTCATGATTCCCTAACGTATACATGTGCGGGATGGGACGACTTACAGCTAAGAGCACGGGGTTCGACGATGGCGTGTTTCTCCAGCCACTCAACACCACCATCCAACGGCTCGTCCAGCTCGAACTTGGCCATATACGCTGCCGCGGAGAGCGGCAGCCCCGCATCAGAATTGTCGAGATAGAGCTCCGGCGGTGGGCCTTCGTATTTGCTCTCCACGCGATCCCAGCCCCAGCCTTCGCCGACCCCAGAATCCACAGAGGCGACGTAGTGGATTCTGGACCCGACAATGCCGTACCGCACGGTATCCAAGTCGGATATGTCAATGACAACAGCGCCGTACTCGAGCACATCATCACGAAACACGGTCGCCAGCGGGCGTTCCTGAACGTCGTCAGGTCGAGCTCCGCACCCATCATCATCATCATCCAACCAGGTCAAGGCCGCGCGCAGACACGAACAAATAAAAGGAAACTCCCGAATAGCGCCCGCGTCCACCCATGGCGGCGACCCAGGCGGCGGAGCCTGCTCCGGGTCCCCCGGAGGGGGCGGGTGACCACCCCAAAACATGCAGTCAGCCAAGCTCGGCTGCGGCAGATCCGGCACATGCACCCGCACCACGCGCCGTAGCGGCACCCCCGCGGCGGCTCCCAAGCGGCCCGGGTGCTCGGCAGCCGCCGCCAGGGCCAGCTCGGCCTCGATGGCGGCGCGGTTGGCCGGGTTGGTCAGCAAGTCAACGGCGCGCGCGCAGTCCCGCACGACCTGGCGGACGCGCCGCCATTCGTTCTCGATGTAGCGCCCGGGACCGTGGCCGCGGCCCTGGCGGTAGGTGATGGCGAGGGGGCGGTGGGAGCCCGAGGGTCCCGGTACGCCCACGTCGGCGACGATGAAGAAAAGGAATGACCGGGGGGCTAGCGTTGCGATGAGCCTCTCCCGCTCTACTCTAACCCCGACCATGATGCTTGCTGGGCTTGGGGTTCGGTGGTAATGGTATAAGAACCAAGAATCACCGAGGGTTGGATGAGGACGGCTCGGGGGCTTGTGTTTCTGCGTTTGGATGTGTTCGGGGGAAGTTGAGTCATAGCATAGACGGGAGGTTCGTCCAATAAGTTACCTTGCCGTAAGGCGGTTGGTTGCTTCACCCCCACGGAATTTGGAAGCCCGCTTTTGACCAGGACCGTCCTCTTATTCTCTAATCCAGATCAACAAGCAATTTCGTGCAATAGGTTTGACTCTTGTCTAAAACCAAGACATAACCCACCTCAACTTCGAAAGGTGGCCGACAAATGCCCACGACTCGACGGACCAACCAACTCCCACGCCGGACCTACACCCGCGTCACATAGCTCCTCTTCTCCCCCGCCGCCTGCACCTGCGCCTGCGACTCAATCTGGATGGCCTCCTTCAGCTTCTCCACCACCTCAGGCTGCCCGCCAAACGCCCGCTCCAGCATCTCGTCCAGCTCCCTCTCCAGCTTGCCCACATTCTTTCCCCCCAGCTTCTGCGCATTCCCTCCCCCAACCCCGCGCGCCTCGTTCAACACCCCCGCCCACCGCCTCGTAAACCCCACAATACTCTGCCTGAGCAACCCATCCAATTGCTCACTCGCATCGTCAACCGGCGCCGCTGCGGCAGCCCCGCCCGCGCCAAGAGCAGGCGTGCCCCCCGCGACGACAGGCGTGCTCGCGCCGCTGCGGGACGACGACCACAGCGACGAGCCGGGGATGTAGGTGCTCAGGGTGCCGAAGCTGCTGAGCAGCCCGCCGAGCAGGTTCTGCGGGCGGAGGGTGTCCCAGATCTGGGTGAAGGCCGGGCCGCCACCGCTGCGGATGTCGCCGATCTCGAGGGTGACGAGCTCGTTCTTGAGGGTGAGCAGGTTCTTGATCATGAAGAGGTCCGGGTCAGTGGCGGCGGCGGTCCCGGCGGCGGGTTTGGCGGGGCTGGATTTGAGGCGGCCTTCGGCGCGCTGCAGGGCGGCGATGGATTCTTTGATGATTTTGAAGATTACTGGGCTGTCGCGTTGCTAGAGAGTGGGTTAGGATTAAGTGGTGTGATGATGATGGGGGGATTTCTTTGACTTACACATCGCTCCTTCGGCATTGATTGGTCAAACATGGCGAGGAGTTCCAAGGCTCGCTTGATAGGGGGGAAGGCGTTGGAGGCAATGTCGCCGTTGCTGACCGGCCCAATCTTGAGTGCTTCCGGCGGAACAACGGCTCTAGATATTGACTTGACGATCTCGGCTTCAAAGAAGGCGTCGGTGAAGGTCCAGAGGTGCTCGGCGAGCAGCCTCGCGGCCAGCTCCCGGCAACGTCCCACAAACGGCGTTTCGTCCTCGTCGTACTCGGGAAGCAGGTATTCGTTGGTAATCCATCCCACGAGGTTGCAGACCGTTCGGAGATCGCTGGACTGAAGAACCGACTGCAGGTTTGTGGAGATGGGCGCGATATTCGCCCCGGTTAGCACAGTCCGTTGTGCCTTGAGAACCGCGAATGCGGACTGCGGGTCTGTCGAGTAATGGGCGTCAATCGAAAAGATGCTCCGAAATAGTAAGGCTTCGGCGTCAGAGCGCTCAAAACACTGTTTCACAAAGTTCCTGGATGCTGTATCTATTGATTCTTTCGCTTCGGCCCGGAAGACGTCAAGGTCATGCTGGATGATAGGCTTCAGATCCCGCTCCCTGGCAGCCCAGTACGAGTGAAACAAGTTGTTTGCAGTATTAGCATAGATGTCAGCGCTGAGCCCCGGGGATGGCTGGCCGTCCTGTCCGTAGGCGCTCTGAACCACGGCTTGGACGTTTGGGACCAACGAGTACGACTCAAGCACCATCTCCTCGAAACGGCCGTACGCAAGGGCGTGGCGGGCGGACTCGGACTGGGTTGCCGCGACCTGCTTAGATATCTCGGCAGATACCTTGTTTAGGTGATTAACAAAGGCCACCTCGAGCAAGTGCAGTGCTTTTGTGAGCAGCGCTTGGTACCGCGCGAGGTAAGACTCGGCGTCCCGGTAGGAATGCTATACCACGTCAGTCCGGAACTCGATCACATCGGCGCGGTGACTGACGTTCTTGGTCATGAACTCTACGCATGAGTCCAGGGTCGCCAGGATTTCGGCGAAGCTTCCTCCCTCGACTAGACGTCCTGCCCCAGGCGCGTTGAGGCGGCGGGTGGCCGAGTCAATGTACGTGTAGTATTGAAGGTCTGTACCGACATCCTCGGCTAGCGCTTCAAGGCGATTCTTCTCTGTTAGGAGGCCGTCGCATTGGGCCTGGAAGGAGCTTGTCTGGTCGTCGACAGCGCGGAACGACTGGCAGAGTGATTCGAGGACTTTGAGTGCCGTGTCTGCGTCAGCGATCAGGGTGCCTAGGTGGCGCTCGGTCATGGCGAGTTCGTCGTAGTATAACCTTGAGTCCCGTCAGCAAGGGCAGAAGGCGGGAGTTAGGATTATCTGGATGGCCACGAACAGGTATTCCTGCTGGCTTGCCCGCAGCAGCTCCTTTCCCAGGGCATCGTCGTACCCCTCCTCTTCCTCTGGTAACCTCGCCGTCACAGATTCCGGAACGGCCAATGCCTCCCAGCTTTGGCCGTCCCGCCTCCTCTTCCTCTTCTTCCTGGGCGCATGGCTGGATAGCTGAGCCTTTACGATATCGTAGAAATCCGAGTAGGATTTGGCTCTCCGGGACAGAGTCGGTTCTGGAGGTGAATTGGCATCTTCTTGGTCTTCGAAAAGGGCGGGAAGGGGTTCTGCGGCATCGGTGTCGCCTATAGTGTCCTGTTTGGTGTAGACATTATGTTAGCTCCAAGTCGGCCACGCAGCGCATATTGGGGAAGTCAAGTCGACGCACATTTGGGCGCTGCAATAACGATTGCTTGCGCCGATGGCCGCTAGTTTGGGTCCCTGAAGCTGGTTGACGTTGTTGAAATTCTGGTACAAAGCTGTACCAAGAATCTTCGTACATTATCAGGTCGTTTGGCGTGCTAGATACAGCGCTCCTAAACTGCGCCAGCAATGGGAAAGTATGGAGCGAGATCCGGCCACTGCACCTCAGGAAGGGACGGAGCTTGGCTCTCTGTGCTGAGTGGTGGGCACGGTGGGGTCTAAATCCGGGGATGATGCACGGGCCACAGCAAGAGCAGATGCTTCCCATGGAACCCCGAACTACGAAAAGCTCACAGGAGCTTGAGCTATAAGAGAGTGGTTTTGGTCCATCCCCGCATTCGCTCAACTCTTTCTAAGCCTTCGGGGGAAAAACTCAATAGCAGACCAGACAATGACAAGAGCATAAATAAGCATCCGCAGATGCACATGATGGCTTCCTCTCTGCGATCCCGGGCTGCGGCTGCTTTCCGGCGCTCATCATCACTCCGCACCACCACTGCGAGCCCTTCACAATGGATCCGCCACTCCAGCTCATCCGGGCCAACACGGCGTTCTAGTGCTCGCACCTTTGGCCTATTGACCACCGTGTTCGTCGCTGGTGCGGGTGCGCTCTGGGCGCACCCGTATCTCATCGGCCAGCCTGAGCCAGCGGGCCCCAAGCACCTGGAGCAGGCCGAGATCGTCTACGAGAAGCCTCGGAAGAAGGCTGCGTCCAAGGAGGAGAGCCGCGATATCGTGAGCTCGCCACATGTTCAAGTCAAGAGGAGCTGGGAGCATCCAGGCGTTTACGCTTGGGGGTCGAATACCGGGAAGGTGGTTGCGCCTGATTCAAACGAGACCGTCATCAAAACACCACGGCGAATCCCCTATTTTGACGGTCAAATCCTCCGTGATCTCAAGCTGGATCGCGACTTCGGGGTTGCCGTCACCGAAAAGGGTGATTTATTGCAATGGGGTACCGGCTTCTCCAAAGATATTGTTGCGCCGACCCCCACCTTGACGGGCAAGGACATCGCCAAGGTCGCCATCTCGCAAGACCGCATTATTGCCCTTTCGTCTCATGGATCCGTTTATTCCATCCCCGTCGCAAAGTCCGACCAGGTAACGGGAGAGAAACAAGTCAGCAAGTCATCATGGCTCCCGTTTTGGTCCTCGGAAACAGCTACCAGTTACCGTCCGCTCAATCCCCCAAATCTAGGCTGGCGGGAAAAGGTTGTTGACATCAAGAGCGGGCTACATCATTGTCTGTTGTTGACTTCGAAGGGCCGTGTCTTCTCAGCGGCTTCGAGTTCTGAGGAGTTCCCTTCCAAGGGGCAGCTCGGTGTGCCCGGCTTGACATGGCAAACACGGCCACCAGGCCCGTATGACCAGCCGCACGAGGTGAAGTCCCTGGGCGGTTTTAACATTAAATCCATTGCCGCCGGCGCCTTCCACTCGCTGGCCCTTGACGACAAGGGAATGGTGTTTTCATTTGGAGACAACACCACCGGCCAGCTTGGTCGCGAGACGCCGGTCGGGGCTGCAGTCGACACACCGTCGGCCCTCCCCATCAACAAACTCTACAGCGGGACCAACCTGCTGCCCAAGGTCACCGGCATCGCTGCGGGCGGACAGAACAGCTACTTTACGGTAGACGCCACGAAAACCCAGAGCCAAACCCCGAGCGAAGCAGGCCGGACGGTCGCCGACACCTGGGCCTGCGGCGCAGGCATCCACGGCGGCCTCGGCACCGGAAAGTGGACGCACATCTCGACGACGCCCACCAAGATCAAGTCGCTCTCCAGCCTCTACGAGTTCGACGAGACAACCAACCACGTCACGCCAATCCGGCTAGCGCAGCTAGCCGTCGGCAGCACGCACGCGTGCGCCATCCTCGACAACCTGACGCGGCTGACGGCGCCGCGCAGCTCCGGGTCCGGGTCCGAGACCGACACCAACTTCGGCGCCGACGTGCTCTGGTGGGGCGGCAACGAGCACTACCAGCTGGGGACGGGCAAGCGTAACAACGCCAACGTGCCCGTCTACATCGGTCCGCTCGACGGCGGCGGTCACGCTGATGCGCAGCTCGGCAGGCCTACGACGGGCGAGGAGCAGCACCGCTTCCAGATCACGCCGCGCACCAAGGTGCGGCTGGGCCCGGACGGCAAGGGCAAGTCGGCCAGCGTGGAGCAGAAGGTGGAGTGCGGCAGGTTTGTCACGGCCGTTTACTCGGCGGCTTGATCGATCGGACCGGGGTGCGATGGAAAATTTTGGATTGGATTCGGGGATGGCGGACGGGATGGCGCATGACACTGTTCGACTGTAACATATTGTACGACTCTTCTTTGTTGGCCTGTATTCATCATCTTTGTACAATATCAAGGGAAGGATGCGGACATGCCACTCCGTGTTTTCCGTTTGTGGCTCCCATGATCCATCGGCTCAAAATGCCGGAAATGAGCTGCCTTGTTTGGACCCGACGACCTGGTTCACTGCCCTTGTCGCTTAACTATCGGCTTGGCTTGGCTCGGGCGGCCCTGACTGAGATCCAACCAACTGGGTGAGGTTGTTTTAGGATTTTGACGGCGCCACATGCATGCGTTTGCATGGGGAGTGTGGAGGCCGCTTACACTCATCGTACGGTTGACGAAAGTCCTCGAGTATATGGTGGCTAGCTTGCTTTGATCGTTTTAACGATAAGCATGTTCAGTTTCGAACGCGTGTGTTTCATGAGCAGAGAGTCGTAGGGAGCGTGATGACGCTGTCTGTGTGGTTCGCGGCGTTTTTCTGGGGCGGTGCATTCATGGATGGAGAACATCAATGCTTTCTATCATAGTGTGGTCGGACAATCGAGGTTGGTATATACTGGATCGTCGAGTTTCCAGTCCCTGCAGGGAAAGAAGTTGTTACGGGGGTCGTGAAAGTCCCGATGAAATTGTCCAAGGGCAGGATATAGCCCAGGGAGGCGGCGCTATTGGCCGGGTCCATGGTGTTGAAGATGGCATGCTATAGTTAGTTTAAAAGCTGCAAGGTTCCCTTTCGCTGGGCGACGATATCTCAACATAACAAGAAATTGGTCAAGATAGATAACTACCAGCTGGCTTGCATCCTTGAAGGCAGTCCTAAAGCCTTGAAGGGTCTCGCAAACGCTCTGCCTACCTACCTTCCCAAGGTAGATACCGAGGCCGTCCGAGACCGTCCTTGATCGTTAGATGACCGGGAGGCGTTCGGGGTCTTGTCGGGGTATTGAGGACTCGACGAACAATGGCCCAGCTGGGCGGGTCTAAAGGCTGAGTCGTCTCCATATTCTGTAGGCCCCTGCAACAATGGCCCATTCTGGCGGGTGCGCCGTCCCGACGGGAGGCCTTGGAAGTCCTTTGTGGCCGTCTCACATGGACCTTCCAACCTGTCAACCCTTGCGCAGCTGGTCCCCGGTCCATTGATGGATGACCACCCGCAGCGCCCCTGCCACAAGACCCTCGGGCAAGCCTTGAACCTTGAACTCTTTTTGGCCTCGAACTCCTTTTGGCCTCGATTCCGAACGAAAAAAAAACCCCTTTGAAAACCCGCCCCAAATCCCCGATTAAGCGAACGCAACTCTTCCTCCGACTCGACTCTGCCGATCCGATCATACAATAAGATCGACGCTCCGCATTTCCGTGCATCTGCATCCCACACGTGCCCCTCAACCATTCTCCCGGCTTTCGGCTGGCCTTCAGATCGGCATCCGTTGTTTGGCGCTCTCTGGTGACGCATAATGCACACATACCTAATGTAACTACCGAGTTGCATACTTAAGTTGCCCCTTGACGCTCCATAGTACCTACTCGAACGCTCCAAGAAAGCTGCATCCCCCGATCCAACGCGCGCTTACCACCGTTCTCTTACGACGGCAACTCCTGTCCCCGCAACCGATAACCGATTACGTCTACATAGCTACAACATCGTATCGCATCCGAGATCGCGGCATGGCACATCTTCCCCGGTTCCACCGGCGCAAAAAGGATGGCGCCGCACCAACAGTGATGACTAACGATCTCCCTGGCAAGACGACGCCTCCGCCAGGCGATCTACCGCCTGGATCACCGAAGCGCTCATTTCAGAAGCTCAGTCCTTTTCGGGTGTTCCAGCGTTCGTCGGCCAAGCGAGCGCGGGACTCGCCGCCGGCCTCGCTTCCGCACTCCCCGGCCGAGGCGCCACTACCCGCCGGGGATTATGCCGATGGGCGCCCGGTCTCGCCCATGTCGTTGAAGACGAATCCCGCTAGCGACGCAGGGGCAGAAGCCGATCAACTCGCCAAAAATGCCGGCATGTCCCTAGACCTGAGCCGGCGAAGGTGGGCTCTTTCCGACACCATCCCCATGTGCTATCACTCGGCTAACACCATGCTACCCAGAAATCGAAAACAAATTCTCCGAACTCGTCTGGCGTGAGCGTAACAGGCTGATGCAGTCGGTCACCAACCCGTCGCCGAACTTCCGATGGGCTCGTATGGCGGGGCCCCACCTGAAGATCCTCGATAGGTACCTCAACATCCAGCCATGGCAGAACAATCGGGTCAAGTTGCAGGTTCCCGAGGGACACTTGGACTACATCAATGCATCGCCCATCGTCCTAAACCCGTCTCCATACCTCACGTCCGGCAGCTGCACCAGCGCGGACAGAGAGCCGGGCCGATACATCGCCATGCAGGGGCCGAAGCAGACATCCACAGACCACACCTGGCGGATGGTGGTGGAACAGCTCGAGAGCCCCGGTGTAATCGTTATGCTGACGGAAACGCATGATGGCATGCTAGAAAAGTGTTTCCCTTACTTCCCGCGCAGCCGAGACGACCCCCCGATCGAGGTCAACGAGCACGACGAGTTCGGCGACGGTTTCCGGGCGACAGTCCGGTGCGAGGGCATGGAAGAAACCCCAGCCGGCGATGCGATCGAGCTACGGAAACTCGTCATCCGCGTCTACTCGCAGCCGCAGCAGCAAGACGCCGTGGCCTCAACAGGAACGGAAGTCCCCACCGAGGACGCCGACGCCGACACCAAGATGGGATCCCCCTCCGACGCCGCCGCGCCCTCCCCTCCCCCAGAAGACGAAAAGGATAACGAACCCGGAACCGAAGACCGCTCACCACTCCCACCCCAAGACCCAACAACACCTCCCTACTACGAAAAGATAGTCTACCACTTCCTGTACAAGAAATGGCCCGACTTCGGCGTGCCGTCCCTCGCGGATCTGGACTCCTTCTTCACGTTGATGCGCCTCTCGCGCGAGCTCAACCACTCCCCCGCTAGCCCGCGCATCGTCCACTGCAGCGCCGGCGTCGGCCGCTCCGGCACCTTTGTCGCCCTCGAGCACCTCATGCGCGAACTCGACGCCGGCGTCCTCGAGCACTATGACGAGCGTGCCGCTGAGGCTGCCGCCGTGCCCCTCGCGCCGTCGTTTGAGGGTGGTGGTGGGGGTGGTGGTGGTGACTCGCCCGGGTCTGGGTCTGGGTCTGGGTCTAGGAGTGGGTCTGGGCCTGGGAGTGCAAGTGGGAGTGGGAGTGCCAGTGGGGATCGGAGCAGCCAGAGCCGGAGCCGGAGTCGCAGCGGGAGTAGCTCGAATAGCCCCGTGCTGAGGCTGCAGGGGGAAGGAGAGGACCTCATTTTTGAAAGCGAGTCAACCAGCTGCGCGAACAGCGCCGTACCATGGTGCAGGCCGAGTCCCAGTATCTGTTCCTTTACCAAGTTCTGCGCCAGCTGTGGTTGGAGAAGTATGCGCCGGAAATGGAAGAGGGTGAGGGTGCGGAGGAGGGTGGTCGGCGTGAGGATGGAGAGCCGGCCGCGAAGAGGTTGGAGGTTGATCCCTTTGTGGATTAAGATTGGGGTTGGGGTTTCTATGGGTCGGCTGGGCCGCCATATTCTTTCGTTTTTTCTTGTTCCATTGCTTTTTCGGGCTTCTCTGCAGGGACGGGGGTATTAATATATAGAGTTGCGTGGCGAGGATGGCATTCATTGATTGAAGTCGCCGTGGTTTTTTTTTTTTTTTTTTTTTTTTTTTTTTTTTTTTGTTGGCATCGCTGGAGCGGAAAGTGGTTGGCGGGTGCATACAGGTCTAGGGGCATAGATAGACTTTATTTGGGGTGGCATTCCTTTCTTTCTCGTCTTTACCGGGAGGTTTATCATAGCATACAGCATCGGCGGCGCATCAACTCGCTGCGGCGGGAGGACGGGGTTGGAGTCTATAGCGGCGGCAATACATTGGAAGGTGATTGCTATCTCTGCTGCGTTTTTAACAAGACTAGATGTTCTTGTCCTTGTCTCTCTCCGAGGGCCGAGGCTTTGTCTCTAAACACACACGGCCAGTTGCGTCTATCATCTGATGGTGGATCGTGAAAGACCACGCTAATCTATACCGTCTTCCTTACCTACCTACCTAGGTACGTATAGCAACTGTTCCCTTGCCTTCCGGCATCATCCGGTGGCTCGGTCGTCAGCTGTTATTCTCTTCGGTGCTGCCTCGGTTGTTTTTGCGTGCTTCGCTTCAACACAGCAGCTGACAAGCAGGGCTCCCAGTCTCTGTCGTCAACCTGCAGCTAGGCAGTAAGATGGACAAGTTTTGCGCCGAACAATCTCCGTTTCCGGGCTTTGAGGTTTCGTCCCTTCAATGATAACCTTCCCTTTCCGTCCAAAGCAGGGCGAACCAAACCGGGGCGGGCAGCTTTTCTTGGCAGGAGGAACTTTTGCTTGAGATCCCCTCTCCATCCCGTCCCGGGAAAGCTTGACAGGCGCGACATGGGAATGGTGGCATCGCACGTGGGAAGATCTTTTGTCGGACCAACAAGGCGCCACGCGGGAATGCGGACCCTCAGACCCAGTGGCTTGCAGCAACACCCATGCCATCACAGTTGCACGGAAGGAAGATCATCCAACGGTAGCAGGGCGGTCGGGTCGATGATCCGCCTTGTCGTGCGGGCGTACAATGGATACCTGCTGCTCGTTGGGGTCCTTGCGATGGTTCTGCGTCTCCGTTATGGCCGTCGCACAGTCTGGGTTAGTTAGCCCAAGTCGATTTCACAGGGCCGTGCGTCGCGCGGAAGCGGGCTGGAGAGGACCTCGGGCGAGCCCATCTCCGGGTTCCGAGGCAGAATGGTGGACAAAGCGACGGGTAATTGACAGGTGGCCGTCCAGGGAAACACAGAGCCCATGGTTCGGTCGGGTGTCTGTGCTGTGAACGAACGAGCCGGTCGCACCGTTTGTCTCTCCCAGATATCAGGGTAATATACCCAGTTACGCAATAACATTGATAATTATAGCGCAAGACGGTCGCACAAGAACGTTGGGCACGGCTCGTGCACATCCATCCGTGCCACCTCGCGACCCCAGATTTTCCCTGGGTAAAATCGACCATCCTTTCTTTTTGTCCGGTAAAGAACACGACACACTCGAACCCCTCCCCCCCCCCCCAATCAGGTCTGTTCTTGGGATCGGAAAACTGCATTCTCAACACCAGCACCCGCCGATACCGGCATGACCCCCATGCCTCACACGTTCGTTGCAGAAGAGAAGTGCTTGGCCTGCGGAAAGAGGGCCATGTAACGGTGGAACGGGCCGGGAAAACAAGACGAGACGAGACGAGATGAAGCGAGGAAAAAAAGCTAGAGGAGGAAACACGACACATGGTACTGCGTCTGCGCTGCTGCTGCTGCTGCACTACCGACGGGAAGACGGCAAAGTGGGGGACGTGCGGCCGGTAGTGGGCAGAAAGGGTATCGGGCCGTCGCCGGCTAAAATTGTTGTTTCGGCGAGTTTGGGGGTTCGGCTCGCTTGTGCAGAGATGCCACCGTTTGACATTGGGGTCGTAGTACTAGGTGGTTAGCCTTTCAAAGTGTCTCGCCGGCTGTCTCGACGATGTAACGTGTAACGGTGCGGAAGTGGGCCAGTCGCCCAAGACTTAATATCCTCGAGACAAGGAGACAAGACAGTGCTCTTTGGATGGAGAAAGGCAGAGATTTTGTCACCTTTGGTCGGTCCGGGGACGATTGACCGACGGAGAGTCCGGTAAAGTGGGTAGAACGAGGCAATTTCGAGGATTGGTCTGGGGTTTCGAGAATTTGGAACAGGGGCTTCGAATGAGGTGAGATGGGGCGCCAGCGGGGCCGCTCACTGTGAGAAACTGGCATGTGGTTGGGCAATTAGAGGAAACTGCAGTTAATAAGACATATTCACAGTAGCCAGGAAGTGTAACTAGGTCGTTGCAATTACTGCCAATGTGTCTGTCCCAAGGGTGCGAGTTGACGGCGTTCCCTGGCTCCTAATGCCATCTGCGTTCGCCGCGAGCAACAACTCGATAAAGTCCATAACCGGCATTCCATTCGCAAAACCCTCTTTTACTTCGTACTTGTGTCCAATGCTGGTTTGGCTCGGTCATGGCCGGAATTAGTAAAAGAAGTTCGGTGAAGGGCGGAGGCGGATCCATGACAATCCATTGGTGCCCGATTCGTTGCCGGCATCGTGAAGCCCGCCAAGACCACTCCAAAGATGGTCTCCAGCTTGGCGGGACGAACGATGCAAGTGGGGCTGAGACGTTGATTTCCACGTGGGGACCCGGCGTTCATAGCGCGGCTTTTTGGACAGGGCAACGGGCAAAGTGCAAGCTAACAGCGGGCTAAGAGGAGAGAACAGGAGATGAAAGGTCTCACTTGCTGCGGATTTCCATGTCCCGAGCTCGCGTCGGTTCCGAGTTACGACGACTGCGCGAAGATGCGTGACGGTCGCGAGACTAATCATGCCGGGTCCTGCATTGGCCGCGAATCACACACCTATCCGTTAGTTAAAGTAATCAGATGCGACGGGATGCGCGGCTGCAAGGAGATGATTGTGCACCAAAGGTGACGTGACGTGAGCTGCATTGAGAGGGACGGCGCGGGGTGCATCCGGCTGAGGGGCTGGCCAAATGCGGAGTTAAACGCATCCTCGAAGCTTTTCCTCTCGGCCCGCTAGCCAGGTCGCTTCGAGGTCGCCAATTTGCCAATGCATCTTAGTCTGAAAGGCGAGAACTTGAACCGCATCGACAAACCACATCCCGGCTACCTTGGGCAATAACTTTCCTTACCGTAGAGTGTACTCGGCCATCAGCAAGCTCCTACGTTTCATCCAATCGAGAAGCACCGAGCCTCTGGGTAAGATGGTGCGGAGAACAGCCCGGCGCAGTTAGACTGAACAGGGAGCGACGACGGGGTGAACAAATGGCCCGATTCCTTCACGGACAGTCCTGCTCCCAAACGGCAGCTCCCAAGGGTTGCAGTTCCGTCTCAAAACCCCTTGCCCCACTGCAACGCCGGGTTGCTGTCCCCAAGTTGCGCAACGGCCGGATGGGCCGGGGTGGCCAGATTAGGCAAAGCACTTAACTACGAGTTAGCGTTGGAACCCACAGCAGTGCTTCTGGTTCTTCTGGAAGGATTCTTAAAAAGGGCCCGATCAGCCCTGCATCTTTCGCCTCGCTTCTCGAGATCTGGTCCTTCGGTCTATCTGGCTGTCCACCAGCACGGCTTCCCTCCGACCTGTTGCTGCAATTCACTAATTCTTCGCAACCTGAACCAGTACGGCAGTGCCCACACCCCCTTCACAATCAGAGAAATTTCCGTCTTTTCCCGGCGACTTCAGCACATTGCGCATTGCGTCGCGTGCCGGCCACAAAACGCGGGGTCTTTTCGTCGGCTAGCCCAGACGCTCCAGTATTGCCATGGCTTGCGACAACTCGTTCCGAGGTTGACGAACCCTCGCCCGAATCCTGGCCCGAATCCCGACATCTCCCTGCGGCTCTTTAGCGCGCCTCTTCCATCTGCTGGGCAAACAAAAACCACCGACGAGTCCGGCGTCTCAGATTCTTTCTGCCTGGCCATCATCGACTTGGGCGCGCAGCAACGGAGCGACCCCGGCACCCCCTGATGCATCTGCAGCGCCGGATCCCGTTCCATTTTTGCCTTCGGGACGGCCGAGGCACGACGACGACGACTATTGTTTGCTGCTTCAACCGAGCAGTTCCCTCATCTCGGTCTTGCCGTGTGCTCAATACTTGTAGAGCACGCACATGCCACCAAACGCCCTTGCGGCTTCCCCCATTCCGGTCCGAGCATTCGCAAACCGAACGACACCCCTTGTTTGCACCCATCGCTCTTGATACTCGGCACAGTCAGCTGTTTGCCTTGTTCAATTTCCAACCATTGACGGTCGCCAATTGTGGGAGGACAATGACGAGTCGATAAGAGAAGACAACCGATCATGACGTCGATTGTGAGTTGCCCCTCCTCCTTCTGGCCCTCCAACCCTCTCCCACTCCTTCCAAACACGGGAACAGGCGACAGCCAAGGGCAACCAAAGGGAAGCCGCAATCAACTTATTTGCCCTTGTCGCACTTTCCCAATGTAACCCAATCTCTCACCGCCTCCTCGCTTTTCTTTGCTTGTTTCCGGGCAAGTGCTCTCTGGATGGGCGGCAAGGCTGCCTGTTGTGCACCCCCACGCTGGCGCAGCTGAGGACCGGCATTGCCCAACGGCCCTGTCATCTGGGCTCCGACACTCCCACGTGCCGTTGTCCCGGCACACTGGACAACCCCGGCCAGACCTTGCTGGCATGCACTGGCATTCATTCCATCTGAGACGCGACTTCGCCCCTTCTTCCCGTTCTTCCCGGGCCTTTCTTTCGTCTCGTTTGTGAAGACATTTTTTCTTCCGCTTTCCTCACAAACAAATTACCTACATACCTTACCTACCCAACACCGACCCCTCTTCGGCCAGGCATACATATATAACAGACGAAACACTGCCGACCAATATGCTAATTTGCCCTTTTCAGCTTTGTTTGGCTCACTACTGTGACCTTCACGGGCCGACGCCCTTGATGGTCACCGAGGGCCTTCCTGTTCCCTGCAGTACCTGCTGTGACGAGGGGTTGCTCGGTAATGGGCCCACGACGTTCGAGAAGCCTCGCCCAAGAGCACCAACTTCGGGCGCATCTACACACGCCGCCAACATCACCGAAGCCCTCCGGCGCATCAACTTGAACGAGCCGCACAGAAGCTCATCTGTTCCCGCTACGGAACATGAGGCCCAAGTCCACCGCGCCTCCCTACGGCAAGCTGCCCAGTCAGCCGCTGCCACGACGACTGGCTCTGCCATCGAAACACCACCACAAAGTCCGCGTCTTGCGTCAGGCTCCGCCGCTCAGCAGCAGAAGCCACGCCAGGACTCGGGCTTCCGCAGGACCTACGACGAATACGTGACACGGCGCGCGGGGCCATGCGACAATTGCGCCCTGACCCTTCCGAAGCGGCAGGAAGGTAGCAAGGATGCGGGCACGGGATCGCGATCCGATCGTAGCCCTACGTTGAGGACACGCGCGCCTTATGCACGAGTGTTTACGGCGCTCGACAACAGTATTTCGCCTTCAACCTCCCAATCCTCGTCATCCGTTGCCTTCCGAGGATGAGTCCCACAATCACCCACGCCCATCCCATCGCCGAACAGGCACCGCCCTCTCGAGTAACATCTCGTTCTAGCGCCAGTTCCACCAGCGCCAACGCTAATTCGCACATGCACTTTCTCGACTACACATCAACCCCATGAACCTCTGGCGCCGGCGTCCTTCTCCCTTGTTCGTGCCTCCTGCTTGCGCACACTATCATTGGAGACCCTCCCCCGCGCTCCGGCCACAAGCCCTTCGGCGGGATCCGCCATGCCCACCCCGAATCCTTCGCCAAACAGCCCTGCCTATGTCACGACACATAGCATAGGCTCTGCCGCCTCGGGCGGCTCAATATTCTTTGGCGACAAAAAGGTTGGCTACACGACCGCCTACATCTTCCGTGTTCCGGACGTCCACGCCCGCGGCCACAAACGGGTCTACGCCTTCCTGGCGCTTAGCACCCACCCAGAGCCCACTGCTGTCAAGACCTTTACCTTTCTTTCCACGGCCTTCCGCGATCTGGCTTCCTGGATACAGGAGCTAGCTGAAGCTGAAGCCGAGCGCGCTCTCGCCGAGTCCAGCACTTCGTCAGGAAGCAGCCCAATCGTTTCCGGCCCTGGCTACGGCAGCTTTCAGTCTGAGCCAACCGCCCCACCTGTATCAGGGGGTAGTAGTAGCTTTCTGATGGGCGGCGCTGGCGGCCTGTCGCGGCGGATGGGCAGCGGCTTTGCAGGCTCCGGCGTTGCCCTCAAGCAGCGTGGGCTGGCGGAGTTGGTCGGTCTTACCGGACTTCTTTCTTGAGCTACATGCCAAGTTGGTCAGACTGCTGTTGGAAATCGGGGTCATGGTTGGGTCATAATATCGTCGTCGGCACACCCCCAACACCGCCCTCCAACACCGCCCCAACCTCTGCAGAGGTAAAACCAAACCCAAAGCATCAACTTCACACCGTTACGGCTACGCCGTCACCAAATCACCACTGGGCGGCGCGGTCCGCAGCTGGATCAATAAACGAGGGGTGACGGGTAATGAATTTATGATAATCTCATTTCACACCAATGCGGCAGCTGTTCTATGAATTACAACCGAACAAACAAACGACAACAAACCACACCTACCACAACAACCACTCGCTCGTTCCCAAAACCCCCCCTCTTCGAGAAAGGGGGGTGCGCGAGCTTCAACACATGTCATTGGATCTAGACGGAGGGACTGAAACGGGGAATAATAGACGGGTTGGATGGAGTGGGGGCTGGGAAATAGGATACATAACACAGGTCAGGTTATCAAAGGGAAGGAAAATGGGTTTCTAGGATGGGATTGCGTTGATTGCATTGGCACGGAGGATATACCCGGTTTTCTTGTTGGAAATCTAGTGGGAATGACCTGAGAATGTAAGGGAAGGCGAGGGAACGGGCGAGTTCGAGCCAGGCTGGGCAGGGAACACCTGCAGGCCTGAGCGGGCTACTCGCTTTTGTGTTTGGATTATCTTATTCAGCATATGTGGTCGTGTTTTCGTACTGATTGATACCCGGAGGGGAGGGGTCGGGGTTGGGAAAGCGGGTTTGGGGGGGGTGATGATTTCTGTTAGACCTGGCTGAAAGCGAGCGGGTGAGCTTCGTTTGGTTTTGTACTACTATCACTTCCGGTGCGGTCGGCAGCACATGATGCGAGACCTGCCGAGGATCTGTCTGGGATCTGGGGGACAACCGTTGCTTGTAGGATACATAGATGGGGAGGGTTGTTGGATGGAAGCGGGACTCGAGAGCTGGCATCTTGAATACACGAGTTTGGACAATCAACTATTCCCCCGAACAACATGGCATCTTATGTCGTTAATTTGCGAGCAGAACTGAGTAGACGGCAACCACGTCCGTTCTATGGTAGCTACCGTACCGTGGTTATCGTACATCTATCTCATCGCAGTCCGTCCCACGGCTTTTGTCTTCGCCGAGTCCACCCCCCCCCTCCGCCCCTCCCAAAACGCATCCAACCACCCTAGCCGCTCTGTCAATCGTTTATTTGTAGAAATCAAACTTGTTCTCGTCGCTCGACCCCTTGACCTGGCTGCTGTAGGCGTCCTCCAGATCGACCTGGATGATGTTATATCTGTTCTTGCGCACGGCGCGCAGGCCAGCCTCCTGCATGATGGCGGCGATGACGGCGCCGCTGAGGGGGTCGTTGCGGACGATGAGGCTGTCGAGGTCGACCTCGGGGGCGAGGCTCATCTTGCTGGCGATGGTGGTGAAGATGAGGCGGCGCTCGCGGCGGTCGCGCAGGCTGGGGAACTCGATCTTACGGTCGAGGCGGCCGGGCCGGAGCAGTGCCGGGTCGAGCGTGTCGGCCCGGTTGGTCGCCATGATGACCTTGACGTTGGCCGTCTGGTCGAAGCCGTCCATCTGGTTGAGCAGCTCGAGTAGGATACGCTGCACCTCGCGATCGGCGCCCGTCTGTGCGTCGAAACGCTTGGTCGCGATGGCGTCGATCTCGTCGATGAAGATGATGGCGGGCGCGTTCTCGCGCGCCATCCTAAACACGTCGCGCACCATCCGCGGGCCCTCGCCAAGGTACTTTTGTACGAACTCGGACCCGACCACCCGGATGAAGTTGGCCGTCGTCGAGTTGGCTACCGCCTTCACCAGCATGGTCTTGCCGGTTCCCGGTGGGCCGTACAGTAGCACACCGCGGGGTGGGTCGATACCGATCTGCTTGTACAGGTCGAAGTGTGTCAGGGGAAGCTCGACGGCTTCGCGGATTTCCTGTTTCTGCATGTCCAGCCCACCGACGTCGGCGTACGTCACGTCGGGCTTCTCGTCGGCCCCGAGCATGGCGATCGAGGAGTCCGCCTCGGGCGGGAGGATATCGACAAGGGCATTGGAGTGGCGGTGCAGGGCGACTGAGGAGGAGGGCTTGAGCAGCTCGCGGTCCAGCGTCGACAGGATACGGACGACGTAGTTGGATCCAGTGCTAGACTGAACGATGCCGGTACTGGGGTGCGAATGTTAGCTAATCCAGACTCGGTAGGAGGGGCACCACATAATGGCGGGGAACCTACTTCTGGTCAATGGCCTCCATAAACTGGCCGATGACAAGCGGTACACTCTGGATGCGCTTGATCTCCTCCTGTGCCCGGACCAGCTCCCGCTTCAAGCTCCTCTGCTCATCCTTGATGTATTCTTCCTGCAACTGGATATACTCGAGCTGTCGCTGCAGCCGCTTCAGGTTCGCATACTCATCGCCGCCTTCTGTTGATACGCCCTCAAAGTTCTCGATACTGGGGATAGTGGAGGGGGTATGCTTCTTGAGGGGCTGGATGCTGTTGGCGGCGTTCTCGACCAGGACGTCGCCCATTTTGACGGCTTGCCTCTTTGCTGTTGGGCCTGGGATTTATAGGGCGGGGTGCGGATTACCGATGGACTGGGATCGACGCAAAGTTATCGGGGTCAAAGCGCGGGATACTGTGGACAGACGGGTCCTGCAATCGCAGATTCGATGGTTGGGGTTGGAAGTTGCTTCGGTGCTGTTCTGTCGTTGCTTTGCCTTGTGGCTCGTGTAGCCCATCAGCGTTCTTGGCGGTCTACAGTGGGCTCGTCATCCGCCGCAGCCTGAGGCTGACCCACTTCAGTTGGCTCGTGCTTCGGGGAGGTTGGAGGCTTTGCGATGGAAGTCATTGAGTGGTCCGTGCTTTTCTGCTTTGCACAAGGGATCCAAGCCCCCCACTTTCCTCAATAGGGACGAATACCTGAGGCAGCTCTGTGACCTTTGCGTTTTGACAGGGCATCGTCGGCATGCTGGGTTTCACGGCACCAGGATTCGAAGACTTGGACAGATACAGCCGTTACTCAATTACCTACATGGATGGTTACCTTGGGGTATCTGGTGTCATGCTCTTCTCGATGTGCAGATCGCGTGCTCTTGCGAACTCGGAGTCATGTTGAGCATCAGTACCCGACCCGACAACGCAGAGAGGGCCCCCACATCGCGACCTCACTGGGTACCGACCTTGATGGCCAAGCACCCGAAGGCCCATCCGATTTTCCCTCCCGTGTTCCGGTCTCAATCGGGGCATCACGGCACTTGCACTGCGATTCGGGGGATGTGCCGTGCGAGAGTCGTGCTCCATCTCCGCTGTGATGAATCGGAAGATGCCACTCGAACCACTGTGAAGTGCAATCCGCTGTCATGACGGCCACGCAGCCAAGTAACCCCACCAGCACCATGGTTAACTTGTTGCAGTGTTGCAGCTGGTTGGGGGTCTCGGACAAAGCCGCGGGGCGGGTGCCATGTGGTGAGTGACTCCCGTCTGCTGCAACAGTTGGTTGGTCCAACGGCTGGGTGCCTTGTCGCTCCCTCACCACGACCCCCAGTCCGTCTTAGTCACTCGCTCGAGATGGTGCCGGCCGGGGGGTTCCTGCCTCCCTCTCCACCTTGCCTATCAGTCATTCAAGCCCGGGCCTTTCTCCATCTATCCCTCCTTCCTTTTCGTCCACGCTTCTTCCCCAGATTGTCGTCGCTCGCGACTAAGTTGTCTCACTCCCCACCTCCTTGTTTTGTCTAACGGTACCGTTTGTACTCGTCCTCGATCTTGAATTTCTGCCGATTTGAATTCATGGTCTCTACCTCCCCTGCCGCTCTGCACGTCCCGCCGGCAGCAGGAGCAGCAGTCCCGACGCACGCCCTCGCCCACCGCCACTCAACATCTTGAAGCCTTTTTGGCACACCCAACTACCTGCTTCGCCAGCAAACATCATCAATGGATAACACGCCTACATCCATCAATATCCCCGAGCAGCGCCATCGGCCAGTCAAGGCCGAGGCCGGGTCCTCGCCGTCGTCGTATTCGAGCTCCCCGAGTTCACCAGAGCCGTCTCCAAAGACGCCGTCTCGGGCGTCGCATAACCAGAAGCCGCTGCATTCCAGACGCCCGAGCTTGCTGAGTTCGTGTGCCTCTTGTACTGTAGAGTATGTACCACAACTAACATTCGGTTGTCAGGCTCGGCCTTCACCCAGCAGGAATGTACGACCATCAAGATCGATGACAACCCCAAGGGGCCCATGCGACTGGTAAGTTTGACCTGGTAGCGGCATGACGCTGTGCTGCCTCCCGCCGGCCACAGAACCATCGCTCATATCTGTATCACCAGATCACCTACCTCTCTTCCGGTCAAGGCTTTGTCTGGAACCCTGAGATCTTCGTACCATCGTTCTGCGACTACGACTACGTGCCACTCGAGCAGCGCCGCGATCCGGTGCATGAAATTCACCTGAGCGACGAGGAGATCCGAAAGATGTTGCCTCAATAAACGAAGAGCATGAAACCAACAACGCGAGATGGGATGCGTTGATATAGGTGTACAACACGGCATCTACTACACGGGCAATTGTAAAAGCGGTTGGTATTGCGCGACCAATCCTGCCTTGGGTTACCCGGGACAGCGGAGGAGAGCTTGGTCCGAAGTGACCACATTCAAGGGGCCTGTCTTTTAGCATCATGGAGTGGGATTCCTTTTCGAGGTCCAATTTCAGGACCTCTAGTCGACAACACGGGAGTTTGAAACAGTTTGTGGGTAAGGGGGAAGGGGAAAGGGGAGTCGGTTCGTCATTTATATCCAAGGGGAGTTGTTGGTTTTGGGCATTCTCGTTTTGTCTGTTTGCGGTGCAGCCTACTGGCCGATAATCGGGAGCGGCAGCCTTGGCGATCATGTACGGTACTGCGGACACTTTGCTTTCCTACGTAGCTTATTGACACAAATTTCCGTCATGACTGCCGGGTCTAAATTTTGAGGTTGCGGCCAAAGATGCCGTCTGGTCCTTGATACACTACACAGCAAGAACGCACCTTGGGCAATATTAGCTCGACCGAGCACCGCTGCTTCGTCCATCTTCCCTTTTCCTTAATCTGTGTCAAAGCCCGCTGCCCTCCACATTCTTGTACCCAAGGCTCCTGGTCTCATACTTTGATGAAGGTGGAGGAAACGGCCGTTTGAATGTATGGAGCGCTTGTTCGTTGCGAGGTCGGGATTCGAAAGTGCAGGGCCGAGTTGAGAACAACCCGCGGCCATGCTGCGTCCGCGAGACAAGGCACATGGTCAAGCTCGTACGGTTGTTAACGCGACCTCTGAGGACTTACATGAGTATGCATGTTTTTGGCATGCATAACCTGTGGAGATGCCTCTGGGGTGTAAGTGCGGCGGCACGGGCGGGTTGCAGCCAAGCTGGAGACCAGGCCGCCCCGCACTGGCGGCCGAACCCCACCACACCACACCCACCAGCTGACCCGCTTCGGCTAAGCCCACACCGACTTGCCGATCGGGACGTGGACGAGCCATGATCGACGCCCCCAAGTTTATCGATAAGTCCATCGCGGTTCGCGGCGGGTTGTTTTGCCAGCTTTGTCCATCAAGAGCAGATCACAGAGTGCCAATGATTGATTAACAACTGACGAATACGTTTGATCAATCAACCCAAGATAATTGAAGGCCTATTGGGTAGTCGTGCATTCAACAAAAGCCACCGTCGCTGAACACGATATCAAAGCGCCACTACCAGCCCACCACAACCGAACGATCAACAAACCAAAAGAAACTCTCGGACGGAGACACGCACGACCATAGAACGACACCTCAACCCAGCCAATCGAGCTACAGTCTCCCGAGGGAACCTGACCTACCTAATCGAACACGTGCGCCGCGCCGCAGCCGATAGCATCAACGCGGCGTTCCAGCCAGTAGATACCGGGCTCCGACGGGCGAGAGGACCGAGCTGCGCAACCGCATCGAGCAACTCGATCAACGGACGTACGTTCCTCC